TGGGCCATGGGTTTTATTTTGCAAATGTATCAACCAAGCAACATAAATCTGACATTTTAGAACTTAAAGTAATGAAGTATGATTCAAAGGCCATTTTTTCCATCTGAAAGCCATGCAGTGAAATGTAATTACATTTAGTGGAAGGGTTGAGTAAAAACCCACAAGAAGTGGTGAAAATCTAAATAAAACCCTTTTTCTTTACATTTTTAGATGCATGGTAACAGTCGTAACTAACAGATGAGATGATTTTCTTAAGGTGTCAATGGGCTCTCCTACATACCAAAGCAAAAAGTGTAGTACAAGATTGTCAGGCTCAGCATTGATATATATGTACTTTATGTTCAATCTGTAGATCAAAAATAGTCTGGTAAGACTTTTTCAGTTTTGGAGGCTCCATATTTCATCAACCCAAAATCACTGATGAAATATAAAACTAAATGGACGTATTCTGATATAACTGCTGCGTGAATAATGTCAACACACCGATTAAGCCCCAAATAGCTAAAACTATGAGGCACCGTCTATAACAAGGTGTATTTTACCTATTGCAGTATATCAAGAACGTTTTGAATACAACATGCTGACCAAATTCAAATCAGATTCAAATCTTTCTATTCTTTCTTATGCTCTTTTCATTTTTTATTCTGGACTCTTCGATAAAGGAAGAACCCTGCAGGCACTGTATTTTCAGAGTAATTCGTCAACATGTTCTGAAATTCTCTGAATATAAGCCGAGAAGATTTCTGGACAGTAGCGCAGGACGGTCCTTTCTCCACTCAGACCGTTTCATACTGAAGCTTTTACGCAAGTCCCAGTACCTGTGCAGTGCTGCACAATGATATAACATGTCACTTTGCTAGGTGTTGAGTGAATTAAAAACATCCCATCTTCTGAGGAGCCTGTCTGAGACAGAAACCCACGCCAGATGTACTACATCCTCACTTTGCACGCATGATCAAACACCTACATCTGGGTGCTGAGGGCTTTCCTGCCCTTCCCCGCAGATGCTAAATGATATCGTTAACATTTTAATGCAGGAGACATTTACACGCAGGCTTGCGCAATTACACCTCTGATTCGCTGGAATCCAGACAGACACAGTGTGATCGGTAATTAGATTTTACATTGGGTGAAACGTAGCACACACACAGATGCACACACATAGTCACCAAAGCTTGCTCCTAATTAGAGAACTAGACAGACTCAAGGATGTACAGTATCGTAAAGTAGCCCTCATTATGGAGTTAAGATGCATGAACTAGGGGATATCTATTATGATCACACATCAGGGCATCCATTACCCAGCATTAGCAGCTCTTTCAACTGGAATCATGTACTGAGTTCAAATGTAACCCAACAAACCCTCTTACACAAGTGAGTAAGAGTTAAAAGGGTTTGTAAACTTAATTTAGCCTGTTAGATATTTGCATGAGAATAAAGACTCCACAAGGTGATCTATCACTTGACTACATGGTCCAGGTGTTCAAGGGTACTGTAACTTCACTTAATGAATTAGGATACTTCATGTGCAACCAAATCCTAATTTGGTTTAATTACTAAACAGACCAATATCGGTCGGTGCAGCTGTAAAGCCGGTTAGGTTTGACTACATTCCAATATAAAGCTGAGGAACAGCCACTCATAACTGGGTATAGATGTTTAGAATTGAGTACTGCCTCACAGTTCAAGCTCATCAGAGCACTTCTTTCATCTGCATATAGACTTATTGCCGTACAAACACCAGTTCCCTATTTCTATGTTGAAGCCAAGTTGAATCTATCTATCCGCCCCAGTCCCTGTGGCATTTCCATCCAGAGTTTAAGGTTGCTAATAATGCGGGGTCATGTAAAATTGGCAAGCTAACTGAAGTTGGCAGCTATTAAGTGTACTGTAAGCTACACAGGACTTGATGCTCTGGAAGAGCTTCCTTATTTCAATGTGGATGTGTGGGCAGAAAGGTCACAGCTAATTGAGATCAAAATTTGATTGCAGGATTTCATAACCTCTTCGTAAATGTTCATTTATTGACGGCGTGGAAGATAAGCCCAGAGGGTTAAGCAATGTGCATCTCTACAAATCATTCCAGCCTTTGTGGGGACTCAATGAGATGCCTTGTCTCGTTATATCTTTCCAATGAGAATTTGAATAGGGCAGTTTTAGCTATCTGTGCTTTTGCCTCGAGGCAGCTCTCAGGGAAATGTTTAATGTTTCCTTGTCTGCGTTGATGACTACATTTCTAAATTCTACTTTGTACAGAAGAAGCATGAGGTGTTAAATAGAAGGCAGAAAAAGCATCCTTACCAATGCATCAAAAATATTTTTGGCTACGGTATAAGACGAGAAAGACTATTATTTATATCCAAAATGTGCAATTTGTTAGCATTGTGTAGGTATATAATTGCCAATTCACTTGTCCCCAAATTCAATATGATGACATCAAATGGTTTCAATGACAGAAAATGCCCAACGGACCAGTGAATGGTATGGCTGTTTTGTCTTATTTACCTAACAAAAAGGTGGGAACAGTAATGGAACAGGATGTGATTAACTCCACAACAAACTGTACTGGATAAATCTCATAGTTCCACTATATAGTCATTCACTACATTATCTACTTTCTTTAAGGTCTGCCATTTTGTAGATGTGTCCAGTTTCTGAAAGATTTACTCACAGCAAAGTAGATAAATATGATCACCACAAGCACTGGTGAAAGAAAGAAATAATCATCTGACCTTAACCAACTACTGCTATTGCCATAAATATTTTTTTTTGTTTTTACATTGACACCAGACACACACCATATAGCCTTCTACCCCATGCAGTGAGGAGTGAATGGAAGGAACGTTTTAGGACACAGCCCCTGACGCCCATTAAGGAGGTTACCATAGAGACAGGCCAGTGAGCAGGTCTAACTCTCAAACAGCAAGAATTGTCTGGAATCCAATCTCTGAGCTGGTTTCAATCTGCAAGGTCATTCATTCATTCTGACAATGACTGCTCAGCCGATGAACACCCCATTTTCATGAAAATCAACAAAACATCCAGTCACAGAGATCCAAGTCAAATAGCAAGACTACAATATCATGGTGCAGGAAAAAAGCAAGTCGTCGAGCCATTTGTGCATTAAAACAAGTATTTAACTGAATAAATTCATTAAAAAGGATGTTTGCAGTGCAGAAGACGAAGACAAAGTGCAACGTCTGCACTCAACACTGTCTGCGGCTAAGCCCCTATCAGTTATTTGCCACAGGCCTCTTCAATAATCCCTTATGCAATAAACGGACACAATCTTGCACGGCAGTTGATCTAATGTCAGAGTCAGATGATTATGATTAATGAGGATTCCTTATTGTTCCTTTATGAGTTTCAGCACAAGCTGGGCTGAGGGAGATACCATTTTACATGGAGTCAATGTCAATAAACGACACTGACTGAGGGTAGCCTCGGCGCTGAAAAAGAGTCGGCACACAAATGAAAATTCATTTCGAAGCCTATTTTTTTTTTCCTTTCTTTTTTCGCTTCCTTTCAATCATTCTGGCCAAGGGGGAAAATCCATTTTGTGGGGGACACACACAACACCATAGCATTGCTCCTTGATGCAGTTAAACATTTTTCATACCTAAAAATCCTCACTTCCCCAATTTATGCTTCATGAAATCAGACATTTTTTTGTTTCTCTTTCGGTGTTTGAATTAAAGCAACCAACCGTCGGCTTGTTCTTTTTCAATATTTTAACAATACCCATTTCGTCACCTTGAAATGTTTTCTTACAGACATGTTTCCATATTTTTTCCCCTCTTGCTCTCCTTCTTCTCTTCTCCTTGTCCCTATTTCTGTATACACCCAGTCGGCCATAATCCCTCCCTTTGGAAGGCACTCTAGCCAATAACTGAATGCAATAAACTGTATCAATTTTCCACTATTGATTATGGATACATTATATGAGCACACAAATATAAGCGCTGTGTGGTGGCGGCGGTGGCTACAGGCATGTGTGCAGTGAAACACATGCATATAAATACACACCATGAGAAAACCCATAAGACGGACAACTCGACTATAGGTTTCTGAACACAGAATTTATATGGAAAACATTTTCTTACTTTTAAAGCAATTCTTTTTTTTATTGTAGCTATTTTAGTGTTTCCTGAAATTAATGTGAGCTCTCTGGAATTTATGTAATAAAAAAAGATTGTTAATACGATTCAAATGAGCAGTTTCTGTTCATGGTGCTTTTTCTCCTAATGCTCTTTTAAAAAAAATGTCATTTCAAGGTAAATTACATGAACCTGTGATCAAATTTAAGAGCAAATTGGTGGTCAAGATGAGCATGACATTCTGACAGAAGGGTGGATAAAAATTAGAAGTGGGAATTTAAAACAATGTGAAAAGAAACTGTTGACTTAGACATGTTAACAAATTGACCACTTTAATACTTCCTGCTGATTTAGGCCAAATTGAAACTGAAAAATATGCCCACTGTGGGGGGAGGGGGAAAGGGTTAAAACAAATGTCCATTATATCAAATACGTCACTTATTACTAAGGGCCACAGTGGAACAGGGATGTGACAGAATGAGTACTGTTAGGCATAAAATACGAACAAACAAAGCACATTAATTTTCTGCATTTTCAGCCAGTAAAACATTAAACTAGAAAATGTGTCTCTAACGACATAAATTAAACACATTTCTTCCATGCATCGTAAAAACTAATGTGATCTATTCTTTTTTATTTGTTTGGGTCTGGAGGTGTGTCTGAAGGCCAGAAACGAAGGATTTGTAGGAAAGCTTGAAGGATTTAAAATGTACTTCGTGCCTCGCCCGCCTCTCTCCCTCTATCAAGGGTGTCAGCCTTTTGACAACCATATAAAATCCATTCCATGTGGGTCACAGGTGACCTCCATCCTGCCTCTTCAGTCATTTAGCTGTCTAAAAGAGATTTTCCTTTTGCATAGGGTAATAAGGGGACTAATAAGAAAAAAGAGCAAGTGAAACTTACCATTCAAGATGCACTGGAAAAAGATAAAAGCCAATATCCACATGCCCTGCTCCGTTCAATCCCCCAAGCTATGCTTTCTCTTCTTCCTCCGACCGGTGCCTCCCTGGGTCTCTCTTCGGTGCGCTTGGAGTAAGGTTAAACATTTGCCTCTATTCTGAAGCAAACCGATCTGGGTCTCTACTTTTAAAACCTCCTTCCTATACTTTTTCACAACACTGATGTTGTTTCCGAGCTGTCTTTTTGCGCCTGTGTGATTGTCTTGGGGAGAGCTGCGCTCGGGCTCCTGTGCTCCGCGTCTTGCTGCTTCTCCCTGTTATTCAAGAGGATGCTGAAGGGTGAAGCTCAGGTGTATGTGGTGCTGAGTCAGAGCCCAGTGTGAATGGTTCCTCATGCCAAAAAAAAAAAAGAACAAAAAAAGAATTCCCAAGATTGTTTTAACTAAATCTCAGAAAAAATAAGCAGGAGGTCCGATTTTCTAAATGAAACACTCGCTGATGGGTCATCTTTGATAAGCAAAACAATTTTTTTTTAGAAAATAAAAACTAAAGGAGCAAATAAGATAATAATGGAAAGAAGATGGAAGAATGAAAAACTCGCTTTTTTCTCAGAGTCCAAAGTCAGATCATCTTCATCGCCTCTGAGCGTCCAGCAAGAGGCGAGCAAGCGCATCTTACCCGCTGCCGCTCTCTAATCGCACCACACTGACTCTCTGAGCATTACACGGAATAACCCTCTCCCCTGCCCCTGCAGACGCTTTAATTCCTCATTGCCTTAAAGGAGCAGAGGCGGCTACCGGTCGGTCGTGAGGGCAGGACACTAGTGGAGGTGGGAGAGTGTGAGAGCACTCAGAGAGCGGCGCATTTGCATTAAGGAAATGAGGCACCTGACGCACCGAGGTACCAAGGATCTTTACGCACGGAGCTGCGTCGGTTCAATGAGGAGGCGCTGTGCGCCGCTGTGCAGGTGAACTGAGCGTCCAGATCCACACTGAATATACCTGACGAAGGATTTTTAAAAAGTCCTGTGGAGGGACTTGACATCTGAAGCGTTTTTTTCCACGCTTGGGTCAATAACACTGTAAAATTCAGTTTTTTTTTTAATCTACATATTTTCTAATATATAAATAAGGATGCAGAAATTAAAGACAACACTGGAGAAAATGGGGTTGACATATATCGTCCCCCATCCCAAAGGCATACACACACATACATGCTGACAATACCGCCTCCCTAAGCCCCATAATGCACCCACTACCACCACCCCTCCATTTTAATGCTGCCTTGAAGTCAAGGGTAAATCTGTGGAAGGCTGTGGAAGCCTGTGGGCCTGTCCACAGAGCTGGGTTGCACTGAATGTGATCTAACCAGCAGCACTCTGTAGCTTGTTCTCTATCCCACATGACAGAATGCAACTCAGAGTGAAATCCCAATTATATACCTCAGGCTACTGATATCTTTGCTCAGGAAATGATTTAATAAGTCAGTGCAGAAATTAGAGGGACAGTTTATGTGTGACATGCATGCCAGTATAATTTCAGAGATACTCATGTTTATATAATAGTGCTTATACATGTGTGTGTAATGCAGGTTGTAGATAGATTATTTGGCTTCCTCAGAGCAGGTGTTTTTCCCAGTGCATTTCCCTGCTGTCCAGGCTTCTCATCAACAATGTCTGCCCACTTGTCTGCCTATCTCTCTTCACTGTAGTGCAGCAAACAGGAATACTGCTCTGCATTTGTTACGGCCTATATCAGTACACTATGTTCTAGCTTGGCTGAATTTCGCAGAATTTCTTTTTAAAGAACCTTGTTTTCATGGGCAGTTTACCATATTTTACTTATTTAGCAATAATCAGAATTAAATACTTCTTTTATCTATGCAGTCTGATTTTGTTTAGCCATTGTCACCACTGAATATATGTTTGTAATTGAGTAAGAGGATAAAGTTGCTTACTTTTTGCCTAAGCCATAGTATAAACCCAAACATGTTTAAGTATCTGGTGCTAAAGAGAAAACACTGGTGAATCAGGGCAGTGGGTCACAGATCTTGTATTTTAGTTAAGAGTGGATTAACAAGCCTGTGCTGGTGTTTCGGCTCAAGAATCTTTACATGTACGTGCAAGTAAATACTTCAGCTTCTGCAGAACTCAAGATATAAACAACCATGGGCATCTAGAGTAACCAGTTCTATACAGAATTAATATGTTTCTAATCAGGATTTATACTGGGGAAAATCCCAGACAGAAGCTTTTGGCTTGTGGGAAGCCACAGGTGAGATTGTGATGACTGCAAATGAAAGCTCTTTTGTACCCCACAGGTCATGAGACACACCAGAAGTTTAATTCTCATTTCCTACTAAGTCTTCAGTAATATTTTTTTCTTTGTAACTAAAGGTGACATTCACAGCTTGCAAAGACAAATATCCCAAAAAGATGTAGGGGAAAAAAATTAGCTGAGTGTGGGTTCAAGGGATTGACAGAGGGATCTGTGGCATTAGAGGGTGCCATCTGACATTTTAGTGGAAATGAACCATTGGCATGATCTAGCTCAGCAAACAGGATTTTATGAGGAACTGAAATTAAAACTTCTGAAGAAGAAATTGAGTCATTTTAAATTAAAAGGCTAGATTTGTTGGCATGAAATGCAAAAACTAATGATCATGCTTAGAGTCATATGGGCCAGGGTTTACATTTGCAAAGGGGTTTATGTATTGTGTTTACAATACACACACACACTAATAGGTAGGGGTTTTCCACTGAAAGCACAGCATCGGTGTTTGACAGCAAACAAACACAGCATCAACACACATCGCCACTGACCAAATGACCTTACAAAAGAGGTGCATGTAAGGATTTCCGTCATATACAGTGGGTACGGAAAGTATTCAGACCCCTTTAAAATTTTCACTCCCTGTTTCATTGCAGCCATTTGCTGAAATCAATAAAGTTAATTTTATTTCTCATTAATGTACACCCAACACCCCTCCTTGACAGAGAAAAACAAAAATGTAGAAATATTTACAAATTTATTAAAAAAGAAAAACTGAAATATCACTTCGTCATAAGTATTCAGACCCTTAGTTCAGTATTGAGTAGATTAGAAGCACCCTTTTGAGCTAGTACAGCCATGAGTGGTCTAGGGAATGATTCAACAAGTTTTTCACACCTGGATTTGGGGATCCTCTGGCATTCTTCCTTGCAGATCCTCTTCCAGTTCGGTCAGGTTGGACGGTGAGCGTTGGTGGACATCCATTTTCAGGTCTCTCCAGAGATGTTCAATTGGGTTTAGGTCAGGGCTCTGGCTGGGCCAGTCAAGAATGGTCACAGAGTTGTTTCCAAGCCACTCCTTTGTTATTTTAGCTGTGTGCTTAGGGTCATTGTCTTGTTGGAAGGTGAACCTTCGGCCCAGTCTGAAGTCCTGAGCACTCTGGAAGAGGTTTTCTTCCACGATCTCTCTGTACTTGGCCGCATTCATCTTCCCATCAATTGCCACCAGTCGTTTGTCCCTGCAGCTGAAAAACACCCCGATAGCATGATGCTGCCGTCACCATGTTTCACTGTTGGGATTGTATTGGGCAGGTGATTAGCAGTGCCTGGTTTTCTCCGCACATACCGCTTAGAATTAGCACCAAAAAGGTTCAATCTTGCTCTCATCAGACCAGAGAATCTTCTTCCTCGTAGTCTAGGAGTCCTTCATGTGTTTTTGGCAAACTCTATGCAAGCTTTCATATGTCTTGCACTGAGGAGAGGCTTCCGTCAGGCCACTCTGCCATAAAGCCCCGACTGGTGAGGGCTGCAGTGATAGTTGACTTTGTCAACTATCTCCCTACTTCTCCCATCTCCCTACTTTATCTCTGGAGCTCAGTCACAGTGATATTTGGGTTCTTCTTTACCTCTCTCACCAAAGCTCTTCTCCCACGATTGATCAGTTTGGCTGGACAGCCAAGTCTAGAAAGAGTTCTGGTTGTCCCAAACATCTTCCATTAAAGGATTATGGAGGCCACTGTGCTCTTAAGAACCTTGAGTGCAGCTAAAATTATTTTGTAATGTTTGCCAGATCTGTGCTTTGCCACAATTCTGTCTTTGAGCTCCTTGGTCTCCTTTGACGTCATGATGCTCGTTTGGTCTGACATGCACTGTGAGCTGTAAGGTCTTATGTGGACAGGTGAGTGCCTTTTCCTAATCAAGTCCAATCAATTTAACAGCTGGACTCCAATGAAGAAGCGGAACCATCTCAAGGAGGATCAGAAGAAATGGACAGCATGTGAGTTAAATATCAGTGTCACAGCAAAGCGTCTGAATACTTATGACCATTTGATATTTCAGTTTTTCTTTAATAAATTTGCATAGTTTCCATTATGAACAACAATTAAACAGCTGTCTACATCCAAGTAGGCAAAATGCAACAAGAGCTATAAACTTGTCAGCAGTGGTCTGAGGTGGTCACTGTTAACCCTAAACTGAGGTATGTTATCAGAGTGTGACACCAATATGCAGCAAAGCTGTAACTTCATCATCTACGTTACTCTCGAATCTAAAATCTCAATTGGGTCAGATTAACATGTTCACATGCATCTTGATAACCCTTACTCAACACAACATTTTTGTGCTCAGTAAATTTGTTTACTTTGTGAAACGTCCTAATTACATGTCATCATTGTAGCCTGACTCAAATCATTGTAGTCAAGTTTTTCTAAACCAGATAAATACTCCCAGATTAAAAAATCAAATTTGTTGGTTAAATAACTCAACTGGATTGAAGTGGTCCTAAACCCCTCTGCATATGCTCCAAAGTTCCATATTTTGTGTAGTTGTAAAGGCATTCATCAAAATTCTGAAAAGTGAACAGAGATTGATGCAAACCTTTAAAGTAATTAGACATTTTCATTTTCTCTTTAGCTGTGTTTTGAAATTTAACATTGTGCATATTTGTGAGGATTTGACTCCACAGCGTGGGTAGGGGAAAATTCGAGCGAAAGGGAGTCGCTCATTGCAGCCCCCCCACACACCCAGCCCATCCTCAGTATGATGCCTAAACAGTGGTAAGTGAATGTGACAATGAGACCCTGTGGCTGCTGCACACTGTCTTGGCCTTATTGTGTGGTCATGCATGCGTGCAGGCGGGTGTGTTTGCGTGTGACACCATATCTGTGTGTGGATAGACACAAGAAAGACAGTTGAGCACATATGAGACACTTCATGAGGTCAAGGTCGTGGCTATAATACTGACACTGGCATGGGATCTGTTGAGGCTCTTCATGTTCCTGCCAGCTCAGCTGTGCATAGTAAAATTAAATGCAAGTTGTTCATGAGAATTGTGGTCAGGGTTATGCAAGAGGGACTGCTGTTTTTTAATTAATCCCACACAGTGTTGTAATAAATGTGTGAGATTATCATTTTAAATAATTCCGTATAAATTTTGTATGTATGCAATTAAAATCCTTTATTCATGAAAGAATTACATTATTACATTTAACGTGACTTCAAAACAACTAAAAAGATGTACATGAAAGAAGCAGATTATTTAAATAGAGTTTTGAGGCTTTTGAGATATGGGCTAAGCATAATGAATTCACTATGACATCTTTTTATTGTGGTTTTCTTTCCCCCTTTTCATTCTTTTTTGTTGGTTCTTTATGAATTCTAAAGAGGTTTTATAAACATTTGCAGAAAGGACATAGCTGTCATCTGTACAACTGATTTTAAAGCTCCGCAACAAGCCAAACTAAAGAAAAGAGCATTAAAGTTAGCACTGAACTGATTTGTTTTACTCAAATGATAGTTTCTTCATCCTATCATAATTTCACTTACAGCAATCATCATTCTATAATTCTATCAATGATTAGATGACTTTCCCTCAGCCACCTTTGTTTCCAACCAGTAAAATTTTCCCCCTTAGGGATTTCATATATTATAGTTCATGCACCTCCCTCCCGGTCCCTCTGGTCAACCCTGTCCCAGACGTGTGTGCAGAAGAGCTGGGTAATCCCTGTGGATGGGGCCTCTTGTTTTGACAACTCCTGTGAAGCCAAGTGTCTCTTGCAACAAAACACAGTCTGGCCTATCATCGGCAAAATGTCAGCCCTCTGCTCCCTCCTTCGATACCCAAAGGAGGATCAGGTTACCTTTACAATATGTGACCCATTAACTCAGAATAGAAACAATCTCAGCACAGCTATAATGATCCCCTTTGTTTGCAAAGACAATGACATTGATAATAGACAAGCTCCAAACGTGGCCTCTGATACAAGTGTGTATAAGGTTACATGTTGCCAGGGCCAGATTGATGTGGCTCCCAAAAAGAGTTCAGGGTGGTATACTTTTACATTCCGAGGTCTCCCGGGGATGAAAAGACACCTACGGGTCAATCAGCATTAGGAGACATGCCTACCCTTTAAATTAGGAATGCTAAAAGTTGGGAATGTGCCAACTGTGTCAAAGGCATTGGGGTTTCAAAGGTCACAGTGTCAAGTAAAGTTTAGCAAATATAAGAAAATGCACACAACATCCAAATATATTTGAAAAACTCACAAAAAGGACCATGATGAACATAAAACTGTAAGAAAAACATACATTTAAAAAATTTGATTTAACACTCTTAAAACAGCGAGTGATGTTACACATTTTAATACAACAGAAGAATTTTTCAAACTACCGAAGCTGCTTAACTTAACTTACAAAACATGAGATGGGGTTTACCAACACCTCCAAGGTGGAAGCCAAAAGGCTTACCACAGAGGAGTCCTCCTGGGGTATGGGCAAAAGAAGTCTGCTAGTATACTTCCATTGCACTGTAGAGAGTGAATTCATCACAAAAAATATCAACTCAGAAGATAACTGAAGTATTTTCTGGGGAATAGTGCCGGATAACGAGAGACAAAGGGCATGGGTTTCTCTGGAAACCTGAATCACACATTCAACAGAATGAAAGAACAATTGGAAAGCAACAGGTCCTGACCCAATTCCCAATTACAACTTTGGAGAGCTAAAATCAGCTGGTGCAAAGGGAACTTCAAAGAGCTTATAAAGATGACAGGAATAATGACCACTACCAGCTGAAAGGTGCAATATTTAGAAGTGTTCTGCAGCTCAAATCATGATCACATTCAGCACAACCAAATGTTAGCGTCAGTATCAGGCATTTTCTCTAATTCTTCTTTGTTTCTCAAGTTTCCTTGCAGAAATATGGCAAAATCTTAGAAGCCATTGCAGTGCCTTTATCATGGATGTTCATGAAAAAAGTTACAGTGAGACCTATGTCTCTGATATGTGGACTACCATATAACAGGGATATAGTTCCAAATCATAAACATAAAACAGTATTTACTGAAAAACATATCTCATTCACACCTACGAACTGCTAAATTCCATTCGAAGCTATTGTTACAATTTCCCCTTTCTCCACTTAGAGAACACAAGATGGGCAACTACGCACCTAAAACATATCAAAATTAAAATTAAATGACAGCAAATGTATTTCATAGAAGCAATAAAGGTATAACAAAAAGTAAAGTGAACAATAAAGACATATCCTTTCAATTTAGTTGTAAGTTACAACCACATGCAGGAAAAAAAAGCTGCGAATACGTAGAAATGTTTCCAGGGGACCATAAAAAGTGAGGAACACACTAACGTGTTTTGTTGCAAGGCTGTTATGGTGACTAATGAAGGCGCTTAAGTCAGCTAGTTATCTTTTTTTTTGTTTGATTTTTTTTAATGCATTCTGATTACATGTCAGATCTGCTGTTATCCCTGCACCACGTTTTTTTATTTTATTTTTTATTTTATTGCTTGATGTTGATCAGCTTGATGTGGGATTGATGAGAGCACCTGCACTACAGTACCCTTTCACATATCCCCCCTCAATTCATGATTTGAGCACCCAACCTGCTACAGCAACCCCAACCTCCCATAGGTTAGCCTGAAGGCCCTGAGGAGAATATCTGTAGCCAACCTTGACGTGCTAAACTAGGACGCTGAAGGGGACACAAATGGGAGGCGAGAGAAGGAGAGGCAGGGAAATGAGCGTATGGAGGAGGGAGAAGGGGAAAAAATTTAATGAAAGGCTGCTGGAGGAGTGGCACAAATAAGGAAGTGTGGATAGAGAGCTGAGAGGGTGATGGAGGATAGGGGACAGAGACAGGAGGAGTTAGAAGGGGAGAATGGAAGTACACAGAAGTAGCAAAAAGGGTGGGTTTTTGTGATTTGTACTCTGGCTGCATATGCGCCTGGTCTCCATCTCCTGCATTCTCTGCTTGAAAACTGGAAAAATCAATACGCCCACAGTCTGGCGTATCCCCACATGAACTGGATCATTAAAAATATATAATAAACCTCCCCATCACCATTTTTCATCACCATTACCGTTATCATGCATCTTAATGTGCACAGATATAAGTATATCACCAGCATGGCTGTAACATAATAACCCAATCAATGACCTTCTAATAATTTCAGTGTTGTTGTTAATCGCCCTGTTATGTCTGTCCTTGAGCCTTGACTCTCAGAATACACATGGACAGACTGCTTGTTAACAAATGCACGCAGCACTACTGAAGCAGGGCTGTTGTAATAAGAATATCTGACTTCTCAGCTTCACAACTCAATCTAACTCAGGGTCGCAGTGTTGCCTAGTAACGATGGCACACAACTGACCTTATCTATGTGGTCATAAAAATGTATGAAGAAACCCCCCCAGCCCCCACGCACAGACACTAGCCCTCCAACCTTCTCTCTGCCTTCTTTCACTCAGTCCTTCCTACCTCCCTATAACCAGCTGACAAATGAGTTGCATCCAGCCAGGGGGCAGACACTCTCCACACTCTTCCACCCTTGCCAGGGCAGCTCTGTGTTGGGTTTCTCTGCCCAGGAGCTCTCTTCCCTTTTGAGACGCAGGGGGTCTGGGATACATGAACGTACCATTTGCAAAAAACACAATGTGATTATGTTTGTGCACATGCACACAACAAATACAGCACGGGTGGGCGGGTGGTGGGAGGCAGGAAGGATGCAGATTGCATGCTATGAAACTGATAGATAGCTGTAAGAACAGAAGGGCACAGTCAAGTACGAAGGAGACTCAGCATTACACTGGAAGGTGAGTTGATACACCAGCTTTTATGGTAAGATACTGTGAGAGTTTAGTGCCTATTCAACCTGCTATGGGAAGGGAAGAACCTAGCACAGAATGAGAAAATGTTTTCATGAGGAAGCAACGCAAAAGAATCCAGCTTCACTCCACAAATATCAGATCATCTGTCTCGGATCTCAATTAACTTTTGGGTTTCAAGAGCCAGGTTCAGCTTTTCTAATTGGGAAACCTTGGAGACACTCATTTTAATGAGGATTCAATCTCCAGGTGTTGTATCTGATACAACCTGTGGAACACACAGGGGAAATGTTACACACAAACACACATATACACACGCACATAAACCTGCTCCATATGTCTGCCCTGCAATTAAAACCGTCAACCAACAATGTTGTTATTAAGTCGAAGCAAAAACCTAAAAATCTCCCAATATTCAAACCCCTACTTAAAAGCTCAGAAATAAATCAGAACTTAATCCTTTGAAATTTTTATTTTGACAGTGTTACAGTTTTCCACCATCACGTGAATACCATAATCGTCGTGATAGTTTGATCGCTCCTATTTCTACAGGGTGGTTTGCACAGGGTCCATGTGGACCTCGGAAGTGAATGATTTCAAGAACCACTTCATTAAATGGATCCCACTTGAGAGCAATGCCCTAACGGCATCTCAGTAATGAGGATGTCTGCAGCCCATCACCGCCTTCCCACCGACAACTACAACAACATCTGCTCTGTTGCACCCAAAGCATCAGGTGGGATCCGTGGTATTTGGACAAACAGAGAAGCCATATACATGTGTATGCAAGCAGCAGAGTAACCAGGGAGACTGGTTTGGGGCATGAGTAGTGCCTTGAGGCGACAAACAAAGGGGTGGCAAAGTTTCTGACTCCTACAACAGCCTGTTTAGAGACTAGCCTCTATGACTCACGTACAGTATGTGTCACTAATGCCTTCCCTATGAATGAACAAACAGATACAGATACCCTGCCGAGAGGCAACGCTACCAACATGGGGGAGTGGAAGTGTGAATATACTGCAAGACAAGGGTGAGACACCCTTAGTCATACTCCAGCCTGTTTGAGCACTGAGGCTTGCCATGCACATACAAGTAATTGATCTAAAAGAAGAAAAAACTATGTAAATCAAAACAAACTGTCCTTTTTATGGCTGGAAACATAGAACGTGGCATGAAATAAAGAGAAGTGATTTTTCCATGCACCTGTTGTCTGTCAGATCCCTCTCATCTTATCCAGACTCACCTCATTTGAGTTTCCCTCCTGCAGAAGTAGCTGTGAATATGTACACCGTGTTAGGGGGGTTGACAGCTCTGGCAGAGGGAGACACAGGGAAGAAGCTTGTTATGAAGAGTAAGCCATCTGTATGTCAGCCACCTACAGATGAAGAACAAAAACAGACAAGCTGTAAAAAAAAATACAAAATTAAAAGAAGAGTTCTAAGCTATGTAAAAGCATTGAAAATACTTTTTTTATAGCTTATTCTAAGTCAATTACCGAAGCATTTTATATCAGTTTAAATATTTGAATGAAGTGGACTAAAAGCTAATTGACCCCAACCATTCTGCTAATAAAACAGCATGGTAGATTGGATACCAAAATGAGATTTGCCTCGGAAACATGTGGACAATCTGCCCCACTGTGATCCCCATTTACTGCTCATCCTGCTCTATCATGTCTGTGCTGTAATTACACTGCATCCAAAACGCCAGCAGATTCAGCAAATCTCTTATCGGCATTATAGACTTACAGTGATTGGGCTATGGCCCTGATCATAGTAGCCCTCTGCATTACAAAAAAGAGAAGATGAGTTAAGGCCAACACACAGGAAATAAGGCTGATTCAAGACATTTATGAAATTGCAGATAAGTTTAATTAATAATTTTGCCCTGTTTAATGTATAATGTAAATAACCAGATGTTTACATTTTTAAACTAAGTTTTACTCTTTTTTTTTTTTTTTTATATACGTTTGCTCTCTCATATACATCTCTATCATACATCTATTGAAAGTGTCTCTGCATTGTTTCAGTGTAAAATGGGAGAACATTGAAGTCTGGCCAAAAAAAACAAATACAAATCTCCAGTCTCAAGAAACGCGTGACCCACATTTCAGTATGTATAGACTAATGATTGAAGGGTAAGCCATAAAACTCAACAGTGCAGTGTCTCTGTCTATATATGCTAAACAGATATTTAATCAGGTCATAAAAGCTCAGTAATTTTAACAGGGTCAAAACCTGAGCCTCACTGATGCTGATTAATATATTTTTCTTTTTAAAAAAAGAAAAAAATGTAATCCAAAAATGCAATCATTAACTACCTCAAATCTTGACATCTACATCTGTGTTTAGTTGGAGAATGCAAGAGGGGAGTGGGAACATATGAAACAATGTAGAGAGCTCTCCTCTTCTCATCAGAGCTGTGAGGATTAAGCACTGATGTCCCAGCAAAGGAGCTTTGGAATACCAAATGTAGGACCACTGGCTCCTCTAAGCCGTCTAATTTGTTCATCCGCAGATGCTATACAGCTCCTTCTGACTGGATTAAAGGCACGGTTATGGTGTACAGCGCCTTGCTGTGGCTTACAGTAGAACTACAGGAGGATGCTGCATGCCTACATGAGAAACAATGAATCAGCACATAAGACAGGAGCATCATTAGAATATAACCATCTAAAATGCTGCTATGAAATTAAAGTCACGAGGAGCAGTTGTGATATGATGTAGTTTTCTAGACTGATTGTTAAAAACCTCTTTGAGACCAAAATAAGTCTTTTGAAGTATTTCTGAAGGGGTTTTGTTTGACAATCAGTTTTTAAGGCATACACCATAATAAACTTTATTTTTAATATTGCAAAAAATAGAGGTATTTTTGTCAGTTCTCTATCATAAATAGAGGGAGTTTGCTGCTAGAATGTTGATTACACATGATAATTCACCATATTCATAGAGCATCTCCCTTGTTCATATTCTCAGGCCATAGAACCAACTCAGTCACAGGAATGAAAAAACAGGAACTGTGCCTAATCAGTCATTCTCAAGACCCAGTGCATGACAGGCAACACGTCAGAAACATGCATTTTTGTCACAGTCTTTGGGCACATTATTTAAGTTATCCTAACTATAGTGATTAACTACAATGAGGGAAAGGCAGAACATGTGACTGAGTCACTGGGAACTCACAAGGATATCAATGTGAGACAGCGTTGTCTCTGTGTGAAAGAGGCAGCACGGATAAGGCCTGTGACAATCCTCTTGTTTCGCCACATTGTGTGTTCTTCCGTTTCTGGATTTCAGCATGGCCAATGAGGCTGGCCCAGACAAAGAAAAACCATCTCCAAATGAAGAAAATTTGTGGTTTCCCCACACATATCAGGAGCTGCTATGTTTCTGTGTTGCAGTGGAGAGTAAAATGAATGGGTGATAAGCAAAAGAAGACTAAATGAAGGAAAAAGTGATTGTGTCCTGTGTGATACTGGACATGCAACATTAAAAAGCAGTTTGGAAGATTGATGGTTGGACTTGTGTTATTGCCTTCAAGTGTATTGAGTGATCAATTCGACTGGATAAGCACCATAAGTAAAAATGAATTGCTGCACACACAGATTATGCTCGATTTGTTTTAAAGCAATTTATACTCCTTAAAAGATATAAAAATGCACAAAATGGTAAATCAATCATCTTTAATTTATGGCGGGGGGAAAAATAAGCAAAGGTTAGTTTACTTATTTCTAAAAGCACACGCTTCCTGTACGACTCCCAGGAACTGTATGCATTCGGTCTAGTCTTATGTTTTACTTTTGATTTAAATGAGTAACTGTCAACCAAAATGTAGATAATAAGTTTGAAAAGAATCAGCGAATTCTCTCAATTAGATGCGGTGGAAGTTGAAAACATGTGTCTGGTGCAGATCTGTCAGCACCCGGACAGGAAGTGGTGAAACTGTCAAAGTTGTAAAATTCCGATGAACGGTTGACCTCTTTGGCTTCAGAATTAAACCATGTCATTCTCAGGCAAAGACAACTTAATTTCAAGCCAAAATTAACGACATATAACGGTGAAGAACATTAAATGCGTGTTATGTTTACATTTGGTTTTGTTGTTTTGCGTTGCTCACCGGAAGAAGCTCTTTTCAAAATATGCCATTTCTGAACTGATCAAAACAAGTTCTCTGCACGTTTCACTTACTTTGAAAGTAACAAACGGAAGTTGAATCTCACATTTCGGATAATTGACGTTGCTGACGGAGTGGATGGAGCCGAGAAATCTTGGAGAAAAGTACAGACTGCTGAAGTATTTACTCTCAGTCACACTCGGTTGCCATATGAGTGTGTTTTGTGTCTTGGTGACGGTTAAAAGGCAGCGTTTCCATGATGGCGTCCGCAGCGGCACAGGCGTTCCCATGATGGCCAACCTCAAAACTTAAGTTTGAGCAAGGGGCAGGATTCCTTTCCACTCGCATATTTCACGTTGTGTAGGAAAAAGTAAACCAAAGACCAAGCCAAATCCTGTCACCACCATGACATACTCTACTACGGTCTGGACTTGGACATTTGTTTTTAGTATATGCTTCGGCCTGTCGAAATGTCACTTTTCAGTACCTCTCAAAATATTCCCGGGAAAGTACAACGTATCCACGGGGGTGAATTTGACAGCCCTCCGGCTCCTGGCGCTGAAGTCTGATGGAAACGGCCTTTCTCTGGCTTCTGATCCCACCGGTACAGTGAACTTTCTGGATATGGTTAATAACTTGCAAGGCGACTCTGGAAGAGGCTACTACATAGAAATGTCAGTGGGCACCCCTGGCCAGAAGGTAGTGTGTCTCATTTACTTTTTACTTTCACATCTGTATAGTTTTGCACATGTGATTTCAGAAGCTTTTGGCAGATATTGTTTGGGTTGCTGGTTGAATATTCCTAAATATAAGCAGGAATGCCATGTCATATTTTGGAATGATCTTCCTTCTGAAATCAAATTGGCTGTCATTTCTTTGAAAAGGGTCTGTTGGGGTTTTATTGTGATCAAAAGGATGGTAGAGCAGTTTCTAGTCCCTTGGGGGTGGGGTGTGGGGGTCTGTAGGTGGACTACAGTCCCCCTCTCACATGCACTCACATGATGCCGCCTCCGAGGACCAGTGTTTCTTTCCAGGCAGCTGACGGGGATTAGGAGGCTCTGAGGGAGCAAAGAGCAGCCCCAGAGCTGTGCAACAGCACTAACCCCACTCCTGCCCCCCCCTTTACCTTTTAGTTGAACATTTCCAGGTAATATGCATTCATTAGGCCATTCTGTTTGCAATCTACAGCCATTCGCAAGATTCTCTTAAGGTGGGCTGAATGTGGATGAGTCAGAGTTAAGAGCAGACGATGCCTGAGGAGTCGTAACGATTTGCCATTGTGTTAGAAGTGGATGCGTATTAAGACGAGCTTACACCTAGAGGTGAATCATCTAATTAGTAAAGTGACCTTTTGCCCCTGGGCCTCTCAAGTTAAGCAGATTGGAGCTTTCGCAGGACTCTTTGGTGGTACAGCTTCTCAGGTTCAGAGTGGCTTATCAGTGTTGGCTGCCATGTCGCAGAGGATAGCACGGCAGCACGTCCCAGACAAGACTTCCCTTAGTTTAAAAAAAAAAAACCAAAAAAAACCCCAAAAAACCCCAAAGTTGTATTTATTTAAATAAATATAAAAAAATAAAAAGTGGTGCTTTAACCAAATCATCAGGAGTGGAGACCACACTCATGAGTAATCTCAGAAAGCTATTGTATTTTCAGTAATCGCCATGCTCCTAAGCTAATTTTCTTTTGATGGTATAAGGGGGTACAGTAAGCAGGTTATTATTTGATGTCCACGATAAGACTTCACCAGTATTACTTTCTGCATTATCCCCCCGAAATCTTTTATTAAAGTGCAACATTGTTAAAAAAAAATTATCCATGAGGCCACAACTACTGCCCAAAGAGGAGAAAAATGTTCAAATCTACAATATTTAATCAGGCCATGTTAAAAAAACTTTTTTTTCAAAAGCCTACTTTAAAAATAAACAAAAAAACATATTGGCATCAAAGGACGCCACAGAGGGCATCGGAATATACTGTGAATCAGAAAACACTCAAGTCTTAAAAAAAGAAATATAGTAAAACTTATCAGGCCATGTGTACAAAAGCTTCTAATAGCATGAATACTAAAAGTTCAATAAATAGTTGGTGGAAACCATATTTACAAATTTCACATCCATGATAGCACCATGACAACATCTCTAGTTTATCATTTACACTACCCCCCTCCGGATACTGTGGCTTGATTATTAATAATGAGGCCTCTTATTAAACATGCTAATTAGCACATGTTGTATAAACTCACCAGTGCCGGGCACAGGAAAAACCAGCATGGATTCCTTAGCTCAGTGGTGTCCAACTCCAGCTCCTCTTTGGGCAGCTGCCCTTCAGGTTGAAGACCTTCACCTGCTTCTACGCACCTGATTCCTATTTAAAAATTGATCTCTCTTCATAAGCTCTGCACTGTTCTGCCAATGGTGCATTGATGTGAAACAGGTGTGCGGAGGCAGGGAACCCTCTGAAACCTGCAGGACAGCAGCCCCGAGACTCTAAGGCTGGCTGGAAAAAAAGGGGCATTCACAGGTGAAGCTAATAAAGCTAATAACTCCTGATGGTGCATCATTACCCTGCTACCACTTGGTTTCACATTATTGGACACACCTGTGTGTTCTGTACAGATTTAAAGTGTCAGGCTTAGGCTTTAGTAATAAATATATATATATATATATATATATATTATATATATATATACACACACCCACACAGATGTTCTGACAGGGAAATAATTGTAGACTGCTCTCTCTGTAATGGATTGCAAATGGATAGGGTGATTATGCAGTGGACGGAGCTGTTCCTCCACCTTTTGATATTCCTCCCTTGATATGCTGGCCATTACACTTCTGTCCTCTGTGCATAATTACAGTGAATCCCCTTACATCAGTTATTCACGGCGGCAGAGCTCAATCCACTTTGGTCCAAATTGGTTATGTCGTGCCAAAATGTCCTGTAATTCAATAGTATTGAGTTATACTCTCAATATTATTCGAACTAAATGATGGTGTGATTACAGGGCCGGGGTGTTAAATGAGGCACTATTCAAAATCAGCCGCTAATTGCCGCATCTGTTAACATGTGGCACAGCCGGGCTGAGGTGTCGGCTGGAGAGTCTCACATCTGCTAATTGGTACAAACAGGTAGCAGATGCACGTTGCCACCGCGAAGCCGCTGCCAATTAGACAGCCAGTGCTCAGCTGCAGGCTGCCACAGCAGGGGAAGAGATTCGCCTGAGGCTCAGAGGCTGAGCCCGGGCAGCGTATAGGAGCTTTTGGGGGGGCGTGGGAACGAGGAAGTGCCCTCGCTGTCTGTCCCCAAACCCCCCCCCCCCGCCTCCCTCTCTCTCTCCCTCTCTAAAATTCCAGTAGTTTCCAGTAGGGCTTGTTTGCTCTGTTTGCTCAGGCCTTTGCATGCGTGGTTTGCTGCAGTCTGGTGGGTTTTAGGTGGCACATTGACAGTAATGGGGGCCAGGGCCTTGCCGGCTGAGCCAGTTATCGACATTTGGTTCATAATTACATTGTTTTATAATAATCAAGCACACACCTGGCCACACCAGGGTTGGTATCGGCCATGAGCAGAAGCATGAGGAAGTTGGATAGCGACTTGTCGTGTTTTTACATCTGAAACTAGTTCCTGCTATTCCAGTCTGCTGATTAAGAACTGAAACAGAGGGACTTTTCGATTGTTGTGAAAGGGGTATTTCTCTGTAACGTGGTAAGAGATCATTAAAGAGCCGCTGCACAGAGGCCTCTGAAGCTGAGCAGTCAGGTGGTTGGGGGGCATTGGGTTTATGACCCCTGTCATGGGGAAGAATGCCTTCTATTGAGTGTTAATATGGCCTCTGCTCAGTCATGGAGGTGACAGAAATCTGTTGGATAATTAGCTCCTGCTCGCCGACTTGATGCCTGGAAGACAGAATTGTCTAACTGCTGTTAGCTGGTCCCCACTGTTCACATGACACGTAACCAACTGGCTGGTTGTGTCATACAGTAGCGTTAGTATCTCAGAGCTGTCATGTTCGTCACACAGATCGCACATCAGAGAGTAATTATGTCAGTCTGAGCGTAGTCATTTTCGTTCAACAGCAGAGAGCTGGACACCCCTGAAACCTGTGGAGACGACCACTACACTCAGTTAATATTTATTATCTTGTCGCGGACAGATCCAAATTTCTATTCGGTGGAAGGTTTTTCTTTCTCAGTAAATCCACAACACCGTTGATGTCGTCAGTGTCCATTAGTGACAGGCTCATTCAGATTTTTGAGAAGATTAAATACCGAGCAACAGGAAAAATGTGTTGCTTTGCCTTTTCCCTTTTTTTCATTCACACTGTCTATATTTTATTTCCAGCTAGGTTTAAAAAAAAAAAACACACACACACAAAACATTTAAGAAAAATATGAGAAAATGTTCAAAAATATGAAAAAAACTCATATGTCCTTTGTTGCGTTGTATGTGTTTGCTTAGTGTTTTCTTCTTGTTTGTATTTTTACAATGGGGTTAGGAGTTGTTTTAATCAGGGTGGGTAAGCAAACTCTTCTTTGTGTTTTCCAGTTGAACATCCTGGTGGATACGGGCAGCAGTAACTTTGCGGTGGCTGCGGCTCCACACCCATTCATTACTCACTACTTCAACACTGAGCTGTGAGTGGCTGGAACAACACGATCTGCAGTCATGTCAGGAAGAAAAGACTCCTGTTTGCTCTTCTACGGTTTTACATTTCAGGAAGTATTAAAACTGAGTTCATGTAAACTTAGATGAACAATATTAAACGCAACATCTTACACATTCCATCACTTGAAAAGCTAAACAAACAGGGCTAAGGAAAAACTAAGTACACACTTACAGCTCCTAAAGAAATTAAGAGAGTTAAAAGCAACATAGAGGAGAAACAAACAAACAGAGCTTAGGAGGAAAGACATCGGCAATGATCTTAAAGAAGCATTTTTCATGCCCGTAAACCTGGGCAGGTTATAAAACAATTTCCAAACTATTTAGAGGCCATCGTTCTGCAGTAAGGAGGTTTATTGATAAGGGGAAAATATAATGTTTTCTGGATTGTGCACCCCAGTAAAGTCCACCCCAAGGTCAGAGTATGCCATGTTCAAAGAAACTACAAAAAGTCAGCATGTTAAACATTTAAGTTCATGACAGATTAAAGTGAATACATTAAAAGAAGACTATTCAGAAGATGGCTAAGGTTTGGATTTCATCAAATTAAAAGATATCTGTAACACATGTCTTTGGAGAAAAAAGCCAGACCCGCTCAACTGTATGTTGGTTGGGCTTAAAAATGAGACTGAGTGACTGAGAAAAAAAACGACTTCTATTCTGAAAGAGTCCAAAGGCCTAAAGAGAAGTTAAAGGACCTGTGTATATTTGTCAAACGCAAACGTCCTTGAAGTGAAGGAAGATTTTTAAGAGCATCTGTAGGAGAAGGTCTACAAACTATCACAGCATAGAGTGTACTTACTTTTTTTTTTATATATCACCACTACTCAGGATAACAAATTCCACATGCGTCAGTGGCTCACACTGTGCTCCTAAAATGGGTTACTTTGTCTCTGTACTCCTTTTCCCCTGTGTTTTAGCTCCAGTACCTACATGTCAACCGGTCAGCCTGTAGCTGTCAGGTACACCCAAGGCAACTGGGAAGGTGAGCTGGGCGTTGATCGCATCTCCATCCCTAAGGGCCCAAATGGGACCATCACCATGAACATCGCTGCCATCACGTCGTCTGACGGCTTCTTTTTGCCCGGGATCAACTGGCAGGGCATCCTGGGACTGGCCTATCCTATGCTGGCACGGGTGAGCTGGGTGCACTTAAAGTTACAGCCACTAAGAGCGTTAAAGATTCCAATGGGATACAAACCCACCTATGCTGGATCTCTTTTCCAACAGTTAAGCTTTTTTCTAAATTGTGAAAAAACCCAGAGGTACACCTAATAATATAAGTATGCCGGTCAGACAGGAAATATATCCTTGTACATGGATTACTGGATTGAGTTATTTATTGTGTAATTCTTTGTCAGCTGAATCTAGCTGTAGTGCATAGCTTCTGTTCTTTTCCACTTATCAGGGAGTTCTGTCTGCATAACTTCTTTCTGAGATCTTATCTGGATATGATCACTGACATTTCAAAGGCCAAAGGAGACGCGTAATCCTTATGATTCAGTTTCAGCAGCCAAGGTGTGCTACTTTTGTGTAATTTTTCTTTAAATGCTCCCCGTCAATTAACTTTTTTATGCGTTTCTATCTTCTCTTCCTATTTCTAAAAGTACATTCTCTTCATGACAATAATTCCATTAGCCGATTTTGACTAAAGATTGTAGAGCATCCTTTGGATTTAGCTGCAAAATGTGGCAACCGGGAGCAGAATGACGTCTTTCCAGATCGGCACAATAAAGCTTTTCATTTTGAACCGACTGCAGCAACCTCTGGGATCAAATACCCGCGATTGCAGAGCAGATATGCTCACACTGACCACTTTGTGTTGTTGGTGTCTCCTGAGAGATCAGGTTCAACTTCCCTGAAGGCTGTTTGTCATGCATGACATGATAACACAGCACTGACATGAAAAACCTCCAGAGGAGAACATCATTTAGTCATGGAGCAGAACACTTTTTCAGAAGTTCCAACGCAGGTCATGTACACACTAGTTTAGCAATTGAAGTTTTAGCTATTAATGGTACTACCTCTTTTTTAACATAAGGAAAATATCTTTTTCCGTTTCAGATTCATTCAAAACAGTCGATACTTCTTTAAATAGCATAACATTCATCACATGGAACGTGGTTTGTGTGGTTTTGCCATAAAAATTGTGTGCCTGAGCTTGTAATTCATGGCATTGATTTCTTCTGTGGTGAGGGGTTAAATAAGACTATACAAATTATAACCACATGAGCGAAAAGCTCAAAACCCAAAGTTTAAATCCATTAAACGGAGTTAATTAGTGTACATGTCTTGTCTCTCGGTCAGCCCGACTCGTCCGTGGAGCCTTTCTTCAACTCCGTGGTGAAACAGCTGGGAATTCCAGACATCTTCTCCTTGCAGATGTGCGGCGCTGGTCTGTCGGCCAGCGCCGCAGCCGATCCCCCGGGTGGGAGTCTTGTGAGTAATCAGGGCGGCTGGGCGAGTTGGATTCATATAAATGGATTAGCTCCAAGTGGAAGTGATGCAGTCTTAATTTAGCGGATAACAAAGCAATTTGAAAATACAAAAGCTGGTAACATTGGCTGTGTATTTCCCCTCTGGAAGGCCCTGTCTAGTCGGAGAGGAGCTAATTAAGCTAAAATAGCATCCTGCTGAGAGCAGGTCTGTCACTGTTACACAGGCGACCTTGGCGCCTGGCTCACAGCATCTCCATCATGTGACCCGCTGATGCAGACAGATGGATTAGATGGCAGGGTGCTGGAGTGTTTATGCACTGTGGCGTGCCAGAATGTGAGCATAGGGAGGAACCTTTGCTACGGCAAACTCTTGTTTTTTGTGTTTGTTTCACAGATAATGGGTGGTGCTGAGCCAACTCTGTATCGGGGGTCAGTGTGGTACACCCCTATTGTAGAAGAGTGGTACTACCAGGTGGAGGTTTTGAAACTGGAGGTTGGAGACCAGAATCTGAATCTGGACTGCAGAGAGGTAAACCTAAAACCTGCTATGCTTCTCATTTGAACCTCACTCCACTGAGCAAAGAGAGCCTTCAAGTACTTTGAAAATCACGTCTTTAAAAATTAAACACACAGGCAGTGGAAACGGTTAATATTTAGACTTGATCAGATGATTGTCTCATGGTTAAAACACATAGATGAATCACCCCGAAAGAATGTAATCGGTTTTCCTTTCGCTTACGAAACTACTTCCTTGTTCTTTGAATAGTTTTTGCTCCAGGTTTTCCAGAGGAGCTTGTTGAACTGGCTTTTGCTCTCTCTCTCTCTTGCAGTACAACATGGATAAAGCTATCGTTGACAGTGGGACCACACTGCTGCGGCTTCCTGTCAATGTCTTCAATGCTGTGGTAGAAGCCATCACCCGCAGCTCTCTGGTACGCTGCTTTCTCTCCACAGACGATGATGAAACAGGTTGTCAGAGCGCAGACATAGTGCACTCTCACTGTTCAAGGACGAGTAGTTTTTGGTGGAGGAGCCCAGTGTTTCCTCCACAAACGTAAATATATTTGCATGAGGCCATTTGCCATTCTTTCCACTTTTTTTTTTTCTTTACCTCGTGCAGCTGCATTCAAGGTTTATGCAAACGTTTGCCGGTAATGGTCCCATAACCTTGTAGGAAGAATCCCTTGCGGTGAAAATGAAAGCAAACATCAAAGCCTTTTTCGGGGCTATACTGACCTTTTTTTATTTATTTTTTTTAAATCTCTCTCACTGGTTGTCTTCCTTTGTCTGATTTTTTCCCTTTGATTCAGATCCAGGACTTTTCCTCGGGTTTCTGGGATGGCACCAAGCTTGCGTGCTGGACGAAGGGTGAGACCCCCTGGAAGTTTTTCCCCAAGCTGTCCATCTACCTCAGAGCCACCAACACCAGCCAGTCCTTCCGCATCACCATCCTGCCTCAGGTACAGCGGCACGAAAAACACAAAAACAAGACATCCTTACCTCAGAGTTTCTCCATCAACCGAAGGTCACTGGTCCCGTTGTGTTGTCCCCCCCTTTGCAGCTGTACATCCAGCCGATCACCGACGTGGACGGCACGCTCGACTGCTTCCGTTTCGGGGTGTCCTCCTCAGCCAACGGTCTGGTGATTGGGGCCACTGTCATGGAGGGCTTCTATGTGGTGTTTGACCGTGCTCAGAAAAGACTGGGCTTCGCACTCAGCAGCTGCGCGGGTGAGGGCACGAACGGGACGTGAACAGCCACGACTCACGAAATGAGGCCTCTGATATCAAAACAGTGATTTGAACAGATAAGGTCACAGTGGTTTTTACAGAGCCCGTTATTAAAAAGCAGATTATACAGATATATGCAGCAAATCAACCTACAAAAATATTAGCGGGGCATATTCATTCTGTGTTTTCTGTATGAAACTATCTGAGCAGGAGTGTAGGTGTGAGATTTATAATGCATACAAAGAGGAAATATGGTTACTGATCACTGATTTTAATTGTAGCAAATCTGAAATGTTTCACAAACTAATCGCATTTGTCCCGCACGGTTCAGCTATTGTGAGAGAAGCAGCAGCTGCTTGCGCATGTTCTGACACTCCTGACACGTGTGACGTTAAACAGGGAGAGAAAATTCCACTGGAGAAGTCCCGCGTGCGTGCGTTTCATAGGAGGGAAGCTAGTCATTGAGAAGTGCTATTTGGTAACACTGGAAGGCTCACCAACCAGCGCCTTGATCAAACATCCTCCTTCCACGGGTCCAAAGACTCATGGAAAAATGTGTGCAAATTTTGTGCGCTTGCACAAAGCAGCCCACTCCGGTTTTAAAGCACAATGATCACTTTTGTCCTGCTTGAGCAGACACACTTGAAGAGGATGTAGGCTTAAGGCTAAGGACGCAGGCTTGTGACAGCAGGACTGCCAGCTGTCTGAGTGGGCTGGAAAAATCCAGAGAAAGTCAACTACAGATGAGCTCAAATAACCTTTTCCCTACAAAAGGTTTTGTTTATTACTGTATAAGTACAGAATACCAAGTCTGGGGTCTTGGTTTCAGTTTTAGCCCATTTACCCGTCTCTGATGGCCTAGTTACTCATAAGAATGTCATATTAGTGTTTGATAATCAACGCTAACGTATTTAATGACCAGGAATAGAATTTTAGCGGATAATCGGGGGAGGTTTCCCCAGCTTTAAGATTTGCAGTATTCCTATTTTTGCTCGTTATTGTTCCGCGTGATTGAAAATGTAAAGTGTCCCGTTCTCCAGCTGCAGCATCTCTGTGTTTTTCCCCAACAGTGGCTGGCGGGGCGGCCCTGTCAGAGATCGCGGGCCCCTTCTCGGCGGCAGACGTGGCGGCCGACTGCTCCACGGGCTCACTGAAGGAGCCCCTTCTGTGGGTCATCTCCTACGCCCTGATGGGAGTGTGCGGCCTGGTGCTCATCATACTGCTGGTCCTGCTGCTCCTGCCCTGCAGGCACAGGGATCGCTCCGGCGAGATCACGGACGAGTCCTCGCTCGTCCGGCACAGGATCAAGTGACTGAGACGAAAGGGACGGGCGAGCGCGACAAGCAGGCCGAGGGGCAGCGAGCTGACCCCGTCCACGCGTGTGGAGAAAGGGCTCGGCCTCGAACGCTTGACCGAGTCCAGACTGCACCCATCAGCTTGGCCCACGGACGCACACACAAACACATCAGCTGCCCCTTAAAGGGAAATTCCACCCCAAAAAACACTTATCAACACAGCCATTAGAGGTCAACGTTTGTTCCCTCTTCCTCGTTGGTGTACCTCTCTTATCCTCACCGACGATAAAACAATGTTCACGGAAGCTATCTAAGGACATCGATAATCAATGAGGGTGATTTTCTTTTTTTTATAGACTACTATTCTTTTCTTCTAACATTCACTATCTATACTTTCAGAAAACTCATATCAAAATAGGGCTCATCCTCTTTCGAGTTGTCAAAGGGTTTCTGGGAAACGAAACTATGCAAAATAGAATTAACAAAGTTCCTGAAATGCACTACACATCTGACCAGATACGAGTATTGTTTGACAATCAATGAGCAGCGCAGGCTGGTTGTAATGATGGGACATGCAGCATTGGGAAGCCATCGGACCTTTCACTTGAGGTTTTTAAATCAGATCAGAAATACTTTACTAATCCCAGAGGGAAATTATTGTGACTGATTCTGATTCTGAAATTATTTGCCTGCTATGTGGTCAGATTTTTGGTTCCTGTTTTCTAAGGATCCAAAACATTGTATAAGCATATTTAAGTTGAGAGGTAAAGCTGCTGAAACAACCACTGTTAATTTTAGGAATCGTTTACAGTGCCTGCAGTGCCTTCCAGTCTAAGCTCGCCGCTGAGATGAACCAATAGAAAGTACCAGCAGGTTAAGACTTGCTCTGATTAATTGCACTTTGCTTCTGAAGTTGATCAAAAGTGTGACATGAAGGTCCATATGTGGCCACGTGTTTGTTGTATTCATGTAATTTTGCTAAATCTGTATACACTCGGCTTTGTATTTAAATCTCTTTGAATGTTACTGTGATATTATTCCAAGTCGTTTGCATTGTAGCCCAATTCTTCCAGGATATTTTTAACAAAACAAATGCTAAATATAAACCAAATTAGGACGAGTTTTCATGCAAACATGATGGAAATGTACTAGACTACTGGTAGTCATTTTTCTAGCAAAGCTGGCTGACCCGTTGCCTATCAACAAAACATTATTGGACATCATTTTCAGGATGTGGGTTTTTGTAGCATGAACAAAGTTGCACACTAACATGTCCATATGGCCCACAGTGTGAAGTTGTAAAACTGTTTTCTGAAGGTACATTTGATTATTTAAACGCTCACTTATTTTAAAGGTGTATTACTTGTGCCAAAACTGTACTTGTGCTGTAAATAAACAAACTTCTGACAAATCAGAGAGAAATTTTAAACTAATAAATATTTCGGGACTTTGACTGTAACATTTTGTGCCTTTCTCTTATTGCTTCTAACATTACTGATAATTACATTCAGTCATGTTGCTGTTCAATCATTTACTTCACAAGTCAGCAAAAAGAAAGCAGCATTACACAGGTTAATAAGTATAGTGTAAATCATTTTTTCAGTTTGAGGATAAAGAAGACACCAGGGAAATAATGAAATTATATAAGCTTATAAAGTACACATTGTTGAGGACGTGGTGTAAGGTATGTTCATTCATCTCCCACCGATGCTTAGGTCTTGTGATCAGACATCTTGATGCTTCTGGAAACAAACAAAACAGTATTTTGATCTAATGCAGTAAATAATTGGCAAAGCTTCTAACTTGTAAACTGGATTAAAGAGCTTCTTTTCATGTCATGTAAGCCAATTCCAAATTTAGATAAGAATGGCACATGAGCAGTCAGTTTTTACAGGGATAGGCATTAGCTCACATCCACTGACAGCAGAAACATTTAATTGATTAGAGATCAATGAAATGTCTGTGTGGTTCAGCACAACTTTCCTTTTACTTTAAACAATGTGGTCAAATCAAACTTTGTCCATCGAGGTATAAGAGGCTGCGGACCTATTACAGAGGATGTCTTGGGCATGGATTGCCCTTTTGACTTGCCTAGCACACGACTAAGTAAGATAAATCACACAAAGCAATAATGCACAATCATATCCGCTAAATTAAGTTCTGTGCATCAAATTAAATGAAACGGTTGAACAATATCATTAGTGTATATGGCATATGGAATTTCACAGCATAAAACGTGCGTAACACACATATCGTAGCAGGTAAATTGAATGGAAGGAGCAGTTTTAAAGGCCTTTGATAAGTTAACAAGTGTGAGTTTAGCTGTTTTTTTTACCTTCATTTGACTGTAGATCCAGTCCAGGTACTGTGTGATGTTGCCATAAACACTTGGGTTATTCTGCCCTGTGCAGTGTTCTGCCCAAACACTGTCCCCTATCATCCACCACAGTCCATCTATCAGGGACACCAGGGGGCCGCCGCTGTCCGACTGGGAGGAGTACAGATTGAAACGCGGTTCAACTTCAGACTGCAGCTGGTCACTGGGGCAATTAATACCTCAGATGTGGGAAGTTAACGACTCGTAAGTTTACTCATTCAGTTTTAAAAACCATCTAAAATCCTTCATTGGATTTCTGAGGTCAATTTAAAAGCAGTGAATGAGATGAATAAAGTGTGACATCCCAGTCAGCTGCCTCGGCTGCTCGGGACTTAACACCAATTGTTGAGCGCATAAGTCACCAAAAATGTGTTTATTTAAAGCTGCTGTCATGTACAGAACATAGTGCGGGTCTTGTTTAACTGTGCCTTAAAGCAAGTTACATAAGAACATAAAAATGCTTGAAATACTTTCGTGAACAGAAACGGGTTTGTTTGTGGTAGAGGGAAATAAAAACAACCGTTCATATGATTTCCCCCTGAAATCAGTGGGCCGGGGTTTTCACTGCTAACGGATGAAGATGCTGTGCATATGTCTTACATGGCACGTCGTTGGTCCGGCCTCGGTCTGTCTTGCACAGAGCATGTCCTGTGATATTCTGCCGTTGCACTCCCCTGAGTCTATGAGAGACACCTGATCCTCCATCAGGTGCAGTGAGCTGGAGTCTGTCAAAGAGCCACAGCAGGTACATTACCTCCCATACTCTTCCCTGTCAAAGCTAAAATACTTGTATTTCTGTTACATACTCTAACATAATGGTTCAAAGGTTAAAAGCACTGAGGGCAGAACTTTAGTGCCATCTAGTGGTAGTATTAAACGCATTTACAAAACTAAATTTCCCTGTATTCTGTACTCATTTATGAGTACAGAAAGATGTGTAAATGAGCGGTGTCTCTGTCTCACCTCCACTTTTCATGGGACCAAAATGTGTTATCCAGGTATTCTCAGCCAAACTGTAGTTGAAACCAGGATACGGGAGGCACACGGGTCCGATTTTGCTGGAGCCTATCAGGGAAAAAAAGTTGAAGTAAGTCCAGTCAAACTAAAAAGTGAGTCAGGAGCAAAAAAAAAAAAAACACAAAAAAACTTGAATAAAAGGGCATAAAATCAACAGCTTACTTAGGAAAATGCTGGGGTACAGCACCTTATTTTTGATGCACTAAGCTGTGAAAAAAGCATGGAGTGTGGCTCCATAAAGTCATGTAAAACAGACGACACACACGTTTTTCAATTTCAAGGTTTCACATGTGAAGACAGAACAAGAAAAGCTTTTAGGATGAGGTCATTGAAACATTGAACGCACAACAGCGCATGACATATTACGCCGTGTAAATTCTTTATCAAAAACCTCTTCATTAAAAAACTGTGGGGTTGCACAGCTTATTATGGTTTATCACACAGTGAGAGCACAGCAACACTTTAAAAACTCCTAAAAACCTTCAAACTGAAAGAATGTGCGTTCTGTTTTTTCAGTGACTGTGTGTGTATGAGCACCTGTGAAGTCCATAGGTTTAGAAAGCCTCAGGAGCGCGATGTCATTCTGGCGAGACAGGCTGTCATAGCCCTCATGTGCTACGATGTGACTCACGGAGTATGCGGGGTTAAACAGAGTGTCCAAAGGACCCACTATCCCAGCATACACTGACCAGTCTGCGGGGGTCGTGACCCTGTAGGAGGAGGAAGACAGACGAGAATCAGACCGACAGCTCAGCAGAAGGATGATGGAGAAGGAGGATGGAGAAAAGAGCTCACCCGGTCACGCAGTGCGCCGCGGTGATTATCCAGTACGGGGAGATGATGGCCCCCCCGCAGCGGTGAGAGCCTGCAGCCTGAAGGCCGACGTGCCAAGGCCAGGACGCCAGAGAGGCCAGCTGACGTCCAGAGGCTCCGCTGGAGTTCACTCCGCTCCCGCAGTCTGAAAATAAAAGCGTCTTTGAGAGCGGATGGGTCTCCCTGCCCCAGGCTTCAGAAAGCAGGGGGAAAAGAGGCCGTGATGGAGGGCATGTGCTTCAGAACACGTGATAACACACCTGTGCAACGCAGTGTCACCACACTGTTGTCAGGACATGAGTTGCTGTTAAAAAAAAAAGTCAAGACAAGTTTAAGATTGATTCAGCTGCATATGGTGTCTTTACCTTCTCACCTAGACCTCCCTTACCTGGAGATGAGCTGCTGCACTATGGACGCCTGAGGGTTCGAGGTGGGCTTCACCGATAGGAATCCACCGCTGGAGTCAGTCCTCTCGTGGCTTGATTTAAAATACGTGCCTCTGTCAAAATACGCAAACAAACAAACCAAAAAAAAAACATAGCTTAAAGTAACCTTTTAAAATCTCTCCAACAAGTCCCAGTTTGTTTGAGCGTTGGATGACCATACCTGCTGTATCCGATGTCCCGGCAGCTCGTTCTCCCCTGCTGGCCGCTCCAGCCGTGAGAGCAAACAGTCCTCCATTCTTTGGTGGGAGTCCAGTACACCTGAAGCAGGAAACGCGAGCCGCGCAGCCTCACTGTGTGCCAACAACAAACACAACTTCACATTCAAAGTGAAAGGTGGGTGCAGAGGACATCTACTTTAGTGTCGTACACATAAAAGTGTGAGTTAGCGCACAGTTCACACAAAATTAAAAACTAAAAGTGTAGTAGTCTCTTGTTTTTGATGTCTTTACCCTAATCAATGACGCATAGAGTGATGTTAGAATGGTTTTAGGTTTGAAACAGTAATAAGTACATGTAATCAGAGACACATTATTAATGAATTAAGCTAAAAAGAACGCTAAGATGGCTTATTAAAGGCACAAAACTATGTAACGGTTGGTGAGGAGTTCTCCTGGTGGATTTTATCCCGCCTGAGGCCGTTTACCGCAGTTGGCTTCATCCTGGCCCGCTGGACAGTCCCTCACCCCATCACACCACTGGGATTCCCATACGCAGCTCCCATCCCCGCATTTCATCCCGTGCACACAGGGTGAGGAATCTGGAAGGCATGACCGAACCAGAAAACAACAGCGGAGGGTTTGTTTGAGAGCGCCTACCAAATACTTCTGCTCACATGCGAGACGGGAGAGGGGGAGAAATCCTGCACTCACAGTAATAACCCAGGAGGATCCCGACCAGCAGCAGAAGCAGGAGCAGGCAGATGACCGCAACCACAGTGAACTTCACACACTTCTGTTTCAGATCTGGCACAACACACAGTGACTAGAAGCCGCTCCTCTCTCAACTCTACTCATGACTTTTACACTTTTGAACTATTATGAATATAAGGTATTTCTGCCCAAATTGGAGCTAGATCATTTCCTCAGGCTAGTCTTAAATTTCAGCAAGTTTCCTCATAGGAACTTTTCTCCTCTAACTCTTGAAATGCTCAGAGAGGTCTGTGTAATTTATGGTCATTTGACTTTGTTATAAACAGGAATTAAATGTCATAATTTATTTGAAACTATGCCATTTTTATCAATTATTTTACTAACTTTTGAGTTATGAAGTATGCTTAAAAATCAGTAGAGTTGAAAATACCTCCTATATTGTAATATATTTTTAATATTTCCCTTTTTCCTATGATTAATAATTAAGCATTGGCTTTCTCATAGATTGTCTTTTTACTCATGAATGCTATGCGTTGCTTTGATGCTGCTTTCAACACAGATTCATTTCAAGTTAGCTTTTCTGATGTGTGTTTCTGTAATCACCAGTCACACAATTTCAAATAAGGGTTTTCTAAATAAGGCTTTTGTATATTTTTTCAAAACATTTTTTTGAAGTCCACACTTTTACACTTTTGACATGTTTTTCTAAATAAGGCTTTTGTATATTTTTTCAAAACATTTTTTGAAGTCCGCACTTTGACACTTTTTTTATTATCTAAAAATACATTTTCATTTCGATAAGTAGAATACACAGTTTAATTTAACCCAATTTATTGTTAATTGAATTTAATTATAGAAGCATTTAGTTCTCGATGTGCATCATTATTTTAATTAGTTCATTTCCTAATTGCATTTACATTCTTACAACAATGAAAAAAATAGACACCCTTTGAATAGTTCAATTAGAATTACAGTGCTACATCGTAGTAGTATGAAAGGGCACTAAAATACCTTTCTTTGGAGGGACGGAGGTGCTGATCTCAGGTGGGGAATTTGGGGCCAGGTGGTGAACATACTGGGGTTTAACATCTGATCGGATCAGTGGGGGAAGGTTCCTTTTATCATCTTGAATAAAATGAAGACTGGAGTCCAGATACTGTTGGTATGGAATTAGGGATGAAAATCTGTATGCTATTTTGTTGTACATTAAAACAACCTGCTAAGAAATATAAACATACCAGTGACACTTTTTCTGCGGGTGTATTTAAGATCAATTTCCATTCAGAAACTTAATGTATTGCTACGTCAAACATAAGAAGCTGTGGTGAAGTGATAAACTTAAACTTACCGGATTGGTGCTCATTTTCTGTTTAACCATCCTTAAACTGGAGCTGGAAAAATATCACCCACTAGTACTGCTGACATTAATCCAGATGTATCTGTTTAAATTCAAAGTTTGACACCTCTACAGAACAGTTTCTTGGGAGGTAATGACCACGAGCATCTCAGTGTTCTCACACCACAAAGCTCAAATAAAGAGTTTGTATGAAAGTCTAAAAGCCACTCCCACACTTCACATTGTTGCATTTAAGTTTCCCCACTGAACAAACAAGCAAGCACACAACAAGGACCAGAAAAAGCTGTAGTCTAAACGTCTTGATGTCGTTATCAGCTATGACTACACAGACAAATAAGTTTATCGGGATTACAAATTACAGACAATCTGAACCTTCCCTTGATGAAAAAAAAGAGTCAGCTGCTTAGCCTCTTTTGCAATGTCTTATAGGGTAACAGCTGTTTTCAGTGGATGACTGAACTATTTATCACACTATATTTGGCTTTGATGGGAGAAAATATTTGCTGTTTCATTGTGTCAATAAGCTTGTGTGATTATGACATGAAATGTATATTGTAGTACAGTTTTATTCATTGTTTTCTCCAGTTCTTAAATGTTCCCCACCCTATTTGTCAGTGGACAAAGCGTCTGTACAGGGATATCTTTTATAATTTGAGCCTGGCAGAGTTTTTCTAAATAACCCTAGTCAATGTAGTCAATCTGAATCGAGTCAAAATGATTAACAACTGATTAATTTCAGTTTTTATTCACATTTTAAACCGTTTCGCTTTGTTTTGGCTTTAGCGCGTCATTTAAAGACTTTTCAATGACGTAAAGGAGAAGATAAAGCAGCTTAAAGAGGCTGTTGAACAATAAACGTTACATAGGGCCTTGTAAAAAAACAAAAACAAACAATGATCCAATATACTCAGACATGTGGAGTGTGCATGTTAAACAGTGGAAGTAGATAAAAATCCTGCTGGATAAGAATGAAATGCAATACATAGAGCATAAAGTGGCAGACATTCACAACATACTGGCAATAATCAATTCCCTCATACTTCAGTCAGCAAAGAAAATAGTCACATCCAGCTGGTCAAAAGACACATTTAAAGATCCAAGTCAGCCGTTTAGAGCAGAACAAAGTCAGGGCCTGTTTTGCACTTTCATGACTAGGCACTTCACAGGTATTTCGATTTGAATGATCAAAATGCACAACATATCATTTAGTGCTCTCACTTTAAAATAAGGTGCAAAGGCTGCCAGAGATTGATTTGCGGAGTCAGTATGGCGCTGAGCAGATTTTTTTCCGGTCCAAGTGTACCTTCTCTCAGGTCTACACCCACGCCTGCCAACCTGGGAAGAGTCTGCTGAGGTTTTTGGGGTCCATGGCTTGTTGAATGAGCAGGTTGACCTGCCCCCCCACGCTGAGCACCGTTCCCTCCTCCACCCCCTTCAGCTTCTCCTGCAGTCGCAGCAGCACCCGCTCTGCCACCTTGTTGAAACTCTGGCTGTCACTATACGAGGGAGAGGCCATCAAAGAGATTTAAGGAAAACAGTTTTTTATTTACATTTTGAGGATTAAAATATTTCTCCGGGGTTTGAATATCCTCCTCTGGGGAATCACCTGGATTTACGATGGTTGTCAATGTCATCGCCTCCCATTGTGGAGCTCAGTGTTGCGTTGAGCTCCTGCTGCTCATCGTGCTGCAGGTAGAAGGCCTTTAGGGGGTTCATGGTCCAGTCAAACAGGGGGTCATAAAGCAGCACCTATACAGCAAAGAAAATAGGCAGAGTCGTCGTTGTACATCTCATTAAATGAATTCAAAAGTATCAAAGAAGCCTTTGAGTGAAAACCATCCATCGGTTGTACCTCTACAATTGTCAGCACGGCTTCCTGAGAGCTCCTCATCACCTCCATCGTTTTCTCACAGCATCTGTTTAGGAATTATAAGCGTGAAGCTAGTTCATTTCTCAGAAAGAAGAGTTTGCTTAATCTACAGTGGCAAGACGGGTATTTGAACAGCGCCATCAGGAGGACAAACGGGCGCCTCCTACTACTCACCTCCTGAAAACTCCCTCCACTCCGGTGATGCCCATCCCATCCACGATGTCCCTGGAGAGCCTAAAGGGGACAGTCTCAGGGGTGGGGAGGATCTTCCCCTGCTCAAACGCCACACCTGAACACCGCAACCAAGCACAGCCAGGAAGTGGGGTTTCATACAAGCTCACAACTGTAAAGTCCCTCTCATTCCATGCGGTTGGCTTCTGTTTTAACATTTGATGGCTTTAAGATTTGATTTATCTGTGCTTGAGTGAATTTCACAAAGTCAGAAAAGAAAGTACCTAAATCGATGTGCACCAGCTCAGCAGTCTGTTCGTCGATCAGGATGTTCTGGATGTGTCTGTCGCCCAGGCCCACAATGTAGCCAACTGTGTGTGTGTGTGTGTGTGTGTGTGTGTGTGTGTGAGGGGGGGAATAGAGAAAGGTAATTTATTAGTCAAAGTGAAGCTGAATCCAACTGACTATCTTTTTTCTTTATTTTCTTTCTTGCCTGTAAAGACTTGAGTCCATGATTTTTTCTAATATTCAACAATATCAAAAACAGTTTTCCTTCCTGCTTGGTTATTTAGTAAAAGCCATCAGTGTTTACACTAATATGATGTATCCTGCTTTTTCTTTCCTATAGTTCATATACTACAGTTGCTGTGCCTTTTAACTTTAACACAAACATCATTTCATGTTTGCATGTGACACGCTGTATCTGGAGTGTGTACCTATAGAGGAGGTGGCCACGCTGCGAGTGTAAGCCAGCCGTTTCTCCATCCACACCGCAGGATCCAGGAACCGCTCCATGCAGAAATACCTGAAAACCGGCCGAAACCTTTTGCACACCTCGCTGAAGGCCTCCAGCTTCTCATCAAACGCCATTCTCTGAGCCTCCTGTGGGGAGCACGCGGCAGGGACAAACAGCAGAATAATCATTTGCAGATCCGTGACTGGCTGGTGCCGTGTGGTTTCCTTTTAAAAGCAATTTTGCAGAATCATTACCGCCATCCTCTTGCGGCAGGCCAGGCTGGTCCAGTCCTGTGGCCTGAAGCGTTTGTGGGCTCCTTTATTGGGATCTACCAGAAATTCCCCTATGGGCATGGTTCCAGAGCACCACTCTAACACACCACTACGCTGAGAGAAGGGCACAACCTGGGAAGACGTGTAAGAATCCATTAAAATATGGTTAAATATATTTTTTTACAGCTTTTAAATAGCCTTTTGAGAAACTAGTTACAAGTCGCAAATACAACTGTCCAGCAGTCGTAGGATTCTGGATGTATTCAGCCTTTGACATAAAAGAAACAGGGTGCAGCAACCTTGTATCGTCTGATGTTGAGCTTCCTTTTGCGGGTGTCGGTGTTGCGCTGCAGCAGCATGGAGCACATGCTGAAGACCTGCTGCATCACCGCGTCCTGACGCAGGTCATCCTGACCCTGCTCACAAAGACAGGCGAGAAAAGGAAAAAAAACGTGGAATTGTGTGCCATTCCAAGGGAAACTGATAACCAAAGTTTGAATTGAATATACTTTATTGATCACCAGGGAGAAATTGACTTCCAGTACAGCCCGTACCAACCTCTTTGAACCTCTGCTCAATAATGCATTGGGAAAATATCACTGGGGAAAAAAAGAAAAAACTAACAAAAAACTTTCTGAGCTCAGATGCACTTTGGTTATTGTTGAATATTCTCAATGCTGGAAGAAAGTTGCCTTTAAACTAATCTACTAAAGATGTGAGTTAACAGCAGAATAGGGAATGCCTTGATGCCTTGCCTATAACTTCAATTCCAAAAAATTCCCATACTGTAAAATAAAAATGGATGCAATAATACGTTATGAAAAATGGGAGTTAAAATTAGTAGATTCTAAACGCAATCACGTCAATGACCTGTTTCCCAATTTGTTTAAAAGGTGCTCCTCCAGCTTTCTTTCAGCACCACCTGCTCTTTCATCTTTTTTAGCCCCCATCACATATGCTGCCGTCATTTTATAGCTTTCAGTAACTGGTACGTCGTTTTTTGATAATAAACTGTTGGTTTATGAGGTTTCAAAATCACTGCTTTCTGGTTTTATTTAAACTTGACACAGCATCCTGAATATTTCTGGCACCAGTTAACCTACTTCCAGAGGGTACGAAGACTAAAAAGTATTAAAGAGGTCAAACTTCCAGGAACACTAGTAATATACACAACCTTATTGTTTATTCAGAGTGCTTGGCGTGTGAACTTAATAGCCATGACGATAAAATCCAACTCTCTGGTCAAATTATAAAGTTGCTTTACATATCTTTGTGCAAACAACAGTCAGATGAGTATTGGCTTCAATTCCGTAAACTCTTTGCTCTTAAATCTGTGTTTAACTGCAAAACAAGCAGGAAAAAAATTGCTAAGACTCTTTCATTGTCATTTACAAGTCGTAAATGATTAGCCTTTAAGTGTCTTTCAAATGTTCCTGCAAACAGAAATGCATTTTCACAGGTACACAAACCCACCCCTGCTGTCTCATGAGATGTGTATCCATCATGAAAGTGTGAAAGCATGTTTGTCTTGCCATGAAAACAGGATTAATCATTGCCAGCAGCCAAACCTAAATGGAAAATAACCCGGAGGTTGAAGCGAGCAGACTGCACTAAACGTCTAACATTTCTTGACACACGTCCGACACCATCCAACCCACATGCACGCTTACTTTGACCAGCTGTCTCCTGGTCTTGCCGTCAGAGCCCAGGCAATCGATGATCTTGGGCAGATTGACTCCTCCAACCAAGTGATAGTGGGGGAGAAAGGATCTGACAGTCACTAGGTTGTCATAGCAACCAGATGGATCCACCTGTTACCAACATGAGAAACTGATATAACATTAACAGTTCTGTTAGAGGATAATTAGGACATACAGTTAGTCTGTTGGGTTATTTGATTTTATCTAAAGGAGGGCTATAATTTTGTTACTGGTTGTTACAGATTGTGTTTTACTACCGAAGTTATTTTTGTACCAGTGAGGTATAATAAAGCCTGTTCATTAACATCTGAGAAGCCTGTCTGAATCCGTCTCGAGGCTGGGAAAAGTGTCCTCCTTTTTGGAAATCAAAATATGGTCACCCTAATCAATACGTTACCTTAACCTCCATTGTTGGGATCACAACTTCATCGAGATCTTTGATAGCCATGATGGGCTGATCAGCCGGGATGGGAATAGCCTCTGAAAAGGATGTGAGAAACACCAAATATGACAAAAGAAATTCAATTTTCACCTGAGGTGTCCATACTGTAAATGTGTTTACTGTTCAATAAACTATTAAATAACCATAAATGACCAGACTATAAATCGTCAGCCGTACCGTTGGAAATACACTCATCCTAAAACAATAAGTCAGAGGTCTTTTTCTCTCTCCTCCATTTATGTTCCACTCACTTTTCTCAGTCTTGTGCCTGCTGGCGTCCATGTAAGCCAAAGTGATGTAGGCATCGCACAAGCGCTCGATCCCTCGAATCATCCCGCCTCGCTTTTTCCTGATGGCACTGATGATGTTCAAAGCCACGTTTGAACGTTCCTGTATTGCGTAAAAGAGAGACCTTTAAAGACAGGTGATGGCTAAATAGACGTTAAAACTCTTTTTACTGTTTGTGTAACAAAGAGGTTACGGCTGTAAAAACCAGATAGTATCTGAGAGAACACTCTCTGATTTTTTGAATATGCTGCGTTGAAGTAGCTATGAAAGTTAGTTTTGGGGGGTGTTCTGTTTTTCTCCTCAAACAGGAAATCTTTTAACAGCGAGTAAAACATGAACATGAAGAGGCATCCATTTTAAGGTCGTTGGTCGGATTCAGCGATCTTTAATGTAATGTCTCACCAGGTCAAATGGCGAGGGCTGCCGGGGCGACCTGGACTGCCGGGTCCTGTGAAAGTTCTCATCTTTGTTGGCGTTCCACAGGGCGAAGATGATGAAGAGCGTGTGGTGAGGGTGCTCCAAAGACGCTCTGAAAATCAACTGCAAGGACAGGATGGTAGTTTTATCTGCATGATATGAGCTGAATCACTGGAGTCAGGTGAAATACAGCAGATCGTGTTCTGTTACATCAATGAGAACATCATGGAATCCAGTATCCTCAGAGACGCCAGTTGCCATCTTAGTTCCCATGCGAGCAGCCAGCTGATACATTAGAGGCAGAAACTTGTAGGACGGGATCTGCTTCACTCCTCTCTGTGGGAGAAAAACATCTGTGAAAAACAAAAGCCGTTCCATCGCGTGGCTTCGACTGCAAGCTCAAACACAAGATGAAGTCATTCAGCAGTTGTACTTGCCTTCATCATGTCATTCACAACTTTGATGTCGGCGTTCTCCAGCCAGAGCGAGGCCAGGCGGAACACCCAGGTGTCGTGCTCCTGGCCTTGCTCCAGACACTGGATGTAGTTCTCCACCGCCTTACACAGGAAGCGCTGTCTGTCTGTGCGCAGGTTAGTCAAGGCCTTTTCATCCAGCTCCAGCTCTTTTTGCACCTTTATTGTGTACCTGTGGGGTTTATACAGCAGCGAACGACACTTTCACAGCCTATTCCTCATCCAAGTTAACCCAAAAACACAAAGCTGTGGAAACTAAACGTGAAAAAAACTAAACCTGTTTGTCGTCACTTTACGCTCCCTCATCAAGTCCACCTCCTCTTTGGCCTTCTCCAGCAGCGCCTGCTTGTTCTCAAACTCGGAGGAGTTCATGTACTTGTCAATGCTCTGGTACTGAGCGTCGGAGAAGCGAGCCAAAGACAGGAAGGCCTCTGTCCGCTGGCTCTGGAGCCTCGCGTCTCCGGCCCCCGACTCCCCTCCTATCACCTCTGCAGCCTGAGAGATAATATATCAACCCACAGCAAGACCAAAAGCATGAAGTAACAGGTGTCAGACGGAAAAAAAACCTCAGACAGAACTAAAGAAAACAGGACTCTTATGATTGAATAGAAAAAAGCTAATGTTTAAAGAAGCACACACACATGAATATACATGAATTATTTAATTTTGTCTTTATGAATCTGCCATAGCCGGTGGATATAAACAGTAAACTTGCAGAAATTTAATATCTTTGTCTTTGCCTACTCCTAATTCATCTACACAAACATAAATTATTCATTCGTGTGATAGTATGAGTGCATGTGAGTCTGTGAGGCCAAATATTGCCTGGCTGATGGGTAATGTCTCATTCGTTTCTCTGAGGATTGCTGCTGCTATGTGTTTATTGTATGTGTGAAAGAGAGGGGGACTTTTTAGTATCTTCTAAGCTTGAAAAATACTTTCCTACCAGGAAAGCAGCTCTGTTCTGGAGCGACTTTTTAAAAGTCACTGCATTTCATGAGTTTTCAAGCCTTGTGTGAAAACACTTCCCATTTCAACATCAAGGCCAAGTGGTTTGTTTCTGTAATCCCTTTGAAAGCTTTTCCTTACCCTCTCAAGGTAGTTCTCCAGTATAACTCCAGGACTTTCCAGGCATGTCTCAGCCAACCAGTTCCCGCACAGCCTGAGGCACTCGGTGTAGAGAGGTGCCAAAGCGGGATTGAAATCCACCTGGCCGAACACACACAGCGGCATGACGGTTTAATTGAGCCTCTTCAAATCCCGCTTTGAGTTATTAAAGGATGGAAAATCTTTCGGAATCAAATCAAGAATAACGTTCTCAGTTCTGTTTCATTAAAGTCCGAGAGACTGTGTTTGACCTTTCCCTCCAGGCTGTGTATCATTTGTCTCAGCAGACCCAGGGCCAGACCCTGTTCTCCCTTCGCCCAGAAAACCTGGGCCTCCTCCAGCTGCCATGACGACACAGGGAGGGTCAGACAGGCCGCTCCACCGCCGTGCTGCTTCATCTGGTGGACTGCGCGTTCTGCAAGCTGACAGCAGTTCCATGGCTATGAACACTATGTAGAAACCTTGGGTGAAATACCTCATGACACATGGGAAGGTGAGGATGCTACCTGCGTGTTTCCAGCTTTGCGAGCCAAACGGCTGAGATCCATGAGGTGATCTGTGAGCACGGAGCTGAGGTACTCCGTGTTGTCGGGGTTTCCCAACCTGGAGAAGATGGTGTGTTGGGCCACAGAGCGCACCGCGAGAATGGGCTCCACCACAGAGAAGTCGCTGTCCACTAGCAGCTGGGAGTGCTGACGCCACTCGCTGCAAACTTCAGCCAGAGCCACGTCAGAGAAGGGCCTGCAAAAATTCCCCAATCACTGATATCATTAGATCCAACATGTTTTAGTGGCCTTTTTCTATGTTTTTAAAAACTGTTTTAACAGACGAAATCACCTGGAGAAGAGCTGCTTGACATCCTCCAACTCCCTGATGCTCTGCAGGTTTCTGAGGGCCGGGTACAGAGAGGACACTGCCTCCAGACTGCCTCTGCAGAGCTCCTCCACCTCAGAACCCCTGCATAGACACACACGCACGCATTTGTGTGACTTCCATGAAACCTGAGGTCAAACTTTCAAACTTATCATTTTAAACTTTTTCCATACCTGGTTTGTTTCAGTGTTTCATCAAACAAGGAGAACTCTTTGTCCCTCAGTGCTTGCAGAGCACAAAACACAGATTCGTGGAAGCCAGGATTGGACTTCTCACTCCTTGCACAGCAAAATATATTCAAATTAAAAGAAGCCTTCACACGAGGCACATGCAACATGTCTATTGCTCCCACAAATCCCCATTCCTCACCTCTCTGACAGCTCACAGTCCCACTGGGTGCTTCTCCAGGCTGCCTGGAAGCGGAGCTCTCGGAGCTCGGCTCCCCACTCCACCCCCTCACTCTCCAGGCCCTTCATGTAGGTGTTGAGGATGTTGCCGAGACCAAAGTTCTGTAGGCCCTGATGACACATTTGTAAGAAAAAACAGATATAAGATTCATTTGAATGAACTTGAAGAAATTTGGTAAGGATTTTTAAATTTCTCATGGATTGGCTTACCTCCAATATGCCCATTTGTCGAGTGACCTCGGGTAGACGAGAGTGAAGATCATATGAAGTCAGGGCCCTTCCCCACATGGCTTCATGTTCATAGGTTCGAATCCTGCACATCAGAGCAAGAAAACAACACTGACTTATTAGCACTGATCAACACTGGTAGTGACAAAGAAACCTATTATCCAGTCATCTTCAACCTTGTCAGCGGACTGGTCATCGTGTCTCCTCCGCAGCCGTAAAGACTGTCAGGCTCTCCGATGCTGCGATACACCTCAATCAGCAGCTCCTACCAATGGATTAAAGAGCGAGTCATACTCATATACAAATGTGTGGAAATAAGGGGTGAAATAAACCCCAAGATTTGATGATTTGATTTTAGAGTGAGTGGCTTTCAGGAGGACGATTGTCATAATTATACAAGCAACTGGAAATTAATAACCAACTGCTTTACAGTGTTGAAGTAAATTAATGGAAAGAAAAAAAAAATCCATCAAGCAAAGCGGACCTGCAGACTGATGTTGGTGTCCTCCATACTCTTTTCAGTGAGAGTAGAGATGGTGAAGTTCTGACTGTTATCCTCAAAATTCATCTTCCGTGATGCTCTGGACTTTGTTCTGCAAATGTTTGATAAATTAATTAAAACAACTTATCATGCTTAGATTCAAATGTTTTTATCAGGCAGATTAAATCAAATAAATTTAAAAAAAAAAGAAAAGTCAGAATCCTGTTCTATGTAACATACAGTACATCAACATCTGTGTTTGCATACTTGCAACTCTCCTCCATGCTAGCTTTGATCTTGTCCACGTAGATCTCAGTGTACAGCAGCGCGGTGAAGTGAGCCGAGCACGACTGAGCAGCTTTGGCCACCTCGAGGTAGTTCAGGTCCAGCCAAAAGTTGTCGTCGCACACTGTGCCGCAGGAGTTACTGTAAGAGGGCAGAGGTCTGGGCATAAGCTGCTGGCGCTACTCAGTGATGAACTAACCCGATTGAAGGTTGAATGTATGAATGACATTTGATTCCAATGATGCTACAAACCTTTCAGCTTTCAAAGGTCTGTGTTGATGTCTCAGATAGTCAATAACAGCCAGCATGGTGCGCAGGGAGGTCTTGTCATACAAGCCCTGACTGGCGGTGTCAGACTCTGTAAGCATGAAATCATGTTGAGCACATCAAATGCGATATCTGCTATCAAGACCTGTATCACTGCCTTAAACGCACCAGAGTCGGAGTTGAGAGGTGTGGCCGATCGACTGCTGGCCTGGGCACTTCTGGCACAGAAGCTGAAGAAGTCCTGAATGTGGGAGGAAAGGAGCTCCCTCCACGTACCACTGGAATCATCCAGCAGGACGGAGTGAATGATGAGCGGCAGCAACCTCTGACAGCAGTCCACCCACACCTGGAGACAGATGGATGAAAATAAAATAGATCTAATATAAATTCATTTAAATTCAAACTTGGTGACAATAAGTACGAAAAGAAAAAAACAACAACACACGCAACCACAAAACTACAAAATCCTGCAATGCACATCACGTCAATAAATTGATAGTCTTAAATAAAACATAATAACTATAACAACTATAATAAAAAATAACAACTTTATGGACAGATAAATCAGATGAGCGATTCAGTCGGTCCGCTAATGAAGGAGGCCTTCATGAGCCCACCTGACACAGTGGTCTTGACAGCAGGAGAGCTTCACTCTGAACCCCTCCGCTGTCGAGCAAAGCTGTACACAGAGCCTTCAGCCAGGCCTTGTGGCTTCCCGTCTGGGGAATCCAAAACTCCTGGCTGTCCAGCTTCCTTTTAGCCTCCGAGCTTTCCTCCGCACTCAAAACAGCCACCTGATCCGGGTCGATAATTACAAATCTTTTTAGAAACATAGACGGTAAACATCCAAGAGTAAATGAAACCAGTGACATGTTAACACCTCTCCCCAACCTTGGTTTTGACAGTTCTGAAGGGATTGAGGTAAGCCAGCATGGGGTCCCTGTTGTCTTTGTGTCGGTCCCAGAAGTCGACTCCAGACGGAGTTGCGAGGATGCTCTTCACGCACTGAGCTGCTGCTCGTCTCACCTCAATGCTGCCGCACAACAACAGCAGTGTAAGCCACACACTTCAGAGGCACCGGCATTTAAACCAGGGAGCTGACTGTACCGCTGTTCGGTGAGCGCATCGTTCATGCAGTTGAGGACGATGTAGAGACACTGCGACTCGGTGGAGGCGAAAAGAGACACGGCCTTTTCATAAAGGGGGTCCCTGCCGTGGAGGAGGGCAATGGTGGAGAAGTCAACGGGGCCCAGTTCCCCCAGACAGCTGCCTGCTGCCTCTGTAGGTTCAAGTTTGATAAAGAATATTCAAATAAATCAAACAAAACCTAAAAGCAGCAACGTGGGCATGTGGTTGCTTTACAGGTCATTTCTCCAATTACCAAGAATGTCGGCGCCTCCTGGGTGACTGGCGGCTATTTTGCAAAGCTGCAGCAGACTGAGGACCAGCTTCACCAGCACACTGTCAGTTGGGTCAACTGTGAAGGGTCAACAAATGGAAAATGTTTAGCTGATGATAGCAAACTCCATGCAATTGGCCTCTCATGCAAAGAGCATTTTTCCAGCATAGCACCGTGGCACTCTTTGAGCAGCTCTCGGATCTGCTCCTTGTTGCGATGCAGCTGTCTGGTCAGTTCTTTTAGCCCTTCGAGCCTGGTCACAGGTAAGGAGTCACAGGATGCCACGGACAGGAAGTGTGCTATCTCCTGCATGGAGGAAACGTGGAAACATTATAGGCAAGAAAAAAAATCAAAAGGTAGATATTTTTGCTCTTGATATAGAGAAATGAGGAGCAGTTTACGGTCGAAAGCACATTGCAGCTACCTCTCTAAGTGTGAAGGGACCCGTGATGTATTTGAGATTGTGCTGCATGGTCCGCAGCTCTCTGAATTCAGGCATAACGGGAAAAGGCTCCAACCTGCTGATGGCTTCTTTTAACTTCTGCTGATTTTCTATGATTAGAAACTGCAGCAGATTGAGCACCTTGAAGGCAAAAGAGAAAAGTCTCAATTTGAAAATGGATGGCTTACACATACCTGAGAAGGTGTGTCTCAACCTTTACTGACTCACCAAATTTGATTTAGAATATTCTGATATCTTTGGTTAAGTTAAAACCAGACTCACAGTTTTCCAATAAGAGGCAGATATCAGCAAATGCACAAAGGCTTCAGATTTCGTAATGCCAATTATACCAGCATCCATGCACGTTTGGGTGGTAAAAAATAATCACAATGTACAATGCTAGTTTCAATTAACCTGAAGCATCCTTAAAACACAGGGAAACAGTGTGCTCATGGACTGTGTCAGTAATTAAGGAGCTAACTGAGGTGTGCATGCACAGCCTTTCTATTACCTGCTGTGAGATAGAGGGTCGACTGGTCACCTGAGCAGTTAGAGTGCCCACTATGACCTGCAGGTGGCAGTCCAGAGCATCATCACAGAACTGCAAAGCAGCCTGACACACAGAGGCCAGCAGGTCGCAGCACAAAGAGAGGCTTCGGTCAGAAACCTCATCACACTGAGGAGGTCTGGGGGAAACACACAGCCAGTCAGGTTTGGGTTCGTTATTCTGAGGGTATATGTAGATTGTAGACAGAGTTTCCATGTGAGAGACCCACAAACCTGCTGTTCATGTGGTGAATCAGAGTATAGATGATGTCTCTGAGGACAAAGGCCCAGGCTCCTCCCAGACCCTCCTTCACCTCCCTGAGCAACAGACTGACGAACAAATGGTACATGAGCAGGATTCGGTGGCGCTCGTAGCTGTTGGTCGTCTCTGCTGCTCTTTCACACACGGCCAGCAGAATCCTCTGGATGGAAATCTAAGATGCGCAAAAAACAGAGGGAACAGTTTAAACTTCATTGCAGAAACACATCAAAAGATTTAATAAATGCAAAGATTGACATGCTGTACCGGGGTTTTTGACAGAATGGAGACCAACGACTTGTGGTTGGCACTGTGGCACTTGCTGAGATAGTCCAGCGTCGCCTTGATGACCTGGGAGCTGAAGTATGGCGGATTTGGTGCAGGATCCAACTCTCTGAGAGGCATGGAAAATCTAAGTTAACTGTAGATTCTTTATAAGTGTCAGATAAACAGAGCTAGACGCAAATGAAATGTTGCTTTCGAACCAGCTTACCCAATAAAACGTTTCAGATCCCCTTTGTCTTTTTCAGATCCGTCTCCTTCATACAGAGTCATCAGCAGCTCCACTACAATGTCCGCCAGGTTACTGTGGATCAGGCTGTCAATTTGCTGTGGAAGCATATAGAATGTGAGGAGAGCCTGTGACTTTACAACAGCTTTGTGTCAACACAGAGGAAGATGGCCAGATATTTTTTCGGGCTAATTATGTGGGTTGCCTTTACCTGTTTGCCCAGACAGCTAGAGTCTTTGAGCAGGTCGTACACTCTGTGGGCCTTCTCTCTCTGCTGTGCTGCATGCGAATCCTGACTGGGCAGAGCAAAGTAGGGCAGGATGTTGACCATGATCTTGGGGAAACAGTCGGCCAGGAGGTTTCTCCAGTCCTTCTCGAGACACCTGCCGATGGACTTTACTTGCTCAAAGTCATCCAGGAAGACCAGATGGGGGATAAGCACCTGGTAGCAGGAGCTATAAGGACCCACAAAAACGACACTCAGTCTCTGATACATTTGATAATACTGCCTTTATCAATAACTGAAATATAAGACCGGAAAATGTTTCTCACTTATAGAAATCTTTGACGGTGTTGTAATCCAGCAGACTGTAGGGAAAAGATCCCAGAGTGTAGCGGTCGTCAGACAGTCTCTGCGCGAGCCATTCAGCCACCAGGTAGTAAAGGTGAGAAGTGACGAATGTTTTCACGTTCCTGTAGCCCAGAGCCTTGGACACACTGCACAACATCTGAGATGGAACCAAGGAAAACAGCAATTCCTCTCAGTTTAAGCATTCACTACTTTACTGCATTAAAGCTAAGGCCGACCTCATGATCTGTGGTAAGGCCATACGCATTAGAGACTCATTTGTAACACTAACTCATTTGTGTGAAGACATGCTACCTTTTTAATGAGTTGTTCCTCAATGCTGTTCTCCTTATACGACTGAAAGAGGGCAAACAGACACTGCTTCTCACATACTGGACTACAGCACAGCACAACGGACAAACTCTTGAGCAGGGTGGCCATGCGGTTGAAGGCCTTGTCCTGCTGGTCCTCCGACGAGCCAGATCTCTGTGCGTAGTCACACAATAACACGTTAGGATCTAAAAAGATTGTGGAGAGCTCCATAGGGGCACAGGGGTGAAAACATACAGCACATTGCTGCTGTTATGGCAACACTTCGTGAACTTACCGGGAACCTCATGCCCTCCTGGGCTTTCAGGTAAATGTTCTCAAACGCCGCCTGCTGGTGTTTCAGTGGCAGCATCTTCCTTTTGTCTGGATGCTCTGGTCTCATCTCCAGAAAGAGCCTGGATACAGAGGAGCCACATTAGAGATCTAAGAAGGAGAGCTGGCTTAGGGACTTCAAGTAAGATATTTTTTTGACTGTTCAAACAAATGAAATTGAGAAAAACTAAAACATAATGAGGAGTTCTGACTGTGACATCAGAAACAATCAGAAGGAACTTCAGTCATATCATTCAGTCATGTTTAAAGCTCCCATATTTTGGTCAAAACTGCAAAGATATCCACATTTTATATTGCTGATAAACCAACAGGGTTTTCAAGTGCAGTAGCAGATGATTTCAGATCTACATAGTCAGTAATGCCCCTTTCAAATATTTTGAAACGTTCTGGCTATAAAGTCCAAGACAGAAGTTTACCATTGTTCAATTGGAAGACAAAAAAAAGAGTCCTTTAGAGACACATTTTGTAATCAAATTGTTTTGATGGCCGGAGGCATGTTCGAGGGCGTAAAGCTGAGACTATGAACGCAAATGGCATCGCTCTAAATGTTAACTGTGGTGATTGCATCATGGTCTGGAGCCGTTTATCCTCTAAATTTCCGGAAATTCAACATAATAAATCCAATATAATATCACGCATCCGTCCATCTATCCACCTTATTCTAATACATTATTAGTGATGTGCACCTCTCCACTGATACAGCAACCAGCATGCGGACTTGGTGGTGGGCATCTGCGAGGTGTGATGGAAGGACAGAGGACACAGGATGGTCCTCCTCTGTGTCGGCTCCATTAAGACTCAAGACTGCCCAATCACACCGTGGATCAGCCTAAGTGAGGGAGAGTGGCAAAAACTGCTGACAAAGCGGAGAAAACTGATCCATTTGTTCCCTTTAATTCGCTAAACTCAGATCGCTCATGAGTAACAAACTAAACTGTCCTTGCAGACGAAATCAGTGCAGCCTAAAAAGACCGTGAGAGTTTACCTCCAGCAAGGAAACCAGACACTGCACCAAGGCAACTCGGACAGCTGCCACACATTTCCCCGTCTGGGTCAGGAAACTGCAAAACAGCACAGAAAATAATGAGAAAAGGTCTAACTGTAGCACACATTCTCAAAGATAAGGTTCAAAACGCTAAGAGATAGCTTGATTATGGTAAGTCTTTCCTAACCAGAAGCCGGACAACACTTTCAGCAGAGATCCCCGAACGTGTCTCATCTCCTCGGGTCTGTGATGAGTTTTCCCCAGACATTTGATGGAGGGCAACAAGCAGAGCAGCACAACGGCACAGATCTCCTGATCCTGGCGGTACAAATTGCACAGGTCCCTGTGAACACAGCAGCAGAGCCCCCAAATTATTCCCGGCACACAGCTGTAATTCATGCTGGACTTATCAAATTGTGAATGCTGGCAGTTACAGCTGAGAGTTTCCTTACGCCAGAGGACCGAGCAGAGAATCAAATTCCTCCGGAGAGAGCGCGTCCTCAGCAGGGAGCTTTTTCAACAGGAGGAGATACTGCAAGAGAGCCAGATGTCATGAGCTGAGCAGCTAGGGCCTCATCAACCCCCAACCAGCTTCAGTCGCCGTGCTGCCTGCTACCCACCACATTGAGGTGCAGGGCTTTGCTGAAGTTGATGTGCTCCACCAGCAGCAGCAGCCTGCGCCGCACCTCCTGTGGTTTGAAAAGCAGGCCGTGGACGGCTTGGACTGAGCCGCACCCGCAGAGGAACTCTAGGACGGCGAGAAGCGCAAGATCCTGCTGCACCAGGTAATCCTCAGCTAGCAGGCTTTTTGCTCCTACCAGAGAACAGAACCGTGATTTATTTAAGAGATTCAAAAGAAATTGTAAGAAGAAAATGAACAGATGGATTTCCAAAAAGCACACAATATCTAGAGAAAAAAAAGACCAAACAATCATCAGCAGGATTTTAAAGACGCAGCCTCTTCGTACCTGGGCCACTGGAGGCTTCGGCATTGTCTCCCTGCTGTCTGTGGGTCCCATTCGTGCTGCTGTGGGGTGCCTCATCTTCCTCAAACAGGTCAATATTGTTCCCAGCTGGTTGAGTTCTGGTCACTTCCCAGTCATCATCCAGTTGTTCGTCCTCAACTACAGGATTGACTCTCTTAGAAACGTTGATCAGCTGAAATAAAAGAAAAAAAAATTAAAAGGAGAAGCCTAATTTAGCAACTAAGTTACTTTTATACAAATAAGCATTGTGTGCAATCCAGTCAACCTGTCACTTACCAGGAGTTTGCAGACCTCTGCTAATTCAGTGAAGAGACTGGCTGGCAGAGTCATTATAAACAAACTGGAGGAGATGGGACAAGCCCCTTCCTGTGGAAGAACAAACAAACTCATCTATTAAACTTGATCTGACAAACAGAAAACTGCCTATGGTGCCTATGATGATGAGATCTGTCACCTTGGTTTTTCTACTGATTGACTGTGTGCACAATTTCATCACAGATCTCAGTGTGGACATGGTCCCCTCCTCAGCCATTTTCACTTTCACACCAGAAACAAACCCACTGAGCTCCTGGGCCAAGGCCTGGTGATGGAAAAATACCAACAATTTCACATTTCCACTTTTTTTATTTAGACAGTAGAGCACAAAGGTCATGTGATAAAGAAAGAAATGTCACCTTTTTAAAATGAAAAAAAGTGTTATAAACCAGGGAAGACATTAGAAGTCCCTGTTTTCATAACAACTTAGAAACTGAAGTTTAGCCAGGTGCTGCTCATGACATGTACATCAACCGAAACAACTTTATATGTAAACCCCTTCATAAAAGAGAAGTGACAAAAAATAAAACTCAAGAGCTAAAAGTTCAACTCTAGAAAAGACGACACTGTGGACCTATTTGAGCTTGTGTTTATCTCATTTTAAAAGATCTTTCACAAACCAGAAGATTTCCCAGAATTCAGAAAGTGAAAAGCAAGTATCCAATGAACACCTTTGCTTTGGTGCAGAGCGGTGAGCGGCAGGCCTCCTCTTCACTCAGAAGCCCAGTTGAGACATAAGCGCCCAGAACGCCGGTCAGCTGGCTGACGCATCGCACCAGACACTCGGGAGGGGTGGACTGAGACTGCAAATACACGTCAGGTTGTCACAAATGACCAGACAGACCGTTTAAACACATGACAAAACAACAACCTCTACTCACGTCGGGAGAGTAGCAGTTGAGCAGATTGTCGGCCACAGAGAGCAAAGCTTGCTCCAGCCGGTTTTTGAGGCCGGGGACAGCGGCAAACTGACTGGATGCCGATGCCGTGCACACCGACTCCCCGTGGGAACCCCCGACGCCTGACGGCAGCGCGTCGAAGCTAAACTGCTGGTACAGGCTTGCAATCTCATCCAGGCTCTCTTTGGCCTCAGATGAAACTTGTTCTTGAAAGAGGGCACTTTGAATAAACCAGCAAACACAGAAAGGGCAAATCTTAATCCAAAATGCCACATGGTCAGTGAAAAGAAGACAGAAGTGATGCAGAATTAAGGAGGCAAATTCAGTCAACGGAGGTCACAAAGAGAGATTTCTTATCATAAAAGAGATCAAGATAACTGGTGTCACCTCTCTGCTCCATCAGTACCCAGGAGGAACCTCAGGCCAGCTCTTGTGTCTTTCAAAGTCAGCGAGACTAAAATGTTTGCTATCAGATTGGGAGGGAAGTCTCTGCAAACAGCAACAAGATGAAGAAAGAAAAATATAAGTAAAATACAAGTGCAGTTAAAGTCCACAGTCACACAAAAATCAGCTTCTGCTCTTTTGAAGAATAGGGTAAGTTGCTGCGGCAGCACATGCCTCAATAAGATAGAAATGAACCCATCCAACCAACCATCCATCCATCCATCCATCCATCTTCCAACACTCATCTGGAGTTGAGTCACAGGGGCAGCAACCAAAGCAGGGAAACCCAGACTTCCCTCTCCACCGCCACTTCTGCCAGCTCCTCCGGGGGGATCCCGAGGCGTTCCCAGACCAGCCGAGACATAAAGTCCCTCCAGCGTGTCCCGGGTCTTCCTCTGGGCCTCTTCCCGGTGGGACAAGCCCAGAACACCTCACCAGGGCGGCAACCAGGAGGCATCCTAATCAGATTCCCAACCACCTCAACTGGCTCCATTCAAAGTAGAGGAACAGCGGTTCTACTCTGAGCCCCTACCGGATTGCCAAGATTCTCACCCTATCTCGAAGGGAGAGCCCAGCTACCCTGCGGAGGAAACTAGTTTCGGATGCCTGTATCCTCGACCTCGTTCTTTCGGTCACTACTCAATGGGGGGCCATTCCTCCCAACCATGCCACTCCAGGTGACACTGTCGTCGCCCACGTGAGCATTGAAGTCCCCCAGTAGGACAAGGGAGTCCCAGGGGGGGGCACCCTCCAGCACCCCCTCTAACGACTCCAAAAAGGGGTACTCTGCACTGCTGTTAGGCGCATAAGCACCAACAGTCAGCAGACCGTAGACCGACTATGTCTAGCTGGAATCTCTCCGCCTCGCACACCAACTCAGGCTCCTTCCCCACCAGAGAGATGACACTCCACGTCCCAAGAGTAAACTTCAGCAGCCAGGGATCAGTTCACTAAGGTCCCCATCTCCGGCCGCCACGCGACCCACAACGCACCGAGAACTGAACCACGAGGAAGCAATCTACAGTTATGTGGAGAAGCAACCTGCAGACGATGGGGTGGGGTCTGCTGCTCTCCTCCACCTCTTCACTCTGGTCGCTCATCAGAAGCCAGGCTCCCAGGGCTTCTTTCAGATTGGGCGGTGCGCATCCCTCGGCGACTCCCACAGAGTCCCAGCTTGAACTGGATGCAAGACTTTTTGGGACTGGATACTTCATCATAGCCTGGGCCAGGCAGAGCGCAGCACTCCTGCAAAAACATAACAGATGATAAACTTTCCATTAACTCATTCTCTTTCTATTACAGAGTACCATTCAAGCCTGACGGGAGGTTAGCGGTGCTCACTGGGAGGCTTTGAATGCAGATCCAGAGAAAAGCTTCCAGAACTCTCTGTCCATATTGATCAGCCCACCGCGGATGATGGAAGCGAGCAGGTCGAGGCAGAGGGATTCAGTCTGGGGTGAGCTGACCCCTCGTACAGCGAGGGCCCATATCCGCGCCCAGAGCCTGCTCAGCTCCACTTTGTGGACCTGGGCCCTCTGTGGGTAGCGTTCCTGGCAGTGGGCCACCTCTCTCAGGCATCGCAGCACGTACATCCCCTTCTCCCCTCTCCGCTGCTCTGCCAGGAGCTGGCACAGCATGGACTGCAGCGGAACCAGCTCCTGACTGGGCACCATGGAGGGATATTTGGAGGTGAGCACCGCTGTGATCTGCAGCCTGAGACAAACAAAAGCAAACCGTTTTTATTTAGTCAGGAGTACACTTAGAGAAAACACAATAAGCCACGGTACACCGCCCGTCCCCTACCAGGGTATGACATCAAAGTCGCTATGCTGAGACTGCAGATGGTCGCGGAGGACCTTCCAGCCCAGCTCAATACGCCGTCGTTTGGTGGCCGCTCCGTGAGTGGGACTGCCCATCTGGGTGCCTTTATGGGAAGTCTGGGTGACCTCCAGGATGTGAATGTCGCTGTCATGGCTGAACAGCTGCAAGCAAGAGGAAAGGGGGCAAATCTTTACCGTATTGAATTCATCCTAACTGTTTTCTTCAGCTAAAGTTTTATTTGCTTTGTACCAACATTTAGTCTCCTCTTACCTGGTGGCAGATGTCGGCCGTGACTTCTATGAGGTTTTCTTGGACGGCTATTTGTCTGGTCCCCGTGACATACTTCCCTCTGCTGCCTATCTGGCTGATCTCAACGACCAAAGCATTATAAAGATTGTACAACAGAGTCCGCCACCTGGTCCAGTCCTCAGCATGGGCACCTAAAAGACCAGAAAGGACACCACACGCTTTGAGAGGATGCATCCGGTTGACATGTTTACGTTTATGTCAACTTAACGTTGTTGCCAAATTCTTTAAGTAATCTCGAAATTCAGACACTTTCTTTAAAGTTCCTGCTGTAAATGTGCACTTTGTGACATTCTTGCTCAAAGGCTTATTTGTTATGTACAAACTCATGACCCCAACTCATTTTCTTTTGTCTAAGTTCTCTTTTGTTTTTTACATTGTCTGATAGGTACAATTATCCAGAGCACAAAATTTTGCAACTTTGCACACTAAAACAAAAAAAATCTGCAACACTATATTTTATGGACTCCTAAAGTGTAACAATTTACATTTGCAGATCACATTGAAAGCTTCAATGCCACTGGAGAAAAAAAAAGAAAGAAGAAATGACGTTAGCGCCAATCAACCTTCATCTTGTGTCTTAGCGCCTTTGGGGTGGTGAACACATATCTGCAGGTTGAAGAACTCTACAATCTCTTCTTTGAGGGTCGCATTTGGTCTCATATCCGACCACACGTGAAGTACGGAAGACAGAAGCTCCTCTCCCAAACGACACACTCTCACCCGACAATTCATGGCCACAGATCTCAAGAAAATGTTCAGGGCAGAAATTAGGTGCTCCAGAACAGAGAGGTGTTTCTCCTGCCTGGAATTTTGCAAAAGGAGAACCTTAATGACTTATGAGACTAAAACATATCAGGTTAACTGCATTTAAATGGTACAAAAGGCTTCACCTGAGATTAAGCAGTGCTTTGGAGAAGAATTTAAAAAGAGGGTCATTGAATCCATCAGTCTGGGTGCAGCAGCCCTTCACCAGCGTGTGGATGACTCTGCTCAGCAAAACACGGTTGATGGATTTGGATGTCGAGTTGAACAAGTCACAGTACAAATCCAAGAGACCTGTGGATCAAAGAGCAAGAAAATAAAATCTTATATTAGGGTGTTTTAATGCAAGATGACAGAACTCAATCCAGGAGAGCAAAGAGCTCACTGACTTTGCCACTGGGGTGGAGTGATGTCACACCAGTACTTGCGCACAGAGAGGATGTCTTTCAGAAGGAAGCTGCTGTAATTCTCCCCATAAGCTGAGCAGCAGTAAGAATTCTGCAGGACCTCCATCACGTGTTTCAGCAGCTCACTGCATTTCAGACGAGGCCCGCCTGAAGAGGAGGGAGAACACTTGAAACTGCCGTCTCCACAGTGTGTTCAACATAAAAACTCAGGCCCGGCGTACGTGCGTCTGAGAAATTGCCTACTAAGGAGCATTACATTGACCTTTTATTTGCTGGATCTGGATGTGCTCAGTGCCCCTACGTTTGTTTGCATAGCGTATGAAGTACTTGATCAAGCTGCACATTTCAGCCATCTTTTTCTGCCGCGTGGCCAGTGTGGTTGCTGTGACACTGGATTTACTGGACTGCATGCTTTCCGTCTCCTTCTGGACATAGCGCTGCAGGAACCTGATGTGGGAGAAAGTTTTTTTTTTTTTATAGTATCAGAGCACTAGCAACTAAAGCCAAAAGTAAAAAAGTGGTATCTGCACAGTTAACGTTATAAGTTCATCTAGTAAAACAGAAAAGTGCTGAGGCAAGATACCTGAAAACCGCATCCCATGTGAGTTGCTTCGAGCCTTTAGCTTTTTGTCCCGAAGTGCGGTCCAATTCTTGCAGGATCTCTTGAGATCGAATGAGACGCCTGAAGCGCTCCGCTTCTTTCTGGTGGCACATCACAAGCAGTAAGGTGTAGTGCTGACCACAGCGTGCCACAATGCACGATGTCATGGGATAATATGTTTATCTGTGAATTACCTTTCTCTCTGTCGCTTTGTCATTTTCCAGCCCTCTGCAGCAGACCAAGAGCTCATTAAGAGCGAGACTCATTTTTAGTGAATTTAAAAAGTGGCCGTACCACCTGCAGGGAGACCAGAATACAAGGCTCAACATTTGAAATGTGATTGCACATTCCATGCCCCTTCCATTGATTTTCTTGTTCAGAATAACTACTACCCCAGCCTTTTGTGGTTGTGGATGGTACCATTTCATCATTTCTGCAGTGTGCTCTACCTTATCACAATATTTGTGGTTGTTTACGACCATGATTTAAACCTTTTCAAGTACCATGATAACCATCTATTCACGGAAGACTACTCCCCAGGATGGGTTTCAGTGCCCTCTGAAGTCCATGTAAATCACAGGTGGAGAGACTGGAATTACTGAGATATGCAGACAGGAGGCTACCACTGGACCCACACTATGTACGGAAAGGAGGGGATCAAACTCATTAGTCAAGGGGTTCTTAGATCTTTCAATGTGTGGACTGAGATGCAGAAGTAATGAATGAATAATGCATCTATCGTGCTATGGTTACCCCAAATGATACATGGAGAACAGGCACAGTCATCAACCATCCCATGTTAAGTCTTTCGGAAGTGTGTGTCAGTCAGGACCATGATGTCAGAATAGTTTCTGCATGCCAGACCTGCAGCTCTGATTTAAATACCTTTAGATTTGATCTTGAGGTTATTCAACTTCAACAAAATGTTATGGAGCAGGTTCAACAAAGTCTATACTTAGACAAAAGGGTGGATTTTTTTCAGCTCAATGTCTGCACAACAATTACACAGAAATGCACTTAAGAATCCAGTTTCTTCTTTTCTTTAATGTTATCTGCCGAAAAAAAACCTTAAAGTTCAAAAGTAACAGTCTGTTAACATGGCTTGTATGGAAACACTGCATGATACCTTGCCATGCATACTAGCAATTCCAGCCCCACTGCATTTCCCATCAAGCTTTGTGCTAATCGAATCAGTTCCCATTCACATACTCTCAGCACGTTCCACTGACCTCAGGCGGCTATATCGTTCGTATTCGTAAAGCTGTCACACATGCAGATGCTGGTGTTTGCTGAGGCACTACAGCTCGTCCCATGTTAACTTTGCCATCTTGACTTGAACAGCCATACGCACCATCGCACGCACACAGGAAATTCCCGCCCCTGCCAAAGTGATGGAGGCGGCATATCACATCCTGGTCATGGTTAGCCTTAAGCGAGTCTTTTTCACACACCTGCTTATTTAAAGCAACGTTGTTGTTGTTTTTAAGTTTTTTTTTTGCAGTTGGGCGCAATATATTTGTTAGAGGTGCTACTTCATATATTTTAGCCCAACTGGAAAATATCTATATTTGTACTTTAAATTGCCTCATGTAGTGCATTTGAGTTTTAAGATGGAACTACAATAACCACAACTCTAAACAGCTGTTGATTTGGATACTTCCGGGTTATACGTGCTTGAGTTCCCCGCCTTTTGAGAAAGCAGTAGTATTCTCAGGACGTCGCCGTCACAATAACACCACTATCGTTTGTTACGTTAGTGTTATTTAACGAGTTACTAGGTTACTTTTTAAGAACATGTAGCGAAGTATTATCTTCCAAATCTTGTTTTTGAGCGAGAGGCTGTCATGTTGCTCCCTTCGGACGTGGCTCGGCTTGTTTTGGGTCAGTGAAGGTGGACGTAGCAAAGCTGTAGCTTTAGCCTGCAATCATACTTGACTAATTAGGGAGGCTCAAAGCTTACATTAGCCGTCAGTTTGACAACCTGTCTGTTTTCTGCCCAGGCAATTTGTACTTCGTTTGCTAATTTGAATTAAATCTACCTAACGTCTTTACTCAGGGTACCTCCAGGAAGAGGGACTGTCAGCTACAAGTCAGGCTTTCATTCACGAGAGCCCAAACCTGAAAGAGTATGCGGAGCACACCATAGGGGATGGGGCTATTCCGGCTTGCGTTTTTGTAAGTGTGGCTTTGATTCAGAGTGATGGACTTTGACGCTGTTAAGATAGTATATTGCACATAAATATATTAACTAATTTGTTGTCTTCTGCACACCTGCGCAGTCCATATTTGGGAAGAGCCTAACAACCATTTTAAATGAGTATGTGGCTACAAAAACAAAAGGTAAGAGTGGCTGTCATTCTTTCAGTATTTATGCTACCTCATGGGAACTGTTGTACTCTTAGACCTGTGCTGCTTGTGATGACTGTTTTTTTTTTCTTAACAGAATCCAGTCATGAAGTACCTCTTGTCATGACCTCACTATGGAAAAAGCTAGATTTTACACTCAACCAAATTAAGTAATGACTATTTCTATTAAATAAAATGTAAACTGAATCTGTCCATATTATTGTTCTTATTTGGGTCGCTGTTCTTTTGATATTTCTCTAGATCTTTGCAGAATTCCCCTGCCATCTCAGCAAGTCAACGAAGTAAGTTTGCCTCTCGTCTGTCTATTCTGTTTTCCTATTCTTCATCCACTGGATATTGCATGAAGGAAACAACAGAAAGCATATTCTCTGAAACTATTAATTAAACAGCTGAGTTCTGTGTTTGCTCTGGGTTTTGTGTGAAAACTATATACTTACAATACTCCTCTGCAGCACGTTCACGCATTGGGTTGGCAAACATGGCCAGGCAGCGAGCCCTCACCATGTCTTCAGATGGGGGCGTCGTCTGCACAACTTTGTCCGAAACGAGCTCCGTCATCAGCCCAGCATACACATCCCACAGCATGCTGGGCCACTCCACGCCTGTGTGCTTCACTGGTTCACACACCAGAGCTGCTCCCAGCAGCGGTACACAGCTGCAAATCCAAGAGGGCAGCCGATTATTAAGTACTCCCAGTGAGTGTCGTGAAGCTTGAGTTCAATCATATGTCTTTCTTTTTTTGTGAATGATTTTAGATCCTGGTTTTATTTTACTGTTTGTAATTTGGTTCCTAAAAGTGCATTTGAATTAGTCGGATGTGGGGGGGTTAATGTGGACATATAGAATATTCAGTTGGCTCATGATTTGTTTTTTTTACAATAACTCAAAAAATGTCCTCATTGAAATCCACTGTTTTCTTCAGTTAATTATTGTTAGCAGAAGCTTTGATCCAAAGCGAATTACTTGTTAAAATAACATAAGCAAGTTTTGTGTAACATGGAACAAATTTGTTTTCTGTTGTAGGGGATTCACCAGTACAACTCATTGTTACAGAGCACCGGCTAAGTTCTGGCTCATTGTCCCCCGGCCGACGGAAATGGTAAGGGTTGTGGCGCAAACGTTTGACAGTTACCAACAAAACGTCATTGTTCAACTGTTGGGGAGTTATATATGTATTCAGCTTTCTTTTATCTGCACATACTTGCAGATAGCTGTAATATTTGTAGTGTTTTGTAGTGTCATTTCTATAATGTATATAATCATTTAGTTACCAAAAAAAGAATAAACTTTTGGAACAGTATGACATTAATAAAAAACAGAGAGAAATATTGCATTTTTTGCCATGTGAAGTTTAATAATTTTTCAGAAAGGCATTGACTCATTGTTTTTTGTAATTACCTATTCTCAAAAACTCTGCTGTCCTCAGGGAAACTCCCAAGAAGAGAAGCGGTGCTTCGAGTGGATCCAGTGGCCCTGGCAAATCTGCAGGAACCATCAGTAACCCAAGCGCAGAACCCCAACCCGAGGAGGCCGTGGAGGAAAACTTTCCTGTAAGTGTGTCAGTCTGGTTCAGAGACCTCATCATTAAGAATCTTTTCAAGAGGAACTTCGAGGGTTCAAATATATTCTGATCCCTCATAAGTATCTCAATCCTCACAGCAACTTGTCATACAAAATGCTCGAGACAAGATATTGGGGGACAGGTCACTACAAGAGAAGCTTGCTGAGAACATTAACAAAATCCTCGCCAAGTAAGTTGGAACTTTGCTTCAACATGTAACTAGAACTGCTAATAGTGGATGATTTATCGCTCAATCTCTGCCTGAAATGAGTGTGTAAATTCCTTCTCCATTCCTAACATCAGTGAGCCGACACCCCAGACGCCAAAGGTGTCCACAAGCACCGTAGAGGCAGACCAGTCGATAGATGAAATTCTAGGATTACAGGTACAGATACAACACACATGCCAATATCAAAAGTGGAACTTATTTTCCTTTTATAAACATTATCCTTGTTTCATCATCTTTCGGTGTGATTGAACCTTATTTCATGGGGAAATGCTTTTAGGGGGAGATCCACATGAGTGACGACGCCATCCATGACATTTTGGAACAAACCGAGTCTGATCCAGCTTTTCAGGCCCTCTTTGACCTCTTTGATTACCGTAAGTCAAACCTACTTCTGTTTTTGTATCCTCTAAAAAAGGCATTGGTCACAGTTGGTGGAATAAAAAAGAATGTATCTATATTTCCAGATAAAAACAGACTAACTGATGGAGAAATGGGAGATGGTGATATCAGCAGTAGTCCAGAGGAGATTGACTTGACTGGGCCTTCGTTTGCAGCCCGGCCACTTCAAAGTAACGATCCAGGTATTTATACTTGAATGTAAAATCTTGCATCCCACACAGGGCCGTGGAATAAAACCTTCAGAATCGCAGAAAAATTTTCAGATTTGTCATTCCTAGATTTCACATGAGATGAAGCGGTGTGGTTGTAGGGTCACACATTTTTGACACCCTCTACTGTGAGATTCTGATGTTGTTTTCAAATTTAAAGTAGCGTGTTACAATTGGTGTTTCAAGTCCAGGGGTACCTTCTAAAATAAGTTATAAATAACCTTCCCGTTTACAGCAGTGTGTTAGTCGTAGGATCTCTGGGAAATACCGTAATATTCGGTTACTAGGACAAACCAGCAGCTTTGTGGTTTTAAAAAGGATCCCTTATTTAAACTATGGCATTATCGGGACAGTACTAACTAAAAAAATATTTTCGACGTATCTGTGCTGAAGTCTGTTTTTTTTCTTTTTTTTTTTAGCCCCTACAGCTGGAGATTCAAATGCCTCTGACCCAACTGCGGTAGCGCTGAAAATGAGAGCTGGACAAGAGCGAAAGACCAGGAAGTCTACTGCCCCCACTTTGTTAAAGAAAACCTTTCTTGACTCCAGTGGCAGGGCATCCAGAATTGAGAACAGTTCAGCCAGACTGTTGGTGAGTCATGGGGAGCACAGAGGAGCCTCAGCGGCTGCAGGGGACTCCAGCAGGAAAGAGAAGTCCTCACTTGGGAATAGCAGTGTTGGAATCACGATGGATATTGATGAACCGCTGAATACACCTCCCCCTGTAGACTGTCCGCCCACTCAGGAGACCACCACGGACAGCTCCACCCCTTCAGCTGCCCTCGGTAAATCAGCCACAGACCCTGCTTTATCTGCCATCCCAGACCAGAGATCGCTCTTAAATTTGGGGAAAAAGCAGGATCCAAAGCCAGCACAAGGCTCTGTAGAGCGGTCTGCTACAAATCTATCTTTAGTTGTGAGGGATAGCCTGCTTTTGCCACCATTGGCTTTTCAGCTGAATGACTCCTCAGTGATGACCGCCAGCCAACCCCACGCATCAGTGTCCAGCAGCGGAGCCGATTCTGCGCCCGGGCCATCTATGTCAGTTACAGGTGCCTCGCCCTCATCAATTTCCACTCCTTTAACCGGGACAGCCACAACTGCTGTTCTTACAGCTACAACCTCATCCACGTCACCTTCCTACTGTCCCCCGGTTACACCGACACGAAGTCCCTCCGGCACCAACCACACGACTCCAAAAAAGGCAGGAGACTCCAGCAATATTGTCTCTTTGAAGATCATTATTAGTGAGAACCAGGGCACAGATTCTTCCGGCGACACAGCTCTTAATCGGGCTATTTCAACCATCTCTGAGGAGAGCATACCCACCATCTACCTGTCCTCCCCAGCTAAGTCGCCAGCATGTCCTGGCACTCCTAGGTCCAACTTTGACGAGGCAGCGCTGGCAGTGAGTGGCTTACAAAGCTCCGAGGCATGTGACAGTCCTCTCAGCTGTAAAGCTGGAGCCATAATAGCATCCCCACTAACCGGGACCTCACAAGCACAGCAGAGATATGTCATCCAGCTACCCATGGAGACCACCACCCCTGGGCTCCAAGGTTCCACTTCCAGTTATTTCCTCGTAACACCAACTCCAGATGTTCAAGGCAGACAGGTTCTTCTTCCTGCTGGTGTCTCAGCAGGACAGCCTTTGCCCAGCAACCAGTATGGAGGGACACCAACTCCCTCCCAAGGCTTCTCTACAGGTGAGAAACTAAAGGCCATGTTTGTCATGATGCAGAGTAGTCAGCATAGGCTGGTGTGAAAAAATATCTAAACTTTCTAAGCAATAACACTTTTTTTTTTTTAAAGCAACCCTGAGTTTAGTTTTTTTTATATTTTACATTTATCTAATGTGTGTGTGTCAGTGTCCAAATTAGGACACAAACGCAGGTAGAGCGATTTTTCGCACTTCACCATTTACATTGAGAAAGTTATCTTGTTTTCTCAGAAACAAGAGAACATCCACCTGTTGTATTTGTCTCTGATGTAGGGGCAACTGTGCTGTCTTCTTTGAATGCGTCCTTGTAAAAATGTGTTCTTTACCTGTAGGGCCAGCTCTCATCTTGCCATCACCTATAAAGCCTGTGGTGCTTCCTGTTTCTGTTCTGGGGCAGAATACTTTGGGGAAAGTTCAAATGGTGTGCAACCAGGTAAGATGATTTTCTGTTATGAGTTATGGTCTCTTTAAATCTTTATCTCAATAATGTAAGGCAGGACTGTGGGGATGCTATTGTGCGCATTAAAGACAATAAGACCCACATTCTTCTTACAGTTTGTTGATACACCGAATAGTTTACCAGTACAGCAGCCCAAGCCGACGACAGTGGCAGTCAAAGATTCTGCCGCTCCTGGTAAGTGCTCCCTCTTTGCTGTAGAATGTAGCAGCACAAAGTATCACAGTGAGGAGTCCTTTTTAAAGAAGGATTCATGGGGAAATATTTTGATCTGACTTCCCTAAGTGATTTTTTTCTGTTTTTAAGGCACTGAGAAAAATCTGCCTAGCCCCCCGGGTCAGAACGACGCAAAGGGCTTCGGTCACAGGAGAATTTTATGTTTCGACCCTTCATCAGCAGGAGTTCAACCACAGACTGCTAATACAACTGAGGCCCCGACAACCTTGGCTGAAAACGCATCCAGATCCCAGCCTGTCCAGCAGGCAGCGAATGACAAGAAACAGCCAGTGACTCGAACAAAACCTAATATCTTGGGTGGTAACAAACCTAAGAGGAGAATAGAGACAGTCAGATGTTCATCAGGTCCTCTGATTGGAGGAGGCTCGCTAAAGGAATGTTCTCCTGTGAAAACGCAGCAGAACGATCCTGTAAAAAAGAGCTCTCGCAAACAAGAACATAACATTCATAACAAAGAGTCTCTACATGTAAATATCAACAGTGTTATTCAGACAGAGGGTGCCAAACAACCAGAATCAGGAAAGAGAAAATCTGCTGACGAGAGAAACAACGATAAGGATACAACAAACGATAAAGATGCTCAAGGCTCCAAGTCGCCATCATGTGATTCTGCACTAAAATCAGGAAGCAGAAAGGATAAAGAAGAGAGCAGTGGGCAAGAACCCAAAGAGAAGGCTGCTCTGAAAACACGAGAGGGGCGCACGGAGAAAAGGACTTTCTCTCAGGAAACCCCTAATGTAGCAGCTAACAAGGAGAATGAAATAAAAGTTGGCGTGCAAGAGCAGCAGCTTTCAACACCACCTTCATCCTCGGCATCGAGAGACTTTAGCCCTCCAGCTGCCATACAGCTGGTGTCTAACACCCAGCCCAAGGCTGGAAAAACCCCATCAAAGACGAGCTCTCTGGCCAAACAAGCAGCTGAGATGCTTCAAGACATTCAGGGGATCAAGTCTCCCTCCACCCCTGTAAAAAAAGCTGGGGCTGCTAGTTCAGACAATAGTCTTCCTGGGACTGGTCATAATCACGAAGCACCCTCGGATTATCTCAGGACTCCTTCCCGAAAGAAGGGTAAAGATGGAGAGGGGACTCCCAAGCATCTACTTCCTCCCAACACTCCAGAAGTGCCCACCTGCAGCCCAGCCAGTGAAGCTGGAAGTGAAAACAGCATTAACATGGCCGCACACACACTCATGATTCTCTCCCGGGCCGCCATCGCCAGGACTAGCACTCCTCTGAAGGACAGCCTGAGGCAGGAGGAAGTAGGGGAAAGGTCACCCACGAGCTCAAAGGACCCCACAAACAAGAAACGCAAACACTCCTCTCAAACAAACAGCCCCCCTCCAAAGAGACAATCTAAACGATCCCCCGGCAAAAAGAAAGACAGAGTGAGTACAACACAGGCACAGGCCACTTTAAAATCGTTCAGTGAGTCGGTCTTGGCCTCTTCAGCAGTCTGGTTTTATTTACAGCTAGATGTTTGGATATGTAGGTTGGTCCTTAAATTGTGAGTTTGTTGTGAGCGTAGTAACCATGAATAGTTATTTGAAAGCTGTAGATCCTCACTGGACTGTCATCGCCTGACGCCCATGTTGTTCTCTAACTTAGGTTTTGACGGGGTTTTTTGTTTTTGTTTTTTGCAGGAAAAGAAGAAACTTGTTGATTGTTTTCCCCACGATCTGGATGTGGATAAGTTCCTGTCTTCGCTTCACTATGATGAATAAAAGTGGACACGCAAATTTGGAAAGGATGACCACATCGCTACCTACTTAGGTTACTATCCAGGAATAGAACAAGCCATCTCCTAAATCGGTGCCTGTGGTTTCTTAGTGACTTTATCTGATACCTTATAAGCTGCAATGTCTTCTGTAGCCATCGAGGAACTTTAGACTGTTTTCTTGTGAAAGTAATCCAGAATAGGATCCTGTCATATGCAGCTACAGACAACCATGGCACTTTTTATTAATTTACCTATTTTAATCTTCATTCTTTCTTTAATGGTATAGTATTCTGTACAGTACATCATTTTTGGGGAACACTTTGACATAGTGGATGCATACTGTTAATGGGTACCTCAAAAGGTTTTCTTGGTCAATATTTGACTCTCCTTTGATGGTGACTGCTTGGTTTGTTAAAGTACATTCTGCAATATGTCTGCACCCGTCATTTGATTGTATTGAATGAAGACCCCATTTATTTTAGTATTTGTGCTTAGTTGATTAAATAATTGGAAACACAAAACAAACTAAAAGGAAATATCTGGCAACATTTTTACAGTGTAGTCTTTTTTTATTTTAATTTCCTGTGTCGCAAATCAACTACATGTCATCGTTTAAGCTGCAATTGAACACATGGACAAAAAACTAATTTTCTTCTTTAAGAAACTTCTTCGATATACATTTAAAAATATTTTTTTAAAGCTGTCACAGCATGAAAAGCGCATGTATAATTAATCAAATTAATGATGGCCCAGTAACTTCTGTCCCATTACACATCGACATTGAGCATGCAAGTCTAACCCCCTTACTCTAGATGCATATTTTGCTAATTTGTCAGATTAGAATGTATGTTGTGAAATAGATCTAATCTGAGATTTACATATTTTGACATTTTATTCTAACGTGATTAGGTATATAAGGTGGGATGGTCATATTTTCTCTGACTGAAGGATGCAAATTGTTTAACACGAGACATACACCTGTCATGTTTTCTTTGAAATAAGTCGATTTAATGCCGGCAAGTGCCGAAGTTGTCACGTTTTGTTGGCAAATCTGGCAACCTCCGATTGGACCGCTAAACGGAAATACGTCACTTAAACAATTTCACAATAACAGTGAGTTGATCTATTGAAACACAAAGATTGTAACTGACGCCATTAAATTTCAAGTGCTCAATTGAAGCTGACTTTTTAAGCTATGTGACATATTTGTATGAATTAAATCGTAAAAATTTGGTGGGGAACTCCAGGGTACTCCGTACAGCAGATCTTATTTTTAAACGTTCAGCGTTTGTTTCCGGGTGAAGAGAACAGGAAAGAGGTACGACGATGTCTTAATTTTACCAAACACTCCACCGGTTTTCATAAACAGAGCGTATGTTTCCACCAATATGACAGAAGCACAACGACAGCATATTGTTTTTATACAGTTCTTAATCAGTGAGGTTACTTGTAACTGGTTTTTAACCCGTGAATTCTAGTGTGCAGACTCCCGGTGTTCCTAGCTTAGCCATATATAGGTTGGCTAGCCGGTTAGCGTTAGGAGGGTTATGATGTGCTTACCTTTGGTTTCATACCCAATTACTGAATGACTTACAAAAGGCGTGCTTTACTGTCTTTTTTCGTCTTTGTAATTCCTATCGTTTTTGCCATTTAAAAGATAGGGTTGTGTGGTCTTGTCCTGCTCAGAAATCACTATGAATATGCACTTCAGTTAACTGGCGTGTTCACGGAATGTTCACTTTGACAGATAATGCTAGAGACTCATTGATAAGGCTTTTGTGATAAGACTCTGTCCCTACAGGGTGTCAGTCCCGTATTCTCATTCATTTGGAAGAGAATATATGAGGAACACTGTTGACCCAGTAAGAGAGACCCGTCATCCTGTCTCTTCTCGTCCAGGACTGCCTGACCTGCTAACCAGTGATTGACATGGCAGCCAATGGAGCGAGCTGTGAACAGCCGCAGAAACGTGCAGGACCCAAAGATAAACAGAATGGCAAGTCTACAGGTTGGTTTTAAAATGGGAATGTCTACACTTAACTTTGGAGAGCAAACAAATCGCCACCTCGTGGCACACAAGTTATATAAACCCTCACGTTGGCTCATTTGAAGTTCCTTTCACTTGGCATTGGTACTGATAACTTCTGGATGCTACTTTCATTATGTTTTTAGCTTTACCCACTCTACACGATGTAGTAGTTATAAAAGAACCTATTGGTGCTGAAGATTCCCCGGATAATGATGGCTCTTTTTGTCCTTCAGACCTATCAGTAAGAGAAAGACGACAGAAAGACAAAGAAGAGCGTTTTTCTCTGGTGTTATGGAGGAGGCCAGTCACCACTCTACATTACTTTCTTCTGGAGACCCTCATTAAGCTAAAGGAGTTGACTTCTAAGTAAGCTGTGAAACAGGTTTTTCAAGTGTGTCTCTTTCTGTTTTCCTGATCAGTTTGGTGATATGTGTATTTAGGTCAGGAAGACGTTGCTCTGTTATGTCTTATGTCAGTAGATTGTTCTCGTAAAGCAGATATAGCCTGTGACCTAAGGGTTTCCTTTTAAGAAAAATACCAGTTTTTCAATTAAATTTTTTATCTTTAGCTTTCAGGTCAGGAATGTGTTTCATTGATCACTCCGTATTCTCATTTTCCCACTCAGGCTTTGGCAACAACGAGGCACAGTGCTCTTTTTTTTGGTGTTGTGTTCACTGTTCTCAATTGCTTATTCCACTGAGGGAGTGCACCAACAAGTAAGGTTTGACTTTGCTTTTCCTTTAGTTATGTTATTAATCAACACCCTTTCCTTGCCACTCACAGTTGAACCATCTACGATGAGTCGTCTGTTATCTCTTAAACTTCCCTTAAAGAAAGCTTGTGTGAGGAGATAATGTGCTGTTGCACTGTTGTCAGGTAACCCTTGATCACGCAGTCATCGGCTGAAAGTTCTGTTTACAGAATCACATATGTAGCAATCTGTCACCTCCCTGTTAAAGCACTACCAAGCCCCAGTGCAGAGTGTATGCCTTCTTAGAAATGTGTAATCACGAGCTGGAATATTAACCCACTGAAGCCAGCCAGAAATACACAAAGATGGCATATAAGAGTAGATGGATAGTATTTGATTTCTGAATTTTAAAGTAAAAAAAACACAAATTCTATTCTGCAAAACAAAATCATATTACTTGAAAAACATTTTCAGTTGAAGAAAGCACGGCTTAGTTGCTAAATATCTGTGCATGTTGGTTGGTTTAGATCAAGAGTCGACTACCCGTGATGACAGAATATTAACTTGAAATATAAAAAAGTGTGCATGTAAATAATGTATCGTCCCTTGCTGTTTGCTCATGGCTTTGGCTTTGCTTTCCCTGCAGTATGTTCGATATCTGGAGACGAAGTTCTTATGGTGTGCCTACTGGGTAGGCCTTGGAATCCTGTCCTCAGTGGGACTTGGGACTGGACTGCACACCTTCCTTCTTTATCTGGTAAGAGAACATCAGTGGCATGTGACCGCAGACATGTTTTTCACAAGCTGATACAAGCAAGAGATGGGCCCCTGTTTACTGTTAGTAACTAACTTTTAAACAAATGGACAACTTGTGGTTTTGTATATGAATCTATGCAAATGTCAACTTAAGTCAGCTCTTGCTGCTGTAGATCAGTGTAGAATAAAACTCACGCCACCATAAATTCTGTGCAAGCCCCACATAAGGCCATCCCCATTCCCTACCACAGGATGGCACCATGCTTCATCCTCCGTCAGAAGTTGCCTTCCTCATCAACTTTTAAGTTCTTGTCACCCTTTTGATTCTGATGCTTACTAATTCTCCACTGACGTTTGCCACAGATTGATCATATGAATGAGTAACCATAATGTGTGTCATTCGCCTTGGTTGTGGTAAAAGGGACAATTTAGTCAAATGAGAGAGAGGAAAGAATTCTCCTCTAGTCCACTTTTGGGTGCTCATGTGGCTTTGTTCTATAGAGCTGTGCTCATGTGCTATTTGAGTCAGCTGTTTCCATTATAATGAAATGGTAGGAAACGATATGACTGCGACCTTCCTGTTTTTAGAGCTGAGGTACACTCATTCTATTTATTCTAAGCTTATTTTAGGAGTTTCACTCTTTTATTGCATGTTGGGCTCTTCAGCAATAATTCAATGTTAGTTCCATGCGCTCACACCTCATTGTGTGCGTGTGTGTTTGTCATAACACTGATGAGGTATGACCTCTTTTTTTTTTTTTCCTCTTTTCTGTGTGAGCTGAGGTTTCCTTCGCAAGGCAGACAGTTATTTCCCACAGATGGAACATCTTGGCATCAGTTAAATGTTTCTCCCATTTTCATTACCAGCTTTGACTGCTTAAATGGAGACAATATTTATGGACAATATTTATTTTTTTTAACCACAAGTGTTTCAGTTTGCATCCCCTGTAAAGGCCAGCTCTGCATTTTACAGTTTTAACTGAAGTAGCCCTGCTTTAACTCCAGCAAGCTCTGTGACCTCTAAATACAAAAGTAAACTATTGCCTGTCTTTTCAGTAACACTGTGTGTGGACAGTCGAACTGAAATTATCAGCTTTCCAAGATTTGTCAGTTCAGCCTCAGCTGATTAATTTTCATTTTAGAAAACTCTGAGCACTCGCTTTGATGTGTCACATCCACGATGACCTGACAGTACATCCATTGAGCTTTAGAACCTTGGAAATTTGTAATCCTTAACGCATGATGGTCATGATAGTCATCGGATGCTATGAAAGGTACACGAATGCCTGCCTTGATGTGACCATTTTCTGAAAAATGACAGAAAAACTGCCTTTTTAATCAGTTTTGCAGAAGCATATGCTGTTTTTTTCTTTTTATTTATAGTGCATGTTTTTTTTTTTCCGTGAGGCCAAGACTGTCAGTTTGAACTGTTGAGCAAATTTGATACAAGATATAATCAGTTTGTTTCCAAGGTTGTAAAGCTTGTTGTGAGGTTGAGATTGAGAGCTTTGAATCAAACATTTTCCTGATAATGGAATTCAGCTAATCCTTTTAGCCTAGCACAGTTGTCTTTGTTATGCCTCTTGCCAATCGCCCTAAGTCAGCGATCTCTCTCACACACATCTACATCCATTCTTTATTCCTTCTTTGCTCAGCGTACACTTGTTTGACCCTTTGCTTCGCTCCACTTTCTTTACTATGACACAGGATTCTTAATTTTTGTCTCCACTGCTGGAAAGTTGTTTGCACCTCTAAGTGTTGATCATGTAAAAAAAACCTTTTGATATCCTAACCAAGAACACCCCTGAGAATGCATCTGAATCTCTCTGCTCATTCACTATTTTCACCAACAGGTTAGACTTCTTTCAATTGTTGGCCACCTGATATAAGCCTGCTGCCCATGAGAAACCCACCTCCAGAAAGCCACAAGCATAGTTATTGTGGATTTACCTCAGTCCTAAAGCATTAAAGAATAGCCCCACAGAGAGAATTAGATCATAGGCTCATAGGCCGTGGATTCAGTCACCGGTATGATCTCATAATTCATCATGAGGTTTCAGGTCACTGCTTTAAAGGCCAGAATCCAGGTTACACTAAACATGCTTTAGTCAGATTAGCTTTGTCCAGTTTCCATTTAAACATATTACAAAGTATTTAAGTGGTGAACAAAACATCTGCTACTGATGAGTTGGTTAGGATTTTTTCATTCCCAGAATATAGGTAATGTTGTAATTACCCACACTCAATAATTCCAACACAACCTTTTCTTTAAAACTTTTTCCTCTTTATTTTAAGAATAGAAAATGGATATTCTTATCCTTGCTAATGACCCCTGGACAAATAATCACATTTCTTTCTTTCACATTGTTCTCCTGATAGTTTTAAACTCTAACTCATTAGTTTGTTTTGCCTCAGATGAAATATTCATGTAAAGTGTTTGAACACTGTTTTATTTTTTACACCCTGATTGACATTTCAGCTTTTTCTGGTTCATGGGTTTTATGAATCGCAGCTCTGTGTGCTAACACTGACTTGCTGTTCCAAGTAGGGATGGTACCAAAGAAGTTCTGGCTTATTAGAAAAACTTTTAAATGAAGAAATGCCCTCTGCTCACACCCAGACTGGATTGCATAGTTTCTTTGATAGGCATTGCCTTCAAGTAGCACAACGTACTAGTTGTGTTCTTGGCACAGGTGGGTCGATTGTTACAGAGGCCAGCTGCTGTTGCCCCACCACACATCTTGACACTGATAAATGATGAATGGCTTACCTGTCAGGAAGACTTTGTGACTCAGCTAACGTGGACTTGTGTATGTAACTGTGGGTACGGGCGCATGGGTTAAAGCATTCCAAACAGGATCAAATGTAATTACACTTAATGACGGTGTGCTGCAGATGAGAAACTGTTCATTCCAACACGGATGAACTGGACCACACAGTGCAGCGTGATTCAAAAACCTTTATGAATCACCTGAACCAAAACTGAACCTGAAGTGTTAATGGAAGAAAATCATGAGTGAAGAGCACTTTACCAACTTCTGTTTATCTTATAGATACCAAAAGCTCAAGATCAAAGTCTTTGACTTATTGAACTGTCTTATTTCATTACTCATACTGAACATTCATCCTAAGTGGTGTCCATCAAAGGGTTTCCATATGTCATATCTCTTCCAGGGTCCACATATAGCATCAGTTACCCTGGCAGCCTATGAGTGTGGGTCCACAGACTTCCCAGAGCCTCCATACCCAGACCAGATCATCTGTCCCCAGGTTGGAGGGGAGGAGGGCAGCATCTCCCTCCTCTCAATAATGTCAAAGGTCCGCCTGGAGGCATGTATGTGGGTGAGTGGTAGTCCCTACAGGAACGCAATTTGGTGATCTGAACGTGTTAAAATTCTGAGAATATTTGTCAGCCTAACAGCTGCTCCATGTGTGTGAAATTCTGTAGACTGTGTGTCAGTCTGTAACATTTTAAGCTGCGTCTGCTTTAGGGTGCAGGCACAGCCATCGGAGAGCTGCCTCCATATTTCATGGCCAGAGCAGCTCGTCAGTCAGGGGCTGATCCAGATGATGAAGATTATGAGGAGTTCGAAGAAATGCTTGAGCAGGCCGAAGGGGCTCAGGTGAGTTCAAATCAAATAAACTTAAGCAGGGCAAGGTCACCCTTTCCAGAAGGTGTTGGGGTCCATGAACGCAGTGTTTAGTCTTGAGAAGCACTGCGAAACTCAGCTGTAACTTCAACTCGGTGTTGATTCCGTAAAGCCCAACAAAGGGCACACTTTCACATTTAAAATGTGTCTCTTTTTTTGTACTTGATTTTCAAAAAATTCTTCAAAGAAGAACCTGAAAATGGCGAACAACACCCCATTGTAGCTTCAGCCGCGGGCCGCGATCGAGAAGATGAAGCGATTACACTAAACACGGAGGAAGTGGCTGCAACATTGTTGTTTACACATTGCCCTTCCTCTTGGTATGATACCATCTGATTAGATTTGGTCTAATTTTTCTAATGAATAACTGACCAAGGTACTGGATACTGATTGGTCCTGAAGCAGCATGTGACTTCAGTGAAGCCCCTCCCTTCTTGCTCTTCCAGTAAATCTATTTGTTTGTGGGTGAGTCACCCTGAGTACAGATCCCTCCTTTAATCATCCCGCGGGCTTTTCTCTCTTTGCCTCTCTCCACCCATTCTTCGTCTCTCTTTTCTCACCGGCCTCTAATTTGAATGACAGACAGCCCTGTCAGGAACAAAGTTCACATGACTGGATACTGCTGAGTCAGCAGAAGAGAAGGCCAAAGGAATTGTGGATATCGTGTTTATCACCCCGTCTAGCTTTACTAGTTGTCGCCCATGGAGGTCAACCTCTCATGAGACTGGTCTGTTCAGGGTGTTACTCACTGTCTGATGACTTTTTGTTCATTTAATAAAAGCACCGGCTCCCCAAACGAGTCAGAAGAAGTCCTGTGAAGACTTGATGAACATACAAGCATTCTGGGAATGAATGCCACACACACGAGTGGCAGCGGTGCACTGAAACTAAAATCGGGAGGAAAATGCAATAAATGAGAAGTTGGATCTAGTGACCCACATGCTCAATGGCATTTTTGAAGGGAAAATGACAAATCTAAGTATTTATTTATTTATTTTTTTGTCCGTGGGTGTGTTCCCATAGAAACTGTACATGGAAAAGAAAATCAATACGTAGTTAATTATTAAGGCTGGACTAGCTTCTAACCTAAGCCTCGCCTGATATCTTCACCGTGTAACCACAGACGCTTTGGCCCTCATTCAAATAGAGATCTTATCAATAGAGCTGTTGTACATTTGTATTGCACAGCTTTCAGCTATAATCCTACAAAATGTACGGAGCATTGAAACCTCATAGTGTTCATAAAAAGCAACTATTTCATCACAGTACTCCCTCCAAGGCTTTGTTTCTTATTATAACATTGCGGACAGTATGACTCTAATTAAAAACTCCAGAAGTGCAATGTTTTTTAAAAGAAAAAAGTGTGTGTTGGGAAATAAAATAAGTTTAGAAAGGCACACACCTGAAAGTAGCTGTAGACAATGATGGCCAATTATTTCTGTTATGATATTTTTTTTAACGCTTTTTCATTTCCTCTTTCATTCTTTTTAAAATTAGGATGTTGTCACAAGAGCCAAACTTGGAGTTCAGCACATGGTACAGAAAGTGGGATTCTTTGGGATCTTGGCTTGTGCCTCTGTGAGTAGATGTTTTTTTTCTTTAGAGTCTCATTTAAAACATTGAACATTAAGGGTTGAGATTTTAATAATGAGGAAAATCTCTGTCAGAGACCATTGAAATGATCATGTCCGCAGATTCCCAATCCTCTCTTTGACCTGGCCGGAATAACATGCGGCCATTTCCTGGTTCCCTTCTGGACCTTCTTTGGCGCAACACTTATTGGGAAAGCCATCATCAAGATGCACATACAGGTCAGTAAAATGGATCAGGGATCTATCCAAGACTTTTGATACTGCAGCTCCTCAAAATGTTTTTTCCCCTCCCATCTTTAACATAAACCATACAAACCCATGGTCACATACACGTAACATCTTGACATCTAATTTGATTCATTCTGTTTCATATCATCGCAGTCCACTGACCACAATGTAATAACGCATCTGAGAAATGCATTCTGAGGAATAAAGTTCACACTACTGACTGACTCATTTTGAACCATCTCCACAACCTCAGAACGTGTGGGAAAGATCAAACCTTCTGCTGAGATCACAAGTTGGTTACCATGAAACTCCTTATTGTGCACTTCTGGTTAACTCCTTGTGATGGGGCTCAATCCCCAAACCTTTGGGGATTCCTCCTTCTTTTAGCTTTGGTATGTTTCCAAACCATATAAAGGCGCCTCAGATGAAAGGAGGGGGGTTTTAAGAAGTCATTAACAGCAGTTTGGATCTAAAAAAATGACCAGATCAAAGAAATACAAAAAACACAGACTTGGAGGATCCTCTACAGCACTTAAATAACTGACTTAAATAAGCCAAGACAGTAAAGTGCTGTCTGACTCCATATGAGTCGCTGAGTAACTCAGCAAACTGAGTAAATGTGTCCATGTCTTGATGGTACCACACAGTGATCTCACTCTGAGGCAAACAGCACTGTCAGACTGAAGGGGGGGTGAGGTGGGGTGGAAGCTGTTGAGTGGTCATGAGAAGGCTGACCTGAGAGGAGGAAATTGAACAGACTGTAAAAAGCTACAAGGGGGGGATTTTTTTCCCCCCCTGGTTTTGTACTTTGATCTTTGCGCACATCACGTGATGGTTCCCGTCTGATTTTGTCCAGGGGGCCATGTGTCATGCTGTGTTTTATAAAGCTGATCGCTTTCAGGACCGGAGACGAATGAATGTGGTTTTTGGGCACCCCCCCCCCTCTGCTTAGGTCCATTGCAAACCGCACAAAGCCCCTCGCAGCCCCAAACTGAACAGTTTTTTAATTGGGGCCTGCGAACAGTGGCAGATGTGGCCTCAATTTCCCACAGATGTACCGCCATAATTAAAAGTCCAAAGAAGTCTTCAAATCAAGTTCTTTCTTAATCAATTTGTTTATTGAAGACCAACAAAGTTTTGTATTGTCTTGTTCATGGGTAAAATGTATTAGACTTCTAATCTCTTTTTCATTTTTCTACAGAAACTCTTTGTCATCATTACCTTCAGCAAGCACATAGTGGAGCAAATGGTGTCACTCATCGGGTAAGCGTGTGTGAAAGAGTCTGCGTTGATAAGCCACTTCTTTCCGTTGTGGTTGGCAGTGCATAGGTAAATCTTCTCTGATGGGTTTCAACCACTCATTGGGGAATCTGAATAAAGAGGAAAAAAATGCTCTCGCTGCAGAGCCGTACACGCATGCATTTTTCCACGCAAAGGTATTTCTCCCCCTCCACCCCACAAGTGCTCTCGACAGCAGTGGTGGTCAGGCGTGTGAGGTCCCATCCGAACATGTTGATCTGACTCACCGAGTTGAGCTTTGACTGGCCCAGTTCGGCGGGAAACCCAAACCATAGACACTGGGCAAAAAAGATGCTCACAAACTGCAAACTTATCTCCAACTGGGCTAATTGTTGAAAGTTGTTGAAGGTAATGTAACACTAGCCAGCATTTTTTACTTTAGATTGTCGTCCTTCATAAAAAGAAAAAAATCTGGAATTTCTGGTGTAAATTTGTTTACTTAATATGTGCACCATCCAGAAAGGAACTCCTCACTGTGTTTAGACCAAAATGTTTCCCTCACTGATTTAAGATAAAGTTCCAGGTTGTTTCCGATGAAGCTCAATGACTTTTCGTGACTCGCTATGATTTGTCCAAATGATGTTTTGCTGCTGATACAGGATGTTTTCTTTGTCTCAGTTCATGTGTGCTTGTATGCTTAGTGGGAGAGATGATACTGACTCACTCAAATCTAGTTACATCAACATCAGGAATTACCCTTTCCCCATTTGGGGTTTATTATCTGTCATCTTTTTGCTTAGTCTGGTCAAGTCTGGACGACGTGTTTAAGTCCTGACTAAGAACAGAAGTGAATTCATGCTTTGTGAGGGCTGTGCGCATTTACAATCGGCAAGATATTTTTCTCTGCATATAATTAAAAGTTTGACATGATGTAGAGATACAGCTCAGTCTGTACGCCAGCTAAGCAGAAGGTGAAACTACAGGAAAATGTATGACATGAACTGATAAAATGGTTTAAGTTATGACTGGCCTGCCGGTGAGAACATCCACTTTCCCTAATAGGGACTGAAACACTCCCTGATTGGCTGTCTTTCCACAATGAGAGCAGCAATGTTGGTAAAGGTGATGACATCATGTCGACTCAACTTCCTGATGAAGGGGCTGAAACACACTCCTATAGAGAGCTTAGTCTTATAAAAGGAGGGCTGAGGAGTTTGTGCTTCATTCTTAGCTGCCTCCTCTGCTCACAGTAACAATTAGAGGTGGTGGCAGCTGGAGGACTGGGCCCACATGTCGGATGGGGCCCTCAGCAGCAGCTGCTGCTGGGATGCTGGTTGACCGGTGGATCAGTGAGGAGCTTGTTGGTGTTTAGACACAGAAAGGACCTTATTCATGGCTTTAGATGCCTTTCTAGGCTGCTTTCTTAAAAGTGTTGAAGAGCCTCGGTTTGCGACTGAAAGGGTGAGTTACTAAATACTCTTCCTCCTTTTTCTTCCTGCTTTTTGTGTTTGGCTGTCCTCTGTGGGTGTGCCGTGTCAGGTCTGTGCCTACACTGGGACCATCGCTCCAGAAGCCTTTCAGTCAGTACCTGGAAGCACAGAGGAACAAGCTGCACCACGCTGGAGGAAGTGCACCGGCGGTAAGCACAAAGTGTTTTCTCTACTCTCTGAAACAGCAGCTTCATTCTGGCACTTGGTGTGAGCTGCTTTTCTGTCCTGAAAAATGTCTATTCAGATAAAGCTGCCTGTGAAGCTATTACACTTTGTTGGTATAACAATGGATGTATTTAATCAGAGTTGGTAGACTTCTTTTTCATTTCACAGCCATTTAAGAGTAAAGAAAGTCACATACTTTTCTGTTGAGGTTGTTAAATTTGATAGTCATTTTCAAAACGTTATCTTGGGGACAGGGTATGTTCAAGGGAATCTTGTACAAAACAATGTTTTGGCATATCTGAACTGATAACACATTCAAATTCATCCTGAAAGCTTGTTATATCATCCAACCTACCCCTGTTCACCACACCTGGAATTGTGTGCTCCTCACCTCCTGGATGAAGGTACTGAAAGCATGTTCTACTTCGATTTGGGCTTTTCAGGACGAGAACTGGCTGTCGTGGGTGTTTGAGAAGGTGGTGCTGGTCATGGTGTGCTACTTTGTCATCTCCATCATCAACTCCATGGCTCAGAGCTACGCCAAGCGGCTGCAACAGCTGAGACACTCGGAAGAGAAAACCAAGTGATGGCGAGGCAAAGCGGCAGCCGCCTCCAAGTGACTGTGTTCCCGCTGCTGCTGAGAGCGCTCCCCTCAGCCACAGCCACTCTCAACTTAACAACAAACCTCACCCTCCTCCATTCTCAGAGAGGCTGAATGCTTAACAAAAAAAAAAAAAGAATCAGGCATTGTTTGCCTGTGTGTGTGTGCGTTTGTGTGCTGATTAAAATGTTTGTCCCTTTCTACCGTCTCCCCCCCTCCCCATTCAGGTTTTGTAGTTCTTCCTCCCATCTCACTCTGCGTGCAGGTAGTGATTGGTTCTACTGCTGATCTTAACATGTTACGTTAACATTGAATAAACTCATTCATCAACCTCAGAGGTAACGCGGCGGTTCGATGGCCGCGTTAAGGGCGGCGCCCATCAGATGCTATGCCTTATGCAAGACGGGGAACTATGAGGTCCCTTGAATATAGCTCTTGACATATTGACTTGATTTTTATTTAATTTTGTAACATTGCTGTCTGGAAGGACATCACATTGACTGTATAGTGTGCTTTGCCAAGATTACTGCAATGGATAGTCTTTTTGTTTTTTTTTCAGGGTTTAACTGTCCTCATGTTATCGTTCAGTTTACCGTTTAGGCCAATTTGTCTTCATTTGTTTCAGGAGAGAGAGCAATACCTCCTTCAAAAGTGGGGAATGAATGGTTTGCACATTGTGTAAATATCTTACCTTCTTTTTGACAGTACGGTCAGATGTATTTCTATTCCTATAGTCAGTGTGAAAAAAAAAAACACAAAAAGAAAAGGTGATATCATTTGTAAGGTGACATTGTATCCTGAACCAGTAGTCCCATTCTATTCTGTACATTTAGGTCAAATCTGGGCTCGGCATATATATAAAACAAAGGAAATTATAGAACTTGTTTCCATGTCTGGGTCTCTCATTTTTTCTTTTTGCTTTGTCATTTTAAATGTCAGTCCTTAAAAGTTTACTGTGATCGATTCCTGTTCATAACCCTGTTCAGTTTGGTTTGATGTTTTTACCACCACAACAAAGCTAACAATCAGTTTTCTGATCATCTACAAGGTAAGTGAGGAGATTGGCTTGGATACATTTTCATTGTTACGTCTTCTTGATTTGTTTTTTTTTTTAAATGTTGTCCTTATGGTTATTTGGCTTTTGATCCTCCCCATCTGAATAATGTCGGCCTGCATTCATTCAGAGTTCAATCGTAATTCTGTCTTCACACTTTAATCATAAGGTTCAGCGTGAGGACGTGACTGATCATGTCCACCTCATGGACAAGATGCATTCCTCTACACAAGTCTCCCACCCCGTCAGCTAGCTTATCAGACTGGTGTTGGCAGTTAAACGTGCATGGCAGCAGCAGTCTATAAGCTTGCTGAAGTTGTGGGCCTGCAGCTTTTCAGTGGGCCGGTTCGGCACGTGTGGACACGGCTCTTTGTTCTGTTTGTGTGGACACAACTACCTGTCTTCGGTATTGCTCTGCCTTCATGTCAGCCCAGTTGTGGCATGTGAAAACAACAATAAAGTGATGCAAAGTGACTTGTCTGATATCCTTTTCAGTTTTCTTTGTGCTCTAACACTTAAAAAAAAAAGGAAGAAGTTGGACTTCTAAAACTGACATATTTTTTGTCGATAAAGAGTTGCATTTTATAGCAGCCTTTTTTTTTTTTTTTTTAATTGGTATCCCACAATTTCAAATCTTTACCCTCTCATTCTGCTCTAAATGATAAAGATTCTGGACATTCTGGCAAAAGGCAGCCTGTGTATAACATAAAATTCTGTCATTTTTTGGTTCATCCATCTCTGACTGACTTGCCCTCACTTTGTAAGCAGTGTTGCCCTCTTTTGGCAAAAAAATACTTTCACATTGGCTTGATTTCTCTGACCCAGAGGTAACGCTAATTTTTATTGTCATTTATATTTTTAATCATGGGTAGGTATCCACCGGATTGTGAGTAAGCTGACTGAGTAAATCTCTGAAGGAGTGTTTGTCACAGAGTGGAGCTAATTGAAGAGGGACGCCTGTTAGTTTACTTCATTTGTTGGAATGATTTCCTTGCTTTCTGGGTGGCCCACTGTTTGGCAGATAGATCTGTGCGAGCTCAATACCAAGGGCCGCAATAATCTGAATAAACAGATCCGAGAAATTAATTAAGAAATCTGGAGATTTGACAGAAAATGTTTAAGTTGATTTTGTTGGACGTGTAGTTAATCTAATACCTCTATTTACTGAGTAATACAGGTATGGGAGTTGTAATTTCATGTACCATAAATTGGATTTTTGTTTTTTAGATCTAGTGTTGAACAAGGGATTTGATATAAGGTCATCATGCTCTAAATGGAACAACAGGTCATTAACAAGGTAAGCATTCATGTAGATTTCATTAACAAATGTAATAATATTGGGTTATAGTATTCATGAATTGAAATAATAAAACTTGTCAATTAAATGTCTCGGTTAAATGGCTTCTGCTGGTGTGATTTTATGAATTAAAAAACAAAATTCAAAGAAATCCTCTTAAAGTGCAAGAACTATTTTATTTACATGTTAATTTAAGACAAAATCCAATATAAATATATACTGTTTAAATCCAGAGATATATTTCCCCGCTGCTAGCACTATAGCTGACTGTAGCTGGAGACAACCTGCTCCAGATGTGTGAAGCTGTCCAAAAAGTCCTCTTCTGAGATGCCAAATTTGGCATACTGATGTATATAGGCTCTGAAAAAAGGGAATATTCAATCCTCATTTCCATATCCACAAAGCACCCCTTTGTGTAATACTAACTAGATTTAATTAACATCTTCCTTAATTAAAAAATCAAATAGACATTAGTGGCACTGACTCACCTGGAGGCAAACATATTCCACGCCTTTCTCACAATGTCATCCAGAGACCTGAGCAGGGCCTGGCTGTTACTGACCAACGTAGCAGACTTTTCATACTTATCAAAGGGAACTGGGGATTTCCACACGGTGAAAGCCTCGTCTGGGGAGAGCCAGGGGGTGTATATGGATGGCTCTTCAAAGCCGCCTGCGGACAACGGTCGAGAGGACGCTTCTGCATCACCGCTCGGATGTTTACGCCACCTGGTTTCTCTCAAACGCGTCTCGCCCCTCCCTCTGACCTGTCTCAGCGCTGTAGACGTCCTTCCCCCTCAGTACCAGCAGGTTGGCCAGCGAAGTGTTGACGCCGCTTCCTGGGAGACATTTGCTCCGCCCAGATTCTGCCGGCGGACGCACCTGCCAGTCTATACCTGATGGGAAAACGACGACAAATAAAGCAACTCATTTTACCTTTATGTAATTCCATGAGAGTGCGGGGCGCATGGCAAGGATCAGCCTGAACTAAACTGGCCTTCTTCCATCTTGGCATTAGAGATGAGCATCTGTCGTAGAGGCCTGAGCAGCCCTGGCCAGCTGAAGGTGCTGTAGGCTATGGAGGAACTGGGCATCTGAGGGACCGAACACACGCTGAGCAGCTTGTACTCCGGGTGGCAGGCGAGAGCGGCCACCAGCTCCCCTGGGAGACACCGCCGACCAAAAGTCAAAAGGGTCCATTTTGATACTTGTGATGTGTAGATCTGTGTGTGTCTGCCTCACCGAGAGGGTTGCGGCTGTGCGCTCCGTGTGAGTCAGGGGTGAGCGCGGGCTGCAGGACGCCTCCCAGCTGGTGAGCGATGACCCGGTTGACATCACCGAAAGAGATCTGTTTGATGTTGAGCAGCTGGCCGCAGACCCTGTGCACGGTGTCATTCTCGTGGACCAGGATGGAGTCGGACAGCTGGTAGAGGTGCGCCAGCGTCAGGACGGAGTTATAGTTCTGGACGATCACCTGAAAGAAAAGGCTGAATTTAACTAAAAGAAATGAAAAAAAAATAATGTTAATGCAGATTAATCTGCCAAAGACCCGAGTCTCAGTACCTCTCCAGTCCCATAGGGCCAAGTGAGGTGGTTGAGGATGAAGGAGGTAGGGTAGATGTCTCTCAGGCACTGAGTTGTGTACGTTCCCACCCCGGACCCCGTCCCCCCTGCTACGCTCATTATGGGCATGAGCCCGGCCAGTCTGTCGCAGCGCTCCACCTCTCTCCTCACCAGCTCCTCCACCGCCTCCCTGTGACGTGGGCCGAGGACACAATACCTAGCCGGTACAGGAGAGACAACATCAGCAAACTTCCCTATGAGTACAAACTCTGAAAAACTACACAACTCTGAAAGCGAGGCCGCCTTGGTAAGAGTTATATGTTAAAAGGCACACTAAGTATGGTCAAAAATAATGTTGAAGAAAATGCATTAAAGGATGTGATTCCTTCTCTCCTTACCCATTGGCCCAGTTGTTTCCAGCACCCTGCTTCTGGCTGAAATGGGAGGTCTCTCCATACCTCCACCTTCCGGACCTGGCAGCCTTGGCCAGGCTGTGGTTGATCACTTTGGGCTCCATGTCGACCAGTACCGCCCTGGCTTCGAGTTCTAGTAAACCGGAAAGATGCAATTGGTAAATATGCTCACACTAAACAGGAACCCAACGCATTTAGTTCTCTTTAGAGGCGCTCCTACCTCCATGTGCTGTCTGGTGAAAGAAGCGCTCGCAGCTGGCCGCCCTGTAGCTTTTCCTCTGGCCCTCCTGCGCGTCGCTACAGAGGACGTCAAACAGCTCCTGGCCCACCTGGTTACCGCACTGACCGAGCTGGACGGTCACTACAGACATCCCAAATGGACTCAAATGCCCGCCTCACGCAGCAACCGAGCCCACGAGCGACCCAGCGGAGAAACGAAGCTCCATGGGCTCAGTTTCGTAAGTTTTTGACTGACGGAGCTGCGTTTGTTTTGCCGCCACCGGAAGTTACGAGTGGGTCTTCCATTGTTGTCAACACCTTTCAAAATAAACGTCGTATGAACGACTTTATTTTCTGTCACTGAGGACACAGGTCGCATAAGGGGAAAAGAATTGGACCCTTTAGGCTACAGTGGGAATGTAGCCTTTAAGCCCCTGGAATGTGCTTTGTAGGCATATGATACAGCTTGATGAAGGTATGCGAACATTCGTAAGAGCTTACTGAAGTGTACTATAACTTGATACTAATACAACACTTTGAGGACTGCAGATATGTCGTTTTGATAATTGTTTATAAGTTGTAATTATTCCATTAAAGGACCAACAAACGTCCCTGGGATTGAGTTTTTTGTTGTTGTTGTCAAATCATCTGTAGTTATTCGTAAAACACGTTATTTTTATTTGATTATCAGTTAAACAGCTGTCATTAGTAAAGAAGAATACAAAAATAGACTAAGGCAAATTAATAAAAACAAAGTTCAAAGAGCCTCAGGTCATTTTCCTTTTTTAAATAAATATTTGTACATATTTTATATAGAATGGAATTTAATAGAATGGAATATTTTATTGATCCAACAGAGGGGAAATTTACATGTTACAGCAGAAAAAATGGAAAAAACACAAGCACAGTTGAGCATAAATGACAGTTATTTTCAATGCAACAAAATAAATTAATTAATTTACGAGGGAGAGCTATTCAAATTTAATAATATGATTATTAAAATATTACAATCAACACCAATTTACCAATTGACTAATTTACCAATTGACTACTGAGGCTAACATCATGGACCAGGCAGTGCAGGTGTTATAGATCCTAACAGCAGTAAGGACCTGCGTTATCTCTCCTTCTTACGCCCTGGGTGTAACAGTCTGCTGCTGAAGGAACTGCTCACTGTCCCACAATGTCCTGTAGGGGGGTGAAAGGTGTTGTCCATGATGGATGTCAGCTTAGCCAACATCCTTCTCTCCCCCACTACTTATACTGAGTCCACTGGACTCAGTCTATTGAGCCTGCTCCTGTCCCTGTCCGTGCAGCCCCTTACCCAGAAGACCAAAGCATAAAAAATGACTGAGGCCAACTTAGAGTCATAATATGTCTTCAGAAGACTCCTACACACTCCGAATGACCTGTTTCCTCAGCACATGGAGGCGATTCTGGCCCTTTTTGTATATGGTGTCAGTGCTTACAGAATATATTTATAAATCTAAAATAAAGCTATTTTTTGTGTAGATCTGGCTTTTAGTTCAGTTTAAGTGGACATTTTGAATTGACAAAACAATAGCGGGGGTCAGAAATCGCTGTCAAATGCGGGGGACCCCAACGCCTGTGAGACAATAAAACAGGTCACCGCCCCCTACCATGAGGAGCGTAGTGCGCATGCTCAGTGTAGTAGCCGGTTATGGCGGCGGAGTGTGTTTGTCCATGAGGTGGGGGACGTCTGCCGTTCGTACAGTCTGTGACAGAGCGATTCGAGCGACTCGCTGCTATGGCTGGAGTGTTCGACATTGATTTGGACCAGCCGGAGGAAAATGTCTCCGATGATGAGAATGAGGAGGTACTTAGACAGGGGCTGTTGAGCGCAACTGGGAGAGCTGTCACAGCAGAAAACTCCTTACGCACGGTAGCTAGCTGCTAGCCTGCGAGCGGCAACCGCAGGCCTGCTCCCTCCTGCAGCCAGCCTGTCGGGCCTGTGGAAGCGGGAGGGGACGGGAGGGGGGCTAATGCCGTTAGCCTGACAGCTACGGTGACAGAACCGCCACATGTTTATTTCTTCGTTAACCATTGACACGAGCCGGCAGTTAAGTGCGAGCGTTGGCGGGTCCGTCGCTGTCACGCCGGGGCTGTGCGGAGCTGCCTTACTTGGCCAAAGGTGCTGCACGGATAATTGTGTCTCCGTGTGCAACAGTTCATACGAGCAAGATGTCACAGAGACGAACTGTGAGGGGCTAAACCACGTCTGTTTCTGCCCATGCCACTTTAATAAAGAACACAAAAAAAGCAACGTCGCATATCTAATGAGCAGCGAGTTAAAGCCATGCTTGTTTGACTTTTTTCTTCTTTTTTTTTAAAGACACTATTCGCTGCCGCAGGAGTATATTTAACTAACTAGAGTCAGTAAAGCAGGGCTGGATCAGATTACGGTCTGCATTTTAAACATGGATTGTTTTGTCCACAGAACCTAAACCTACAGAATTCTAGAAATAACATTTTATTTTATTTTATAACCTGAATTCTTTAAGATGACATTAAAGTCAAATATTAAAGAGACTGAAAATCCTAAATCCTGGACATAGCCACATTTGCTCTAGTTTCTGGTGTTTTTGAAAAATCTCATTACATCTGTAGTAGAACTAAATTGTGTTTATACTAACTTCAACAATGTGTCTGTCACTTAATTAGCAAAAAACGTTTTATTGCATAATCTTTGTTAAATGAAATACCCAAACCATGCACGCATGTACACACATCATCACACATTTGGGGCTAGATATGAGTAAACAGTTTACAAATGTTGCCTTAGAACAGCATAGTTTGGACAGTCCAATGTAAAAATGTAATTAAAAAAGACGTTAAAGATAAAAAAATATTTTCAGAATATTGATCTTGTCCTGTTAGTTGTGATAGACCACCATTTCTAAAGCACTCAGTTTGAAGTGATATCAACACAGAAAAGCTATAAAATGCTAGTTTAGAGATGCATTGATTAAACTTTGGCCACAATATGTTCTGCCCATCAGTTAGATCAATTATGAAAAAGCACCTCAATTATCATTCCTTTGATCTGTGCCTCTTTTTTTCCAGGTTGAAATTAATGACATCATGGAGCAATGCAGTGGATTTGAATTGTAAGTGTAAAGATATCTTTTTTTTTTTCTTCTAATGTTGTATCTGGAAATAGAGAAAAACTATCATAAATCATGTCTCACGGCAGTAACATGGATGACTGTGAAAAGATTGAGATCTCGGAGGACAACGTCAACCAGGGGACGGAGAACATCCGGCCTGAGTGCTTCGAGCTGCTGCGGGTCCTGGGGAAGGGCGGCTACGGGAAGGTATGCAGTACGCCCCGTGTGCTCTCCCACCAACAGACAACTGTGATGGATTACTGCGCCTCTTTAAAATGAAGTCCAGTCATATTTCCCTGCGGACTATTTGATCATTGTGAGAACGTGCGTCTCTAATTTCTTTGTCGTTCAGGTTTTCCAAGTTCGGAAAGTTGTCGGAGGGGCCTCGGGCAAAATCTTTGCCATGAAAGTTTTAAAAAAGGTACTTTTATTCTCTCTTTTTTTTTTTTTTTTTCTTATACCCACATTAACTCTAGAACAATCTAGCTGGATCCCAGCAGTCGCTGTCAGTACGTGTCACACAAACACGTTGCATGTTATTACAAGTAAACGCTGTGGTGCTTCTGTCCAAAACACTGGCTGTCGCTGAGACCAGCGCTGGGGTAAGATTTCACTGCTAGTTGGTAGGTTGCCATCCGCGCGGCTCTGTTGCAGCCGCGGCGCTTTAAACCCTCAGCTTCAGCTTGGTGCTGATGGCTGCTTCTGCTTGACTGCTTCACATGAGCCCAGTGACACTTTGAAGACCTGCTAAAAGGTGCGAAGTATCTGATCGCAGAGCTGCCTTGATAGAGCTTCTAGAAGCCAGGGCTCATGTTGCACGCAATTCGTCCCAACTTGCCCAAAAATTTTGAATGACAATTGCTGTGCTTATGTTACTGACATGAAGTCTTTAAAGTGGGGAAGCCATCCTTTCTCCAGGATCCCGGTGAGTTGTTAAAGTGTCCTAAACTGTTAGATGCTTCCAGCATGTAGTAGAAATATGTACTCCCCAAATTTGATTCCACTTTAAAAAATCATTTTGGATTGTAAACATTTTAAGAATCTGATAGAAAGCAAATATATTTTTACTATTCAATTTTGGCCAAAAATATATATTTAAACCTGAGCAGCATTGTTCATCCACAGACTCTTTGTCTGCACATCTATCCTCTCATTATAAACAAAGTTCGGATATTCCTGCTCTCCCAGCTCTGAGCCCACAATGCTGAGACTACACTCTCGCTGACATGCAGCTCTTGGGCTGCCGGACAGAAGTGTTTAGTAAACAGAAGTAAGAAAGGCAGCAGAGAGGCGGGTGGGGGGTGGAAAAGATGCAGGCACAGAATATTCTGACAGTTCAACTGGTCTGTTGACACCATCACACCCCATGCAGTAGCAATAGGGTCATTTAACCAGAGAATGAATCAATGATTCAGGTGCAACTTAAAGTGCCCTTTTAAGAGGAATCTCCCGTAATAATGAAATTTATCTGCTGATGAACTGATGTTGGGCTGTTTTCTTCACAGGCCATGATTGTTCGCAATGCAAAGGACACAGCGCACACAAAGGCAGAGAGGAACATCCTGGAAGAAGTGAAGCATCCCTTCATTGTGGATCTGATCTACGCCTTCCAGACAGGAGGGAAGCTGTACCTCATCCTGGAATACCTGAGTGGTCAGTGCCGTTGAGAAAGGAAGCTGCTGTACGCTACAGTACAAAACAACAGCTGCTATTTTGTTTACCTCTTTTTTAATCACAGTTCATATTGAGGTTAAACCTGTTTGCACTCCAAGTCAGACAGTAAGAGTAGTGTCTAATTAAAATCTCAATATGTCCTCAGCCAAATATCATGTACAAAATCAGTCACACTATTTTATACAAGTGAGCCTCTTTAAAATTTCTCTGAGGGATTCATAGTGAAAGGCTCCTCTGGTTAGTGGGACGCACAAGAAAACATGCCTGAGAAAGGCGTCACTGTGTTGCCATTTTTGTTGCCCATGTCAGTACAACATGTATGTTTTCACCCGTGCAGGAGGAGAGCTCTTCATGCAGCTGGAGAGGGAGGGCATCTTCATGGAGGACACGGCCTGGTGAGCTTTGTTGTGTTGTGGATGAGAGAATTAAATGCAAAGGTTATGTTAGACTGCAGGTAACTGCAAAAATAGATCTTGTGTTACCGTCGTAAAAGAATCGCATCAGGCATGAAAGCAGACAACCTGTTTTTCTTTTCATCTAGTTTTTACCTGGCAGAGATCTCCATGGCTCTGGGCCATCTGCACCAGAAGGGCATCATCTACAGAGACCTGAAGCCTGAAAACATCATGCTCAACAGTCAGGGTGAGTCAGAGTCAGAGCTTTTCATCTGCCAAGTGTTGGTGACAGTTTTGTAGAGAGCTATAATTAAAATTGTGCTGTGCGTGTGTCCCCCAGGTCACGTAAAGCTGACCGACTTTGGTCTGTGTAAAGAATCCATCCACGACGGCACGGTTACACACACTTTCTGTGGGACCATCGAATACATGTACGCTCTTTTTTTTTTTTCTTTTCTCATCATCCAATTGAGTTCCACTCATCCATTTTCACCTCCCTTTTGTACACCTCCTCACTAAGGTTTGTTTTTACCAATAGTGAGAAGGAATCAAACAAAATGTATATGTCACAGGGCCCCAGAGATCTTGATGAGAAGCGGGCACAACAGAGCAGTGGACTGGTGGAGTCTGGGCGCTCTGATGTACGACATGCTCACTGGAGCGGTCAGTTGAAAATAGGACTTTTAAAAAAAATGAATACACACAAATCTGTCATTAAATCTACCAGGTTAAAGTAACCACCTTCTTTCGTCTTGGATCGCAGCCGCCTTTTACTGGCGAGAACCGCAAAAAGACCATCGACAAGATCCTGAAGTGCAAGCTCAGCCTGCCCCCCTACCTCACACAAGAAGCCAGAGACCTCCTGAAACGGGTATTTCCTTTTTTTTCCTGTTGTTCTTTCTGCTGAAGCTCTTATCAGTGCAGCAAGTGTACTCTTTAACAATTGGCTGCCTGTTTGGACAGTTACTGAAGAGAAACGCCTCGTCCAGGTTGGGAGCGGGAGCCGGTGACGCCACAGAGGTGCAGGTGAGACCCACTTTGACATCGTGACGCTTCATATTTGGGTTTGTGCTAAAAAAACAAGAAGCCAGCATTCTAATATTGATTTCCATCAGGCTCATCCTTTCTTCCGACACATCAACTGGGAAGATTTGTTGGCCCGGAAAGTGGAGCCTCCCTTTAAGCCCATCCTAGTGAGTACAACCAGGGACAGGGACTTCTGAATTGGACATAAGTCGTGTTGTCGGGTGGGACACTGTGTCAGTAGCTGAGGCCGAGGTGTCTGGAGCGTGTCCTGGCTCTTCTTCTGTTACAGTCTCTCGTTCACCTCGACAGCCGACACGTCTCACGGTGCCGTTTCCCCTCGCTTGAGTCTCCCTCCCTGTTTCTTTCAGCAATCGGCGGACGACGTGAGTCAGTTTGACTCGAAATTCACCAGTCAGACGCCAGTCGACAGCCCGGACGACTCCACCCTGAGCGAGAGCGCCAATCAGGCCTTCCTGGTAACATCCCAATGTATTTTAGCCCATCACGCTCCAAATTTGGCCTTCCGCAAATTTGCTCAGGAGCCGTATTTGTGTTCTTTTTTCATGGTTGTTTTAGGGTTTCACATATGTTGCCCCATCAGTCCTGGAAAACATCAAGGAACGGTTTTCATATGAGCCCAAAATCCGCTCACCTCGGCGTATCACAGACAGCCCGAGGACACCCCTCAGGTATGTCGGCCCGTCGGCAGCCGGGGCTTCAGGGAACCAGTCACGCCCTCCATCATGTGCTTGTTTGGTGGATAGAATCAAAACCCCTGCTTGCTTGTTCTGTGCCTTCAGCCCCGGGTGGTCCCGCGGCCCCCTCCTCCCCGGCGGAGGACCGAGCGTCCTCCAGTCTCCTCAGGACCAGGCCATGGAAGTGTCCACTCCGGAGCAAATGGACATCACGAGCAGCTCGGAGGCCTCTGCGCCTCTCCCCATCCGTCAGCCGGCGGGGGTCAACCTGGCTCAGATGAAGCAGCAAGCCTACCCCGTCGCGGCCAAGCGGCCCGAGCATCTACGAATGAACCTATGACCCACGACTGTCCGCTTCTTTTTCTTTCCCCATCTTGTCGGGGAAGGGGGGGGGGGTTCTTCCTTTTTTTTTTTTTTTTTTTTTAAACAAAGAAAAAAAAGGTTCGGGTGCTGGAGACGACGAACATCCAAAAGTGCACATCCAAAGCAGCACACATCCTTTCACGCCTCCGGCGCTCTGTGGGGCCACAGGCGGCGCCACGGCCCGGCCACTTCTCCTCAGACACCTCAGGGGCGCCGACCTCCGTCTTCATCATGTTTCAATGACCCGGAAATCCAAAAAGCTGGCCATGGTCACACAGCATGCCTGACTGAAGTGCTGCACCGGAAGGTGTCCAGCACACTCTGTGCCGTTTCAGCGGATGCCAGCGAGCAAAAAAACTCTGTTGGAAGGATCTTTCCCTGACAGTAAGCTCCCTGGCTCCAAACTAAATTGAATGGATACAGTAAGGATCACTGCTTTGGAAAGAAAAGAAAAAAAAAATCAGAGGAATGTTTGCTCCTGCAGACAAGAGAGAGTCTCTGGTATTGATAAGTAGTTTTACATTTCACAAAGTCTTACACAGGATGTATTAACTGTGTTATACATCAGCTATGACTCAGAGAGCCTTAGATATAAAAAAAGATAAAAAGTTGACTTTCCATTCTCTCAGTAATAGTGTTGTGGATATAAAACGGTTCGCCTGAAGTGGGATCAGTACTTCCGCCACATCTCTTAAGTTGTCGCCGATGGACCATAATTCTGCGACTCTGGCGTCTCTCACTTCCCCAAAACAAACTGATCTCAGTGCTGCTTCCGTGACCCAACCTCCTTCTTCATCACCCGGTTGCCCCGGGGACACGGGACCTCAGGACCCTGGTCCGGCCCCTCGGAGTGGAGTCTGAGACCGTAGCACCAGTTGATCTGGTCACCGTCTGCAGCTTTGGGGGTTTTGATGCTCCAAAGACTTAACATTTACAGCCTCTTGCATCAGCATTAACTTGTTCAGGAGGAAAATTTTAAGAACTTCTGAAAAGACAATTATCAATAAAATACAATTGAAAAAAAGTTCTCTTTCGTGAGTGTGGTATTTTGTAATTTAACTGAAAAAACAATCAGACTTAAGTGCATCTTTTTTTTTTTTTTATTGAAAACATTTCAGATCTCAATGTTCCATTAGAATCACACTGGACTCTTCCTTAATTGATGTAATGGGGTCATTGTAAACAAAGATGTGCAAATTAAATTAAAAGCAGTGATTCAAAATTTGAAGAAAAATAAAACAGGAAAATACAACAGAAGCAAAACAGGAGAATCTGGGCTAATGGGACCCATTAGCCCAGACCCATTTATCACCACCTAAAGGCCAGTTAAGCAGACTACAGGGAATGGGCTCAAACCTCAGCCTAAAAGCGATACAGAACACGATGCTGCTGCTATTCTGTCAAAGAATACCCGATCAACTAACCCTGCGCTCTGTGGCTGCTTGAAAGAGAAAGTCTTTGGAGGAAGTTGGCAGTTAAAAAACTGCCACACACAAACATAAAAACAGGCTGTGGGCTGAACATGATGCACAGTCTGAGGGGAACCGTGTGCTTCTCAGAAGAGCCCAAAACACATGTAATGCAGCAGTAAGCCGAGGTGTTTGAGCTTTGTCCCTGTGGTTCACAAAGCAGGCACCTGTGATCAGGATGAGATATTTTCCAAAGAAGTTGTGACACTCCCCCCAGAGCGGTTTCATTTTGAGAAAAAATACATTTAGTTGTATGTACAGTACGAAATCACAGCCTTTGCTCATCAAATATCTCCAAGGCTGCTGGTCTGGGACCGGGAATCAGAACCGGCCAAAAAAAATGTATACAGTTTATTCCATTTATTTTATCACAAGCAAGAGGTGAAACCCCAAATCCACCGTCTGCATGTGCTGTACTTATAAAGAGCCCGCAAAAGGTCCAGAATAAATTTACATAGTTACTCCTGGAACTACCAAGTTACTGCAGTCATTAAGCTGGAGCTAAGACTACATGGGTGCTGTGTTGTTTGTCCTTTAACTATGTGTTGGTATAGGAATAAATGTACAATACATGTAATGATAAGCGGAAAATGCTGACCAGCTTTAAGTTCAGCTATGCAAAGTGGACCGGCAGAAAGATATAAATAAAATGAAACAGAAACCGTCTCATTTATAACGTCTTAATAATGTCTTGAATTCAAAGACTGTCCAAAATGTCCCATCGGTCCTATGAAGGCAGACAAACGTACTTAATGTAAGGTACGAAAAAGAAAAGATTGCTCTAGATAAAACGTGATGACTGGTTTTGCATAATCCAAATGCAAATTCAATTCTTCATCAGGAATGCATACTTCAAACTCAGAAGAAAAAAAACAACAAAACTTTGGGATGAAAGCTGCCAGGTGGTTTCAAAATCTACAGAGAACATAGTGGGCTTTTGCCTTATGAAACTACAGCCTGGAATATGTTGTTTGATTCTTCTATAGATGTGAAAAGACTGAACAAAGGCACAGATTACCTTAGTGGAGACAAACTTGTTTAAATTATCATAAAAAAAGGAAAACCTTGGCAGATATACTGCATGAGGTCCCACATCCCCGTGTGCACAGACTGGATTTGTGCATCATATGTTCTGTATCCTTCTCAACAAAGTACTTCTTTTTTGTGGGTTGAATGGAGCTAAATCAGAGATTTAAGTGCTGAGTTTACCACTTTATGAGATTTTCTTAGAATCCTATTTTGAGGGTTTAAATGTGTTTTATTTTTTTAAAGAAGAAAAATAATAAATAATCTATTTTCGTTCAAAATATATATATACACATCATAAACTTCTTGCTAATTTGACCAGTTGCAGTTTTCAGTAGGACACCTTATAGGTTAACAGCAAGAACTTTTTGTCTCCTTCAGGGAACAGAGATGAATTTCGTCATGGGCTTTGCACTGTAAAGTGACTTGTATGAGGGTGAATGTTTTCCGAGTTGAGCAGCTAAAGCATGACCGGAGAAAGTAGAGCAGAATCCTGATGGAAGTCTGACAGTTACCCACGTTTGGAGCGGGATATGCCGGTTCTACCGTCAGTGGTGCGGTTTGCGGTGATGTGGTTGAGTGTTACTGATTCCCTCTGCACCTCCATGCTGCGGGGCTCTGCTCCTGCAGCCGCCGCATTTTATTCCCCAGCCACAGCCACCAGACCAGGCCGATCACCACGCACACCAGCGACTCCACGAAGTAGCCGTCCATGGTGGTCACACAAACGCCGCCTTCCTTTGTGCACAGCTGGAGGAAAGGAGACCAAATGACACGCTTTTATTGCCCTCCTCTTTTCCAGATGAGAACTCACACACACACACACACACATATACACACACACACAGACGCGGTCCTTTGCCAATCCACTTACCCCTGCTTCAGCTGGAGAGCCACAGCTCTGTCCGGAGGCCCCCTGGCATTCCTTGGAGGTCAGGGGATCAACCATCCACAGGGCCACAGTGGACGGCCAGTTCCCCCCGAGGTTAGTGACCGTGTTGAGCAGGGTCATGTAGGTCCCGCCTATGAGGGGGTCACTCACTTTGGCATGGAAGGCCATGCAGGCCACGTACATGCTGTACAGGGCCACCTGGAGACAAAACCACCAGAGGTTAGCTCGCTGGGATGTTGAAGGGTTTGTCAAATGCAACGTGCACCTTTTGTCTTCTTAGGAGCCCATGTTATGATCATCTACCGTTTCAGATTTGTTTTGTCTGGCACTCAAATAGCACGTACGGTCACCTTGTGTCTGAAATGCTTCTTTTCAGACGCCAGGCCCCGTTTTATCTGGCCTGGTATTCTGTACGACGGAGAAATGAGGGAGCCTGGCATTTGTCCGTTCTTTGTTCAAGGACATGCCAAATTGGTCACTTGGCAGGTAGTATTCAAATGAGTCACCCAGTTATGTAGCCAAGTGAGGGAGAAAAGGCCAGGACCATAAATCAGGCATTTCAGGGCCATTTGGAAGCAGAATGTACAGTGGGAGGTCCAAATACAGAGTCACATCTTTATCAATCATTGCTTGTTTTTATAAAGAAATAAAAACCCAGCTAACCACACAAAAAAATCAGTTCCTGAACTAGAGATAAATGAAAAAAAAGGGAAACAAAACAATTAGCTGTCTTGTTGGACAGCTAAGGGATAAAACGAGTAATTTGTTGAGTTGACTGAAGATTCAAGTTGAAAAACTCCTCCCAAAGCTTCTTGATCCATGTGTGCCCACTCATGGTTCTGCAACTGTACTTAAGGAATATAATCCTCTCCAAATAAGACTACAACAAACACCCAATAAACCTTTCAGTCACTGCCCTACTATTACGCCATCACACAGACTCGTCAAACTGGAGAATAGACAAATAAAAACTAAACCTGATGCAGCGCGTAGCTCAGCAGCACGATGGCATAGTAGTAAACTGGGAATCCTCCATCTTGTTTTACGCTGGGAGTCCACCATACCAGGAGAGCATACTCCAGCCCTATGAGCAGCCTGGGGAAAAAAAAGAAAGAACCTCTGTTAGCTTTGTAGCTTATGTATTTTCTAAACGTGGGTGGATTTACATGTCTAAGGCCCCACCTGAAAGGGAATGCCTTATAGAAAACGTCCAGGGGTCGGGGCCCAGCTGTGTATTTGCTGATGAACACTGGCAGAAGGATCTGCAGGGGCACCATGGGCACTGCCAGCAACGCCAGCTGCTCCTTCGGAACTCCGGCCTCCACCAGCTTCAGACCGGTGACTGCATCTGCTGCAGAGAAACCAATCTGCAGCAAACAAAGAAGACTGAAGTTAAAACTTTGCCCTCAGGGTGGTGGTGGGGGGAATTTTGTGCCTCAAACTTAAACAAGCATTTTTACTTTTGCCGTGAGAAGCAAGGCACAAAACGTGAAGACTGTGGGCATCTTGACAATAGAGAACAGCAACTTGTAGGTTTCCGTGACGCCCTGTATCTCTTCAGGAACTCTCCGCCTTCCATGGCCGTGTTCATTTTCCCTTTTAAAGATGGCTACCAGGGTGGTGGAGACCAAGAACGCCATTCCCCAAAAGAACAGGAAGTCTGTGGCAAACGTAGAGCAAAGCATAAGTTACCTGGTGATCGGCTGATGAAATAGAATACAAATAAGATCGAATAAAACTCAAGGAATCCGTCTCATCAATCTATTACGTCATCCAAAATTATTACCTGGCAGGGTGACGATACCGGAGTCTTTGGGTACGGTTCTGAGGTATTTGTTGCAAAAGTCAGCAGACTCCAGAGCCAGAAAGAGCACATTTCCCAGGAAGTAGCCAGCGGTCTGACCCACTGAGTTGCATGTGGATGCATAGCCCACATTCTCTCTGGATAGCATGGTCAGGGCCCAGCCATCCACCGCTATGTCCTTCCATAGAGAGGTTTAAGAGAGCATGTGAGCGTGTGTATTTCTGATGCCGGTATGCCCTCGTACACCAGTCCCTCTGAATAATTACCTGTGTGGCTGCTAAGAAGGCAAGCATGAAGAAAACCGCAGTGAGTGTGACGATGTCCGGTCCTCTCTCGTTCTGCAGCAGCGCATTCACCGTCAAAGAAAGGTAAAGCATGAAAAGGCCCAGCAGGTACTGTGTGGGCACCAGCCACGACTTTCTGCAGAAAGCGGTGAGAGGTGGGAGGTGAGGAAAACTGTTCACAGTGTTGAAGACAGATACAAATCTAAATAAAGTATCCATGCAGTATCCACACTTCTTACCTCCGACCAAACCTGCTGAAGTAGAGGGCGTCAACCAGTGGTGCCCAAAAAAGTTTCAGACTAAATGGCCAGAAGACGAAGCTGAAGAAGGCTTGGTCTTTGTAACTGACGTTCTTGCTCTGTAAGATCAGAGGGATGCTGCCAGCGAGTCCCAGAGGAATCCCCTGCATAACGTAGAGGAACAGAAGGAGCGACACGTTCCCCAGCTCGCCATGGATCCCAGGACGAACTCTGCAGCGGCCCCTGTCCTCAGAGTCCGACCCTCTGATGAGACCCTCCGTTTCCTCCTCTGGCTCGGAAGAAGTTGCCTCTCCCATGTCCCGCTCTCGCATGTGTCCAGGTAGAAGGCTGGAACCTGCCAGCTTCCTCTGCCGCCCGTTCTTATGGGTAGTCAAATCTAAAGGCTCCATGTTGGAGCTGTGGGCTTTAAACCGGCTGGGCCCCGTTTAAATCTACTGAGAGAGGAGAGACATGTGAAGAAACTTTAATTGAAAAATCCCAATGAAGCCCAAGTCTTTAAAGCTTCAATGAGGAGTTCATTTCCTTCTGAAAATTAAATGATGAGTGACACGCATGGAGGTCTGCCAATAATCAAGCTTTAGGACCAGGAAATTGGTGTAACAAAGACAACATATATCCCAAAGCGAGCTGTCACCATAATGTAATGTGCCGTTACTCCACCGGCCTTTAACAGATCATAACTATTTATGAGCAGATCCATCAATGGAACATAGGCTGGATGGGAAAAGTTTGCAGCCGTCACCTTGAAATATATGTAGAGTTCAAAAGAAAACTAACATAAACACACGCAGTTAAAGAAAACTGTTAAAGCATGCTTAATCATTTGGAGAAATATTTCAACAAAAAGAACACATGGAAAGAAAGATGGATGGTTTCATGCATACCTTCTGATGATAGCATGCTACAATCAAAGCAGAGCACGAAGACGGAATCACGGAGCCAATCAACGGCAAAATAATCTAATTCGGTCAGACGAGAGTCAATGGCATCTTGAGAGAAACAACAAATGTTAAAAAATACAACTACCGTTAGGATTAACACAGGTTACATCGGGGGACATCAACACAGAGGAGCCAGGAAGTACTCTGCGTGCACCTCAGAAATGTGTCCGGCGACTTCAGCTGACGTGTCCAAACATAGCCACACGGTGTTCCGCTTGAAACAACACGGAAATCATACAATGATTCTATTAATAAAATCTTCTAAACGTTGTACCATTAATCAATTTTAAACCATACATCTTATGATGCCCAAATTTTACATTTTAACATATGCCATTTTTCCAATTTCCAAGAAAAATACATCAAGTAACTTCTATCAAACACAGTCAACATTTGTTTGTCTGTATGGGTTATGAATTAGCTGAAAGATTCTTCCCATATGAATCTGAACCTCACTTACATATCAGTTTCATGTGAGCTCCCCACACTGGTTATAAATACTTCCTGAATATTGAGTAAATACTGGCCAATGCACTTTAGACCGAGATGAAATGTAAAACCCGTGGGAAGACCCATTTATAATCTCACTGGGCTCCACAAACAAGTATTTTGTTTTCCTTACACATGACTAGCTTCTCAAAGCAAGATTAAATCTGGTTCAAATCTAACCTGTGTAGGTAGAGTTTCTCCAGGCACTCCAGTTATTGGGGAGATTGGGGATTCCAAATTAATTTTGGCAGTGGGCAGTTATAGGTGTCTGTGGTTGTTTGTATCTGTGTTTGCCCTGTGACGAAGTGGCAACCTGTCCAGGATGGACCTGCCTTTTTGTCTAATGGGAGAGTGGTGGGGTCACACCCTGAATCATAATTAGTATAGAAAATGAATGAGTAGACAGATGGTGGACATGGTCAACATTTTTTCATCATGTATTTAAGTGTCCTCTACAAGCAAAATGTGTGTTTGGAAAAAATAAATAATCGTAAAAAGGATATATATTATTCAATTGAAAAAAGTTGAAAAAAATATTATTATTCATGTTTTAAGAGTAAAAGCCTGATTATCACTTACATCAACCTATTTCACACTTAATTTGAATTCAATAAATCTAGTTTAAATCCAAATTTTAGTGGCCCTGCAATGGACCGGACTCGCCTCTCGTCCATTGACGACTGGGACAGGCTCCATTCCCCCCCATGACCCCATTAGGGAATAAGCAATTTACAATAATGGAAGGATGAAACCAGAAATTTGAAATGGTTTAAAATAATAATTTTACTGTACTATGCAGAGCTCCGGAACAGAAGTCCCAATGTCGTTTCTTTCTTAACCAAAAGGTCTCTTAATGAAGGTCAAGAAGCACCCATGACCCCACATTTAATTTCAAGGTAATGAGTAACATCATGTTCAGCCTTGTGGTAACTGTGAGTGCATGTGAAGCTGCTTAACCCTACGGCGAACATGTGACAACACACAGGGATATTTCAGAGTAACAGCACGTGATAAAACGAACCCTGTTGAAGCTGCAGTTTATGTGTTAGTCTATGCAAAAGTGTCATGGTGAATAAATACACCTTTTCATTTAATATCAAACCATGAATGTCAAACCTACATAATAAGAAAAGGTGTTAAAGTCAGTATGTATTGAAAATACATTTCACAGAAGTCAGAATATATCAAATGTGTACCTTTGCAGATAACTCCAAGTGGAATCATCTAAATATATGCAGGGTTATGTTTGCCATCTCATTTGTAATGTAACTGAACCAGAAGTGCCATTCCCATGGTTACACTGACACTATTTTTATGCTGACAGGGAACTCTGACTAGTTACTAAGGACACACTGTTTAGAAAACAATACTTTCTCTGCATGCTGTCTGTTTCTTATGGCCTTTTCCACATGATGACTTTTCATAGCAATTATTGAATCCACATTTCATTTTCTATCTTTAAAACATTATAAAAGATGGCAGTTCCATATTGTAATCTTCTGACTTGAATAAGGAGCAGTCTCCTATCATTTTTCCACTAACGAATGAGAACTGTAGCAGCAGACAACTGCCTTGTAATAACCAGAAATACATGATGACGATTCAATTTAACCCTTACCCCTTATATACTTGAACTATTTGCTAAAATAATTTATTCTTTTTGAAAATCAGTTTCAGTTTTGTTTTGTCTTTTTTCACCTAGTGAAAAGATTGCCAATTAAAGAAAGTGTAAACTTGCTTTGAGTTAGAAGTAGAGAGCTCCAGACCTTAATGCTGGAATGTATATGCTTGCTGTTACATTTCTCATTAACATTCGAGTGATGGTAGACTAAAGATTTTGAATTTACAATAACCCTTGAGTGTGTGTTTATACCCAACATATACAGTAACTATTCTTGAACCCCCAGAAAATAAACTATGTTCACAAGCAAAAGATGATCCAAGAGTCCTGAAAATAACTTGTGACAATTCACACTTTATGTCAAACCCTCTACGGTACAGTGCAGCAGACATGTTAGATAACAAGGTTCACCTATCACGTACTTGCTGCTTTCTGCTTGACAGAGTGGGAAGTTTATAGCCACAATGAGAACTGAGCACAAGTATTATTGAACGTTTGGGAATTCCTAACACAGAAAACGTGTCTGTCTTGTGTCTCCGTTCTCTCACTCTTCTTTGGGTTAAAAAAAAAGGAGAGAGTCGTGCACTTTCAAACGTGTATGGATGCAGGATTGTAGGCTGAGTCAGATTTAGCCCCCGGTTTAGACCCCTCTCACCCCTTGTTATCTGGCGGTTTTAACTTTGCGCTCCACCCATGAAACACAGACATATTTATTTTGTCTGCTCCGACTGTGAAACTTACTCCCCATTTGGAGGAGGAGAGACAGTCCAAAAACCAAACCCTCGACCCAGTCTGCTTTTCCGACAGTAGTCGGCGTGCTGGTTCAGTCGCAAACCAACAGCTCTGTCTGTGTGAGACCTGGGACAGCGAAGCGAAGGGGAGAGCTTTCCCACACAACACCACAGTCGTCCATGGCTCTTTGCAACGGAGACAGCAAGGTCAGTGGAGCGGGGAAAGAGACGAGGCTCCGGAGCGTTGTGGCCCGGCTGACTTGATGTCAGGACCCCTTGTTACTGTTGTAGTCCCCCCCCTGTTAAGCACGGCCTCTCTGCACCTCGGGGGGAAAGTTATTGAGAGCATGTAACGCAGAGGAACGATTACTACGCTGTTGTATGCCTGTTGCAGCGTTGCATTAACGTGTTGCTCGTAGCTGCTAACTAACTGGACGTCATGTTCTGCGTGTTTAGCATAATTGATACATTTGCAAACATTTTCAACCATGCGTGGTCCTCCTACGGTGGGCACCATCGACAGCCTTCAGTCCCAAGCACCGCGTGGGTTTTAGCATAGCTCCGCTGACCTAGCCAACCACTCGCAGAACGATCTGCTAACAAGCTAACGTTCGTTTCTACAGTTAATTCCAACCGTCCGCTAGCTGAATTTGTTAGCTAGCTCTAGCCGGGCAGAATTTGTAAAGACGGGACGGTTAACTGAAAATCTTAATTTATGTTGGCAGTGGCGACCAAATTGGGAAATTGAAATTCACTTTTTCCTCAAACGAATCTGTTTCACATAGCTGCTGTCACGCTGTTTGAATTAACTAAACGTTAACTGTCAGTTTGCTAACGTCGTCACGAAGCTACAATGAGCCGACTTGTGGTTACCGGTCTGAGAAATGGAGATTCTGCCACTCTATATCCAGCTGATTTGGTAAAGTTTTGCTCGCAAATTGGCAGAATGATTTTGCTGTGATTATGCTGCCCTAGCTCACATGATTAACCTAAATTGTTTTAATAACTTCAGGCAAATAAACGATGGGTGAATACTAACGTGTAACAAGCTCTCAGAAACATTACAACTGAAGTGTTTTTACTAACCACGTGGGGTCATGTTTCCTTTCCTGCCGCGCATAATTTACCCAGTTTTATTATCTGTGGAGATTTATTTACTACTCGTTATCTATTATCTTTCTCGTCGGATGTATACGTTTGTTTTACTCAAAGCAACGTTATCCAAAAATAACAGAGCAGAGTCCCACTGCGCTAAATGGAAACAACATACTGAGCCTGAGTTAACAGCTATGCATATTAATATACTCTCTTTTAACCACCGATCAATAAATAAGATATGGATGGGTTCAGACGCTCACTGAATAGCACAAGTCATGCATACAGGGTGTAGTTTGTTCCTGATCTCAGTTCCTTGACAATGGAATGCCTGTTCTGATCATTGTGTTGTCATTTAGCTCTGGTCTTCATTGAAAAAATTTGGTTTATAGATTTGATGTCTTCTGGTTATTTAGTTTAGCCTCTATTATGGTTATTTTAACAACCCTGTATGGGTCTGGGTTTCTCTCCTTCATATTGATTTTTTTCTCTCTTGCTTCCTTCTGTGGTTTCTTTACAAGCAGACTTGGCTGTCCAGCATATCATTGTGTCTTATCTGGGTCTTGATGATCTCATCACATTTAAATTACTTTAAGTTGTTTTGGTTGCTTTGTTTTGTGACCATCTTCACTCTTATTTGGTCACTCAAGAAAACTTGAGACAATAAGAACCCAAGTATGTGAAATGTAGAAGCTGTTTGAAGTTGTGGTTTCAGTCTAATTGTTGGAGTCATAAGTGTTTTTGTGGTCAGTGTACTTAATTTGCTCTACTTCCATGTCACATCATACCATCTTTCTGGAAAAAAACACACCTACTGCCTCCTTTGAAAGCCTAGTTAGTAACTTGTCCATGCTAATAACCATAGACTGTCACGGGGGTCTCATGATTTCCCTGAATGGTAGCAGCACGTTTCAGAAAAGTAGCTGTCTGTCTGTACTGTTACTCACATGCCTTTAATTTTGTTATGCTTTGTTAAGTCACATTTTCCATGGGCAGGCCAAAGAGTAGATTGAAACCCAAAAAGAAAGATGTTGCTGCCACCAAAGAGTATTCAGACAGGATTTTTATTTTAGAGATTGGTATGGGCCTTGTTTGCTTTTTGTAAGAGACTCACATATTAAGTAACTGTTTATCTAACTATGCATCCACAGCTGGAGATCAGCAGCTCACAGCAGAATGGGTCATGTGAGGGGGCGGTGGCGATCCTGGATGCTGGGGCCCAGTATGGGAAGGTGATTGACAGACGAGTGCGAGAGCTGTGTGTACGCTCAGAGATCCTCCCCTTAGAAACCCCTGCCTTTGCGATCAGAGAACAAGGTTACAGGTAAGGAAGAAAATATCTGCTTTTCTCTAATGCCTCTTGATAATTTTATGAAACCATTCTGTCAGGATATAAGTATGAAAAGTGTTTTATGGTGCAGTGTTTCTCTCTTGTCCTACTCCTCAGGGCAATCATCATTTCAGGAGGTCCAGCCTCTGTGTATGCAGAAGATGCCCCCTGGTTTGACCCTGCTATATTCACCATAGGAAAGCCAGTCCTGGGAATTTGCTATGGAATGCAGGTATCTGTTCTCATGCATATACACATTTCTAAACAGCAATGGTAGAATTTTAATTTAGACTGTTTATCCCCTTAGAAAACACTTGTTACAGACTCCTCTGAGCAGCAACACATTGCTATCATTTGATTCCAAACTGCAAACATATAATTTAAAGCACACCATAAGAAGTCTGGGTCTATATATTAAATCTGATGTGTTTGCATGTTGCAGATGATGAATAAGGTTTTTGGCGGCACAGTACACAAAAAGAGTGTAAGGGAGGATGGAGTTTTCAACATTGGGCTGGACAACACATGTTCCCTTTTCAGGTATTGTAGTTTCCCATGTGGGCTGTCTGAAGTGTTTACTTATGTCTTTATCTCATGTGTAAACAGTGACTGTGATTATATTTATACTGAGAGTGTCTGGCTGTGAACAGAACGTGTGGACACAAACATCTGAGCTAAACTCTAAAGATAAGAGGGACTCACTTCATAGCAGGGAGGATTTCTCTGTATGTGTGTGAGAAGTGGAAGATGTTTTTTTCCCCCCCCGACTATCTTATCCAATGCCAGTATTTGCAGCAAGTGGGACATCAAGTTCTTCTGGCTCCTGTGCATAATCTACTGACCGAAGCTACCTTGTTGCTGTTTTACCATGTATTTGATCATTCAGTATATCCATTGGACATTTCCCAAAAAAATTTAAAAAAACAAGGGGGTTTATGCATGATGTTTACAGGTTTAACTATTTAGATCACAAATGTCATCTTGTGCCAGATACAAGCAGAATGTCACTTAAGTTTTCTGGTTGCAACATTTTTGCTGTGGTTATTAAAAAATGTTAAGTTGTTGAAATTATTGCTATCCATCCTTTACTATGACATGTTGATAAGCATAACATATCTTTTTCTGACGTATGTGTGTTTTCTTATCAGAGGCCTTCAGAAGGAGGAACTGGTGTTGCTGACCCATGGAGACAGTGTGGATAAAGTGGCAGATGGTTTCAAAGTTGTGGCCCAATCAGGAAACATCATTGCTGGTGAGCCGCACACACGATCAGCTTAGACCCCAGTACGCGTTATGATGTTGTCAAAGACTCGCATGCAAGTTTAGTCGACTGTATTTGTTTCTGTTTTTTGCTTACAGAGCTTTTTTCTCTCATATGTAGTTTTTACATATTTTTTCATTATCTTAAATTTGTCTTTCTGCAACTGGCATTCTCCTTGTAGAGACAAGTATTTAATTTCCTTCATAGGGATCGCTAATGAACAGAAGAAACTGTACGGGACACAGTTCCACCCTGAGGTCGACTTAACAGAGCGAGGCATGGAGATGCTGCGTAACTTCCTATTTGAAATTGCGGGATGCACGAGTAATTTTACCGTTCAGAACCGCGAACAGTCCTGCATCAATGAAATCAGAGAAAAAGTGGGCAAGTCCAAAGTTCTGGTGAGTAAAACTGCTCAATGCTGAGGCAGGTTTAATTTAGTTTACCTCGGTACCTCTAATTTAACTATTTAGTAAGAATATGATTATGAATTGCGATGGGTCCTTAAGAGTTAGTAACAGCAGCAATAATATGCAGAAAAGTAGAACCAGTTGAAACCATTGTCTATCTGAGGAGAGGAAGCCCCCTGAGCACCTTCAAACTAGGCCTCTTCTCAGAGGAGTGTGAAGGTGATAAATGAGTGCGCAAAATAGGTTCAAATCTCAGAATTTGTTCTTATTCTTCACGTGCAGACTCTGGGCTATATTGTTAACTGTCTGCTGCTGCCCTCATGTAACCTTCTTCCACATATTTAATGATCAGCAAGAGCTGGTAAAACACTAAATGACTGAATTCCACTGAATTAAACACTGAATCAAAACAGTGTCAGTGTCGATTTAATGGTTTCCAGGCAGTTAAATGACAGAGTAGATGTATGACCTGCCTAAAGGTATCAGACATGCGGATAATTATTTGATAAAGCTATGATAAACTAGTAAGGGGAGCGATTCAGATTTAGGTTTCATGTTGCTGCAGCTTTTTGTCTAAAGATGGTGTTTCTGCTGTTATTCTCAGGTGCTACTGAGTGGCGGAGTAGACTCAACAGTGTGCACAGCCCTCCTCAACAAAGCTCTGAACCAGGACCAGGTGATAGCCGTTCACATCGACAACGGCTTCATGAGGAAGAAAGAAAGTCAGAGTGTGGAGGAGGCCCTCACCAAGCTGGGCATCAAAGTCAAAGGTAGACACCCAAGTTCCCACTAGATCACACATGAAAGTATGCAGAGTTTATGAGTTTTATTTTCTTCATTGTGTTTGGCTGTTTTGTGTCTCAAAATCTATCGTATATCTATTCTCCATCTATTTGTTTTTAGTGGTAAACTCAGCACACACTTTTTATAATGGAACCACAACCCTTCCAATCTCTGAGGAGGATAGGACGCCACGGAAACGCATCAGCAAGACTTTGAATATGACCACCAACCCTGAGGAAAAAAGGAAAATAATTGGAGACACATTTGTCAAAGTCAGTATTAAATTCTATAGAATACTTGTGTGTTTTATTAATGAGATTTTTGTGTGAACCAAGCATCTTAACTATAAAGTCACATGGTTGCTTTATCATTTTGCTTCAATGCAAATGCAACTTCACGGTGTAATTTAACCTGGTGAATTTTGTTGCTTAACAGGTGGCAAATGAAGTAATTGGAGAGATGAATCTAAATCCAGAAGAGGTTTTCCTGGCCCAGGGTACACTGAGGCCTGATCTGATTGAGAGTGCCTCTCATATTGCCAGTGGCAAGGCGGAGGTCATCAAAACGCACCACAACGACACCGAGCTCATCCGTAAACTCAGAGATGAGGTGCGTACTTCCACAAACACTGACACCTGGACTTTGACTAGCTGTTTTCCTACTGTATTTTCCTTTGCATGCAGCAAACATGAAGCTTAATCGCAGTCCGATCATTATGAGATCGCCTTTTAGGTCTTTAGATTTATTCACAGATCAAGTTTGATTGGAAAATGCTGTTAGGACTCCAACCAAATATTTTCCAATCTGTGTAGATTGTTCAGAGATGTGCTTTTTGTGCTGATTTCTATTCATGGTTTTACCTCCCAAGGGAAAAGTAATCGAACCACTGAAAGATTTCCATAAAGATGAGGTTAGGGCGCTGGGGAGAGAGCTGGGCCTGCCAGAGGAGATTGTCTCTCGGCATCCATTCCCTGGTAAGTACAGAACAACACGTGTTTGGGATTGTGTGATACGATCTGTTCTGTCATTGTTGTCGGAGTTAATCCATCTCTTTTCCATTGTGCGACAGGGCTCTGATCCAATCATTTCTCCGTCTTTCTAACACACTGCTTCTTTGTATTAAGGCGATCATTTGTCTCCATTTCTGCAGGTCCCGGTTTGTCCATCAGAGTGATTTGCGCAGAGGAGCCTTACATTTGTAAGGATTTTGCTGAAACAAACAACATCCTCAAAATTGTCACAGACTTTTCCGCAAGTGTCAAAAAGGTCAGTGAATTGGCAAATGTTGTCCACAGCCTCACACGGAGGAATTCTTATAAATCAACTTGGCAACCGTTCCAGCTGCAGCAGCTTTTGTTCACCCGTTTGCATTGAACCTGGCCCATTTCTAAGTACTCAATGGATTCATTGACTACTATGAACCTGTAAGCTTTCAGACACCAGTAGTAGATCATAAACGGATATCAGTCATTCTAAGTCTAAAAGGTAAATCAGCTGCTTGCTAAAATGTTGGAAGCAAACACTGCATTCCCCTGCCTGTTTCTCCTCTGAATTAACAGAAGAAAGACTGTACTTCCTTGCAAAAATGTTAAATGTTTACAGGCATTTGAGATGTACACTCTGGAGAAAAGCTAGCAACAAATAAACCAAAAATAATTAGTCCTGTAAGAGGTCTTTTGTAGGTGCTAAGGGAGACATCCGCAGCCTCGTCAATGACATCATCATGTCATTGATGATGTGCAGCCTCTGCTAGTTGATTAGTCAAACTGCAAGAGCAATGGTGGTCAAAGACTGAAGTTGAAAGCGAAATTAAAGTTGTGCCCTCTGTAGTTTTTTTGTTTTGTTTTTTTAAAGGAAAATAAAATAAAGACGTCTTCACCGGAACTGGAACAGTATTCTCTAGTGGAGAAAATAGTGCGCATACAAAGTTGCGTTAGTGGCCTTTGTAAGGGGTTGATCCGCTTGTTGGTACAGAGCCAAAATGGAGGATCCTGATTTTGTACATAAATAAAAATGATGGCCACATTGTGAGCTTTAGTGAAACTGTTTATTTGTGTGACATTTAGAGTGAAATGAAGGGCGATGTACTTTAACAGAAGGTAAAGTTAAATTAACCTCAAGATGATGAAGTGTCGGAATTTGTCAGTATGTTGCTGGCTGTTGTCCCTTCATTCTAATGTGAATAGGCCTGCTGTATTTCTCTCTTCTCCAGCCACACGCCTTGCTCCAGAGAGTCAAGTCGTGTATGTCAGATGAGGAAGAGGAGAAGCTCATGCAGATCACCAGCCTTCATTCACTAAATGCCTTCCTGCTCCCCATCAAAACTGTTGGTGTTCAGGTAACTCAGACCAAAAAAAGGCCCACAAAAGCACATCATGTTGCCTTCTCTTTGCTCAGTAGGTCATTTCAATGCTTTTAACAGAGGACAGTTAAAGAATTTCAGTGTCAAAAGTTTTCTTTGAACAGTTTCTACATATGATGTGGACAGATATGAACTTATAACAGGTTTTATATTGATTTGGTGCTGTAGCTCAGCAAAAAATCTGTTTATTTGTAATATTGTTGATTAGATTCTTTAAAGCTATTGCATGTTTGTGGAAGCGTTTTTTCCAGAGACTGTCTGACTGTGACACACTATCAGCTGTTTGTCCATTGTGGGGTTAGAACTATAATTTAAATGTCAACCGCAAGAAACACCCAAACTGAGCTTTTAAAATTCTAAGTTCTTTATGCCCTTCGGTCTGCTCAGCCTAGCAGGGGTGTATCCTGCAGAAATGGTTCCATGCGACATAAATATTCCACTGTCCAAAGTTAGAGCTGTCAGCGTTCGCCACAGAGAGAGATGCTCCTGAATTCTTTCCTCACACTGACACTGCAGCCAGCCAGTGTGTCTGTGGGTGTGTGCTTTTACTTCCTGTTTGACATCAGAGGTTTAAATTTGACTCAAACCTCAAACTGTGGGCTAGACAGGAAGCCGTGGATCAACACAAGCAGCTTTCACGGTCTAAGCTGAAAAAGGAACACCTAGTTTATGGAGAATGTTTTACTGTCTCCTGGGAAAAAGGAAAAGGGTCACTGCTGTGTATGCACTCTTTGTCAGATCTGTGGAGATTTTATCGTGAAAACATTTCTTTGTGTATCTCAGGGTGACTGCCGGTCCTACAGTTATGTGTGCGGTGTCACAAGTAAAGAATCTCAACACTGGGAGTCCCTTATGTTCCTGGCCAGACTTATCCCTCGCATGTGCCATACCATCAATAGGTAATCTGAAAATCAAAGCAAAGCTTCTAATGATTTAATTAAAAAGAAAACGACAACAAACAGTACACTAGTGATTCATTTGTGTGTCTTTTTTTTCCAGAGTCGTGTATGTTTTTGGATCCCACGTAAAGGAGCCTCCCACAGACATCACCCCGACTTTCCTGACCACAGGTGTTCTGAGCACGCTCAGACAGGCCGACCACGTAGCTCATACTATTCTTAGAGAGTCTGGTAAGTGTGTGTGTCTGTGTGTGCCAGAGTCACTTCAGACGTTTTAAAGTGGGGAGTGTTTTGGAATTACAACTTGGGAGAATTTGTATTAACCTATAAAACACTTTCAAGAAACACTACGTTTATCTGATTTGAGGGGATATGAGCTCTCCCCATAATCTGAAATAAAAAAACGTAGCTGAATAGGTCTCTTGTGAGAACATGGGGAAATTCTTCTTCTTTCTGTAAATTAAAAGAAGAAAAACAATTCTACTCTTTTGAACTCAGGCTATTCCGGCAAGATCAGCCAGATGCCGGTAATCCTCACCCCCCTGCACTTCGACCGTGACCCGCTCCAGAAGCAGCCGTCCTGTCGGCGCTCTGTGGTGGTCCGCACCTTCATCACCAGTGACTTCATGACGGGCATCCCTGCCATGCCTGGAAACCATATCCCAGAGGAGGTAAACCATTCGATGGAATAAATGGTTGTCTTTTTTGTTTGTAGTGATCAAAGACATTGCTCTAAGAGATGCTTGTCTCATCTGGTTCCACAGGTGGTGCTGAAGATGGTAAACGAGATCAAGAAAATCCCCGGCATCTCTAGAGTCATGTATGACCTGACCTCCAAACCACCCGGTACCACCGAGTGGGAATAAAACCTAACATGGCTTAGTTTGGATAGGATACACTCTCACACACACTGCACAAACATACTGGGCATATGTGGGAGGGCTGGTGAGCTACTCTCCTCCTCTGTCCTTCCTCCCTCAGTCCCCCTCCCATCCCATCTCTCTCCTAAACCTCCCCTGTATCTTCAACATTCCCGCGGAAGGCAGGCCGTACTGTGACGGGGGGCCAGCGCAGGGGCGCCACTGCTCTGTTCTCTCCTCCACTCCTCCCTGGTCTTAATATTTTTGGCGGTAAAGATTGACTTAATGTTGGTTATTGGTAATATATTGTCACTATTGATTAATGTACAGCAGTGTATTCCCTCGCTGTGGTGAAAAAGGTAAATTGCTCCTTTCATGACTTCGACCATGAAGGGCAAGCAGCGAGAAGCTGTGACAATGAAGTGGACTTGATGCTGTGCCTGAAGATTTATTATAGGACGAGTAAAATATACAAACAGAAAGGAGAAAACACAGTTAGAGAGGCGAGGTGTGTCAAATCTTCAGCATTTCCTCTTTTTTTCCGTCAGATGTCAATGTTTACTGTTGTGCCCCCTATATTTCTCCATTCTCACCTTCTACCTGTATACTGTGCTTTGAAAAAGCTTGTCTGAATAGACAGCCCATGTGACCAATCAACAATTTTTAGGCTTTTTGGTTTGGTTTGATTTGCCAAAAGTAGGATATGCTGTTGTGACCTTTAACATTTTAGACTCCTGATATTTCCAAAACACCTTTTTGTAGACAAGTTTGCTGTTGACTTTTGGCTGCACCCTTCAAGGGCTGAAGTCGACCCGAGAATATCTTCAGTGTAATGACTCCCCTGCAGCCATGAAGGAGGCCAATGCGACCAGTGGCTTTGTAGGTGCCTGTTCTGTGGTTTTTGGTTTTTCTCTGTTGTGACCTGACGTGGACCGACGCGTCCAGAGAGGACAGAACACTGTCCTCCTCATGCTGCAATATGTATGCTTTTTATGAAGAAGAATAAAAGACGAGAGGACTAATATTAGACTTACAAGTACAGTAGAGTTTATTACCACATTGTGTCAGTTGCTGTTGTCACTTCATGGTTGGCTGCTCTTGTGTTGTGCGCGTTTTTGCACATTTTCTTCTTTTTTTTTTTCACTCGTAAATCCTTGGTGCTACATCACCATAAACTATCATACATAAAGTGGAAACTTAAGTGGACACATTAAGTGTATCTCTGTACTGTCAAGTTAAATTAAGTTTCCATTGCCATCAGCTATGTTCACTGTGTGTCAGAATGGCATTGCTGCTTATTATAGCTGTTGTGTACTCTCACAACATTCAGTGCATCATTATCTCTCATCAGTCTTGTCATGTAGACCTCAGTGAATACAGTGCTCAGGTTTAACTGAGTTTTTAAAGGTGTGTTTTACTCAGTTAGAGACACTTCACTCAGACATGGTGGTTTTCCTGCTTACTGAATTTGTTTTTGTGCCTCACAACCCCTTATTGTGCCCATAAATTTTAGTGGCAAACCCCCTACTACAAACTTGATGGTTTTCCTAACCCATTTTAGGAACCCACTGCTTTTTTCTCCATTTTGCCTTTTATAACTATACATTTTCTCTCATACGTTTCCATAAGAACAACAGTGGACATTTAAATCCCAATAAGATTAAGTTATGCAATTCTATCGTTATTTTTTTGTCTTTCATTTTGCTCAGCAATGTTCATTCTCTTTAGTAACGTGCCTCGAACCAAGCCACTGCATGCAGTTTCAACGATGACATTTGTACAATGGAAAACTGAGCTTTAATAAAGATCTCAATGTTGAAACTTCTATAATCAAGCTGTTTGTTTCTTCCAAAGCATGTGAGGCATAAATTCTGTTTAATAGAAGTTATTTGCCTGTTTTTGTTGGGGGGGGTATTTACTATTAAGGGGTGCACTGAGGCCGGAAAAAAACACCCCGAAAAGCTAAACTCAATTTTGTTTTAGTTTTTGATAGCAACACCACTGTTATGACATTTTCACCTACTTTGCAGGACTGTGGCTTTCTTACCTGAAAATGCTGCACAAGGAAAAATATATCTATGCAGTTTTTCCTGGCCAAGACCTTTACTGTGTACCGTACGTATTTCAAATATCCTTTATGCAGGCTATCATTTTAGGATTCGAGAGCTTGTAAAGATGGGCTGGTGCTTGGAAAACTTCAGTAGTTGCATTTACAATCCTGATTGCAAAATAATTTGTACACCTATATTCTGTGAATCATAACAAAAGGCAACGATTGGACACACAGTCTCTTCGTTATTGCATTAGAAGCAGAAACGGGAAGAATGCATCAAACGCTGAAAGCAGGACTTTTATTTTGAATCTGATGGTGGCAATATGTTTCCAAAAGGTTGCGAGGAAGTTAAACATACAATGACGCACTCAAAAGGAAAAATCTGGAAAGACAACTGGTAGCAGGGCAATAAGATTATTATGCATGAAATAAGAGTACTACCCAGGGGCAAAGTCTTCACAGAAGGTAAAAAAAACAAACAAAAAAACCCGCATCCACTCATTATGGAATTCAGAATCATGCTCTCACGTGTAAATGATGTTCCAATATCCCCCTTTTTCTTTTACCATTAAGCACATCTGGATTTTTTAAATGAATATTTGTGAATTCCACCAAAAACTAAGCACTGCTGCGCACAACCTGAAGAAAGTCAACATGTGATACACCTTTGTTTTTTTAAAAGCTGATTTTCTGTGAATGAACTTACATTTTTGACAGTGTCAGAGAGTTACACACGAGCTAAACTGTTATATTGTTGATAGCATCCTGTGCGTGTTGTTCAGGAGCGAGCTGCTCCCCTCAGACTGGGAGACAAGACGAGACAGGCTCAGCTTGCTGCTGACCCCTCCTCATGGGAAAAGGAGCGATTCTGTAACAGTCACAGCAAAGTAATCACCTGTTGCGTAAAGACTGTGCAAGTTACCACATGCAGCACACAATTAACTTGTTGCCTGTGGCAGTTTATCTTCAACAGAGTAATAGGGTGTATTCACAGAAAATGAAAATGACACAGGGCAAAAAAAACTAAACAAAAGAGAAATAAGTCATGGGAAGTTTTCTTGGAAAAGTTGACTTCGTGGATGTTTTCCTGCCATTTTTCTCCAGGGTTCATTTTGTGTTCATTCAAAGAAAACTAAACACGTTATATCTTTTGAGCCAAAAATGATTTTTGATTCAATTAATGGTGGGTCCTAATTCTTTAGTGTTTGTCAAAACTATTGAAGCACAATTTTATAGATAAAAAAGGGAAAGCAAACAGCTATTTGCTATAACCTGGCTTCTTCTCATCAACTTTGGCTCGGCTGAAGCTGTTATGTTCCCACATGCATCTTGTCTCCCCAGAGAACCAATGAGGCACCTGTCACACGTCTCTGTCTGGTGTAGAGAGAGCTCTTCCATCTTCTTTTAGCCTTTACGAAGCATGGAAATCAGAGGGTTTTTGCTTGGATTTCTTGGCCTTTTCTGCCTTTGCAGATCTTTTTCCGCAGAGTCCACTTGCAAACTGAAAGCAAAGTTCAATTTAAGTGGCTACAAAGATGTAGTGAAGAAGAAGGTTGTTATTGGGGGGATGTTTCCCGTTCACAAGCGCATCGCCTCCAGTGATGGTAACACTTCAAGCGTGCCAGTTTCCTCTGGATGTGAGGGGTAAGCTTCAGAATTTCAAAACTTCTCAGGGTTATCTATCTTTATAGTGATGACACTTGTTTAAACGTAAATCAAACTGAAAATGTGTGAAGCAAAATGATATTTCAAGGATCTACTGTAAGGATTTTAATCAATTTGAGAAGTTTAAAGGATTTTTTTAGGGATTGATTAGCAACAGCGGGTCATGTTATTATGGAGTTATACAGTAGAAATTGCAACAATTATTTCTTGCACCCTAAATTAGAAACAACCAAAATTGTTTGGGTGAAACTAAATGTTCAGTTTGAAAATTATGTTGCAAATTTGAATTTGAAACTAGTTGTAGTTTGCTGAAACATTAAAGGAAAACTACATTTGCTGCTTCTTCACCCCTCAGATTTAACTTCCGCACCTTCCGCTGGACTCAAACCATGCTGTTTGCCATTAATGAAATCAATGAGAGGGAGGACTTGCTGCCCAACACTGACCTGGGTTACGTCATCTATGACTCCTGCTTCACAATCTCCAAGGCCGTGGAGGGAACCCTGACCTACCTGACAGGCCAAGATGAGGCGGTCCCCAACTACCGCTGTGGCAACGGCCCGCCTCTCGCTGCGTTAGTGGGTGCTGGTGGATCTGATCTATCCATTGCTACAGCAAGAATTATGGGGCTTTATCATTTTCCACAGGTAGGCACGAATGGCTGCCACAAAGGTAGAGGAATACAAGAAAAAAAGAGAATACAGATATATCATTGGTATTTTCTTGTTTTTAGGTTAGCTATTCTTCAACGTGCTCTGCCCTGAACAATAAGTTCCAGTTCCCCACGTTCCTACGGACCATTCCCAATGACCTCCACCAGTCCACAGCTATGGCCCAGATGGTGCTACACTTTGGCTGGACCTGGGTGGGCATCATAGCTGCGGATGATGATTATGGAAAGTACGGTATAAAAGAATTCAAAGAGCAGGTGGAAGAGGCTGGTGTATGCATATCTTTCTCTGAGACCTTGCCCAAGGTAACCCCTTTCCAGACAAAACCTTCACATGTCAGAAATTTCACTGTACCTACTGTTACTTTTAGAATTCAGTGGAACGCCGTCAAAGAGATTAAATGAATTAATTCCTGTGTTTAGGTGAGTTCCCCGGAGGCCATCAGGAGTATTGTTGAAACTGTAGTTCGCTCCACAGCCAAGATAATTGTAGTGTTCTCATCAGACGTGGACCTCAGTCCTCTCATCAGCGAGTTGCTCCGCCACAATGTGACCAACCGCACTTGGATTGCCAGCGAGGCCTGGGTCACCTCTGCTCTCATCAGCCAGCAAGGGGTGAGCATTTAGTCAACCGACGGCGTTTGACTGACTGACGTTTAAACAAAAGAGCTATCTGAAACTTCACATCACAGCTTAAAAATCTGTTATTCAGGTGAGCTCACTCCTTGGTGGCACACTGGGTTTTGGTGTGAAAAGAGCAGACATCTCTGGTCTTCAGCACCATTTATTGGACCTGGATCCTTATATTGACTCGCTCACTGAGGAATTCTGGGAGACCGTATGTTAAATTGTCACTAAAAGTATCTTGATGTTTTTCAATGGTTATGAAATATGAAGAACACTAAGCCCGTGACAAATAACAAGGACCAATCTAAAATATGATTCTTTTGTCACCCTAATTTTGTCTTTTAGTTGTTCAGCTGCACATTATCTTATGAAAACGCACAGAGAATGGCCAGACTGAAGCCCAAGGAGGGGAAAAGCAGAGCACAAAGGGATGCACCTGACGGGTTGTGCTCTGGGAGGGAGTCCGTGGCACAGCTCAATAACACCTACACTGATGTCTCCCAGTTACGCATCACTTACAGGTCAGTTCCTGCAACTCAAACAACCCCATCAGGAAATAACTAATGCTACCAAATAACCAGAGCACCCGCTGCTGCTGCTTAACTCTACTCTCTGCTGTCTCAAAAGTGATCCCCCACCTGACTTTTTTTTTTTAATTTATAGTTTAGAGCCACTTTCCTTCTGTGGATCTCACTGTAAAGTCAGGTGTGTGAAATGTAAATGACAGATGAAAGTGCTTCCCACAGTGTCTACAAAGCAGTGTACGCTGTGGCCCATGCCTTGCACAACCTGGAGCACTGTGAACAGGGGAAAGGGCCCTTTGTTGGGAACAGCTGCGCTGATATCACTAACTTTGAGCCGTGGCAGGTAAGCATGTGCACACTCCCTGGCTCCCTTTCATATCTGGGAGCGGAGTTCTTTGTACTCGTTACTCGCCATCTGTGTATTTCCACAGCTGATGTACTACCTGAAGAACGTGCGCTTCAAAGTGCCTAACACGAGGGAGGAGATCTACTTTGTCGATGGCGACATAGAGGGCTTCTACGATATCATTAACTGGCAGGTCAATGGAGATGGAGAGATTTTTTACGTCAATGTGGGACAGTACAATGGATCGGCAGCCCCAGACAACAGACTGCACATAATAAACGGCTCCATTGTTTGGAACACTGAAGTGTTAGAGGTCAGACGCACATTGATTTTAGCAGCAGTTAAACACGTGTTCTGTATGTCAACATTAGTTCTATCATGTATGAGGCCAATAGGGAGCTGACTCTACTTTTGTGTGTGTGTATAAGCCCCCACGGTCAGTGTGCAGCGAGAACTGCCAGCCTGGCACCAGGAAGGGAATCCGGCAGGGAGAGCCAGTCTGCTGTTTCGACTGCATCCCATGTGCTGATGGAGAAATCAGCAACACAACCAGTCAGTACAAACCTCAAACAGTTTTCCTTCAATATAGGTAATCCTGAATAGTTCAAATCATTCGAAGAAAGAACAGGGTAAATACTGTTAAGCAAGATCTGTAAAGAAATGCCAGATCATCTGACTACATGTCAGGCTTTTGCTATGAGGATGTCAATATATATCAACTTGGATTTTTTTTAAATGATGTACTGGTACGCTGTAGGGTTGTCACATTATCAGAATTTCAGTTAATATCATTCTAAGTTCTTTTTGTCAGTTATCAATGGAGAGCTCAAATCCACAATTTTCTAATAGGCCAGATTGCAAATCAGATCCCTGCTCAATTTGTTCACCATCAGAGTAACAAATTCATCTGTGCCATCTTGAAAAAAGAAAAAGACATGTAGCTTATTTGAACATGTTGTCTTTTGAAACCATTTTGAGGTAGAATGCATAACCTTGCTGCGATCTTATTGTCTTCTCCTGCTTGTCGGACAGATGCCCGTGAGTGCATCTTGTGCAGTGGAGATTATTGGTCCAATGATGCTCATGATGCCTGCGTGCCTAAAATCATTGAGTACCTGGCATTTGGAGAGCCACTGGGAATAACCCTCATTGTCATCTCTGCCTTTGGAGCTTTAGTAACTATTGCTGTCGGGGTGAGAAAGAAGCCGAACTATTGGAACTATCTTGATGTTGCTCACAAAGACATAAAAAACAAATAACATCATCGTTTTTGCTCTTGGTGCTTTTTCAGGTGGTGTTGCTTGTGCACATTGGCACCCCTCTGGTCAGAGCCAACGATGCCCTGTTGAGTTTTTCGCTTCTTTTCTCTTTGGTTGTGACCTTCCTCTGCTCCATCGTCTTCCTCGGAGAGCCGCAGCATTGGAGCTGCATGACCAGCCAAGTAGCTTTAGCCCTGGGCTTTGCTCTCTGTCTTTCCTCCCTCATGGGTAACCTAACAGTCTCTAGATCCAGTTTATCTTCATTTGGATATCAAGCTTTTCGTGTTCTGTATAGGACTGAAATTCAAAGACGAGATCGTCATACATTTTTAAAAGGGTCTGTGGAGTTACTTCGACCTCCTGTGTTTCAGGTAAGGCAGCAGTGTTGATGCTTAGAGCTCAGGCCCTGAAAGCAGCTCGAGTCAAAGCCAAGGCAGCCGCCAAAGCAGCCAAAGCAGCGGCGGAGGCAGCGGCTAACAGCGGTAGCCCTGATGTGATTGTAACCAACATAAACAGCAACGACATTAGTGCTGTGCCCATCTCTGAGGTTGACGCTCTCACATGCGCCCATCAGAGGGCAATAGCTGCTGCGGCAACATTGATACAGGTGAGGGGGGAAAAAAAGAAGTCACGTTTGTGTTCTTTTGGATCTGTTGATCCCAGCCTGAGTGAGAATCGTGTGTCCTCTGAATGTTTTGAACTTAATGGGATCTCCTTAGAAATTGCTGACATTGCTGTTCCCCTGTCCAGGCAATCGCATGCACAGTGTGGCTCATCATCCTCCCCCCACACCCAGTCAAGAACACGTCTGCCCAAAACATAAAGATCATACTGGAGTGTGACGAAGGATCCGTGGTCTTCATCTGCTGCATCTTTGCGTACGACATCCTGCTGGCTCTGATGGCCTTCGTCTTTGCCTTCATAGCCCGCAAGCTGGAGGACCACTTCAGGTAGGCAACACGCAGCATCGTCAGAGAGTACTTGCATGTCATTTGGCACATTTTACAATCGTGTTGTTTCCTTTTTTTTTGCATAACCCAGTGAGGCCAAGTGCGTGACCTTCGGGATGCTGGTCTTTTTCATCGTGTGGATCTCCTTCGTGCCAGCTTACCTCAGCACACGTGGCAAGTTCATGGTCGCCGTCCAGATCTTCGCCATCCTGGCCTCAAGCTTTGGCCTCCTCACCTGTATCTTCCTCCCCAAGTGCTACATTCTTTTGGTCAAGCCCGAGCGCAACAAGGAGGAGTTCTTGAGGCCCCGCCCCAAACTCCGGGACGGCTCCTCAACGGGCACTTCAGCCTCGCTCGCCACAACTGCCACTGAGGTCAACGCATCGTTTGCGTCCACTTCTGTTGATGATCAGGGAAATTAAAACAATAGCCCTCCAAACTAATGCTGTTTTGTTATGAGTCAGTGAACAACTGCTCTGATTGATTGGAGCTCTCCAATGTTGAGTTTCAGATTATCATATACTGTATATTGAGTTTCATATATATGCATATTTACCAGACAATATCTATTACAAAACAAATGTGACTATTCATTTTGAGGTGAAATCACATAATAGAAATGGTTGTGCACACAGGACGATGTACCCCAAGGTGTGATAGGTTTCATTTAAAAGAAAGAAATATAAAAGCACAAGGATAGGAACGATAACTAAATATCTTGAAAATCCCCCAAAATGCTCTTTTTTAGAGACTTAAGCCAAAGTCTGGATATTTTTTTAAACACAATTTCATCTTCAACAATATTGTTTTGACTTTTTTGCAACTTGCTGTTTTCTTCAATTTGATGTCTTGAGGTCAGTCTAAAATATGACACGCAACTAATCCTGGAGCATGTTCAGTCTCTTGTCAAAGATGCAGCTGATTGATTATTGCGGTTTAACTAAATATAAGGCCAATTTAACTGAGAGATCTTGTTGATTTGCATTAAAACACTAACTGTCAGTTTTAGCCATCAGCTGTAAAATACATTCATTTAGCATTTATATTTTAGGAAGATATCTATATTATCATTCTTTCTTAAAATTTTAGCTTCTTACTAATTTGGAGTTGTGGCGCAAACTCTGTAAAATCCAATTTCTATCCATGTAACAAATGTTCTTTTTTGGTCACTGCAATGTGCTATCCTTCATTAAACAATAAATGGCTTTATTTGCTCAGTCTTGTGGTTTCTTCCAATGTCAGTGACTAAACAGTGTTTATTTTCACCTGAACAAAGAAGATGTGGAAAATTAGTCACCATTATCTTTCAGTGATGAACCAAAGTCTACTACGATAAACAATGGCCCTTTACTGACAAAAGTAAAGAAAATCATTGCACAGTTTTGGATGTCAGTTTATCCTCTGTGGGGACTGTCTGCAAGTCTTATTTGCTCAGTCTTGTGGTTCCTTCAAATGTCAGTGACTAAGCAGTGTTTATTTTCACCCTGAACGAAGAAGGTGTGGTAAATGAATCACCATTATCTTTCAGTGATGAACCAAAGTCTGCTAAGATAAACAACGGGCCTTTACTGACAAAAGTAAAGAAAATCATTGCACAGTTTTGGTGTCGTTTGGGGGCACTGTCAGCAAGTCTTGGCAAATATTTTTTGTCTTATGGCCCTCAGCCTCAGAGCGATGTGGTTCTCAGAGATGGCGTCAACTTGATGGCTGGCTGGACCAATCCAGCAGAGGGAGCCAGAGGGCTCTGCATTTATGAGATGCATTTAGGTGAACTTGCTTTTTTTCTTTTTTTTAACGGTGAAAAAAGACCAAAAAGCATGTTGATGGAGGGGGAAAATAATGAGGGGGTATTCTTTCAGATAGCATGAAGAGGAATTGAAGGGATGCTCACCGCTGCTTTATTTTTCAGATTACTTTAATAATTTGTTAAGACGTTCAAGGTTGATGTCTAAGAGTTAAAGAATGGTAGTGGTGTGTTTGGAAAATGTTCCACTGTAAAATCAAATTAACTTTATTAGGTTTTCAAACAAGTTTTACAAGCATCTTTCCACATATATAAATTGTTTTCCTTTTAGAAAAACATGGCCGGCACATGTGTTCTCAATCCTGAACATTTGACTTTCCTGGAATCTGTGAAGCTGTGAACTGTCTCCTATCAGAGCTGTCAGTGTGGGCAGTAATATATTCACTCTGCTGACAGAGTGCTGAAGGAATGTGTTTATAATTTATTGCCAGCTGACCAGAGTGGACAGGGACACTCTGGTGCTAAATCGAGACAAATGTGCAGTCGTGCATCGTTGCATATGTGTGTTCATTTAACTTTTCATTTGTCTGAGCTGTGTGTCCATGAATGAACATGTGCTACCATGTGGAGATGTTTTAATGGAATAATGTGTGTGTGTGTGTGTGTGTGTGTGTGTGTGTCTGTGTGTGTGTGTGTGTTTGATAGAAAGAGAGAGGTCTTCCGACTTTATCAGAAGTCTTCTGACCCAGTGATGCCTTATCTCTATCGATTTTCTTTTAAAGAACTGTTTTCTCTTTTACATTTGAAAGATTGAACCAAAAGGGATCGTGTGAGGAATGAGACTAGGACTATTTTGATGATTTTTACTGCCATCCGTGGTGTAGTTTCGGCACTAATTAATGAGTTTGGTTTGGGATGAAAGCTACATAATATAAATGACAACCGACCAATACCGTGAATGTTCCTGATAAAACATTATTTGCAGAACTGGAGTGACACTCAGTGACACCCAGATCCTCGTTTTAAAGGGGCGAAAGTTTTTTGTTTTTTTTAAAGATGCTACATATTGTAAATAATCATGTCCTTTTAGGGATCCTGTAAAACTCAAGCCTTCACCTGTTTGTTCTGCTCAATGCTTACATTACAGGCAGTGTCACACTGCTTGCTGCTCTTATAATCCAGAGGCCAGTGTCCCGGGGACATTACAAGTTCATAATTCCTATTTAGCGAGTCATATTGTTTCTATTTGTGCAGATATCATTATTGTATTTGCATTTCAATAAATTCTTGGTATATGGATCCTTATCAGTTTACGTATAAATGTAATATTCAGGTGAAATAAAGCATTATGCATAAAAGAAACAAAACAAACGGTAACAATAATTTCTCCACTTCTTTGTGAAAGATGATGGAGAACCAGACCTAATGGTCCATTTATTCATGTCTAAAGTTTGTATGAATAACATGCCAAGATATAATTTTGTTGAATTGATGTCTATACTGGAGAATTTAACCCTCATAATTATGTTTATATCAGTGATTTTGATCAAATTACATTAGACAACATGTAAGTTTAAAGAAATACTGCTTTTTTCATCTTGAAACTGCATGCCTTCCTTTGCTGTTGGTGCTCTTTGCCTCTTATTGAACTTGTTTCTCATTGCATGGCTAAACAAACAACCTCTCTTAATGAGTTGTGAATGAAAGAGAGACCAATGGGAGGTGCAGAGGCTTAAGTTTGCTCTGCCTAATTTAATAGTGGGAAGAGCAGCTGTTGTCGTTTTGCTTCATATAGTTTGGCATTTGCATGGTTGTGCTCGGTTGCGTGCAATTGTGTATAATTTTAAGTCTCTAACTTTCCCCCTCTCTTCCATCCCTTATCACCTTCTCACCATTCCTTCACCGCCTCTCTCTAATTATATACCCTCTCAGGATCTGTAACTACCCACTCGTTCTTCTCTGCCCATCATTTAGTAAAAAACGTCTTCAATTTGTGAAATGGTTGGTGCTTTGAAATTAAAAAGGAATTGATTAGGATTGTGAAAGTAAACCAAGTCAAGAGTGTGAGTACAATGTAGAGAGGGGAAATAGATTTGATTTATAACAGAATAGCCAATGTAAATAGCTATATGTAAATAAGGACATAGAAATACTGAATAAGTACTTTATTACTGGTTTAGGCAGTGTCTTAATGTAACAGCTTTGGATAAGGACAAAGTCCCTACACCATATAAGTGATAATTAGAATAATAAAATGTTATTGAACACAACGGCAATAAGAACTGAGTGTTTCATTGATACCTTGTGTGTGTGTTTGTGTGTTGAGTGTGTGTGTGTGTGTGTGTGTGTGTGAGAGAGAGAGAAATAGAGAGAGAGATTGTGGAGTATACATTTGCATTCAGGACTGTATCGGTTTGCGGGTCAGCTGAGGTGGAGGATAAAAGCCTTGAATGATGGATTTTGTTTACTCTAGAATTTCCCACCTCGGCAATGATGTTCAAATCAGACAAACTGTGTTAAGAAATTAACAGTTTTGAAGATAAACAGATCTTCGACTTTTTTGTACCTCATATACCGTGTGAGGGCATAAAAATATTCCATATGCTATTTCATCTAAAGACATCCACACAGTATGTGAGAAATGACCATAGCAGTGTGTTATGAGTGATCAGACTCAGAGGCATGGAAGGTCCTGTTCAGACACACACAGTTCTGCCAACGCTGCTACTTTTATGACTGAATGTGATAAAGTCACAGTTACAATGTAACTTCTGATATAGCTTTCTGTAAAGATATCGATGTCCATTTAATATCACAAAAAAAGAATAAATCAAATCCATTTAAATCTCTTTTTAGTTACAGTAAGCCTTGTCCCCGTCTGCGGTCACTACAGCCCGGCAGTCTTGATTTGCATCGTAGGTTTGGCAGAAGTTTCCTTAATGACACAACCCTCACATTTATCCAGACTTAGGACCAGCACAAAAAGGATATAGAACATTGTGTCCGAATTCAGCTGCATTTCAGGCACCTGAGGGTTCAATTTCTTGCCCAAAGACGGCTAGAAATGCAGACACCAACCCGCTCATTAGCAGGCAGCTGCTCTTTACGGTGAGCCTTGAATCAAATCGCTTAGTACCAGAATCCCTGGGCATACCAAACTTAATTGGACTATTGTATTTAAGTGGCAGCTTCTTAAAACATAAAAAACAAACGTGAAGGAATTCCTGAAATTTTCTGACGACCACGGAGGGGAGACATTTTTGCCGCCAAGCCCCTCAGACATGCCCAGCATGCTTTCGGGCTCTCATTACCCGGCTGAATAATTCAGGGCTGACACTCCATCACTGATCCATTCATTTGACCCAAGAGGACACAAATCTCCAAGTATCTGGTTGGATATCAGGAGGATTCTCAGTCCACATCACCTAAACTGTGGGAGCTACCTGATGGATGGCTCTGCTCACCTTTCCAGGCTATAAATAACATCATTTGTGAAGTTAAAAGTTACAAGTGAGCAAGCATTTGACCAATACAGCTGACAAAAGCAGACTACATTAAGAAAGAACCATGTTTTTGTGAAAATTATTTTTTATTTCCATTTTAAGCTTTAACAACCTAAAATACAAATAAAATCCCAGCATAACACCTACCTCTCGAACCACTCTTCATGTACAACTAAACTTGTTTGGAGTTGAATGGGGTCACACTGCCCCTCTTTTCTCCTGAGGTTTCTTGCATTAATTAACATTTAATTGGCAAGCAATCCTCTGCCTTCACATTAAACCGTGACTGAAAGAGTGCATATCCTGTGTCTCTACTGTGTCTACCTTCAAGTTTGTCAGGCGTACGTAAAAATTACACATGCCTGACAAACTGTGTGTGCATTTATTAACATGCGCTGCATCATGGTGTCTGGGTTTTTGCATTGTTGCACTTTACAAAGGTGTAAATGAGAGTTTCTCACACACCAATCTGGAGTCATGTGACACGAAGAATGGTGTTAAGATTCTGAAGCAGTCTGAGAGAAGCATATATATAGAGCTGTCTCTGTTGCGCACCCTGATGACATAAAGATATTTGGGTGTGTTCTTTCTCTAGATGTTTGTATTAAGATATTTCTTAACAACATTTATATTTCAGTTTTAACGATGTGTACATTCAACGCAGTGTCACTTTTTATGGTGTTTTCACACCTTCCTCATACTACATTCCTTATATGTATCATTTTGTGTTAATCTATCTGTATTATCACTCGTGTGTATTGTATTGAGACCTCATCTTTGCTGTGTGTGTGAGTGTGTCAGAGTGCA